CAAGGAGTGCCAGACTGCCCCAGGTTCCGCGCGAAGAGCGGCGGTAGCAGCAACAGGCAAGCTCCTCTCATGCCCCTCGTGCGAGCAGTACCTTGAAGCCAGATGAGGCCCGATCGCCGGAGACGCCGTGATGGAGGATTCGTCGCTATCGGATTCATCCGAAATCGTCACCACCATCACGAAAGCCCAACGGCCGCACGCCTGTGGCGGCTGGAGCCAGACCCGTTTGAACAGATTGCTCTCTTCTACGGACTCGGCGCAGTTGGGAATGACAGACGAGACGATCATCGTACGAATGGTCCGTTGTCGGTCTTTCAGGTCCGGTAACGCTGGACCACCACGGCGGTTGACAGACCGCTTCTGTCGGCGCTGGTCTCTCGATATCGATACCTCAGTCCGTTCCAGCTCGGCTTCGTTCAGTTCATAAAGATATGGTGTGAATTCCTTTGCGGCCTGGAAGGGTCTGAAGGGGGAGGGAAGAGGCGTGGGTAGGAAGGAGGATTTCATGTCGGGATCGTCAATCGGCCGACCATCGAAGGAGTGGGAGAGGATATAGAGGGATTTTGTGAACAGCTGCGACTGTTCGCGAATGGAGTGCGCAATGGCGGTTGTGAATTCGCCCGAGAGCGAAAGGTCGTCCGTCATGCGGGCAGCAAACTGTTCGGGCGAATTGTGGGGGTCGTTGATATCCCATTCGAATTGGTCGATGAGTGTATGTTGGCCAATGGTAATATTCAACTTGACGAGGATGCGCATCTCGTCGTTCTTGTACGCGCTGTAAGGGAGGTGAGGGTCAAGGGCGTCTTCTTCAATGTAGAGTTGGGGGTAGTAGTCGCAGAGTTGTTCCTGGATGCTTTGCGAAACCATACGTATCAGTGGCACGCACGACTCGAGAGGGAGCCCCAGATCCTCCACGAACTTCTCGGCGAACAGGTCCGGGGAGACTACGCGATCATGGAGATTCCAGGTGAAGGTGTCTCGGATTTTGATCTTTTCCCAGTCAATGTCGAGCCGGATCGGTACGAGGTCTTCGATCTGTTCATTCTGCATCTTGAGGTCTTTCCGTGATACTCGAAGCTCGCGTGTCCGCCGGTTTCCTGGTCGACGTCGATTGGACGGATACAACAACTGGGGGTGTTGACCGCGTAAATCCGTACGAGCATTGCCGAAACCTTCGTAGCCTACGCCGTACAAAGCAGCGGGGTTCATGTGGTTTTCACGCCGTAGCGTGAGATAAAAGTCCCTCTCCGCGCGTTTTTGTTGCTGCAGTTCTTGCGCGGGATTCTGCCACGCTACCAACGCGGAGTGTTCGAATTCACGGTTGACATACTCTTCGAGCAGTATCTTCTCCGTTGGGGTCTCGCGCACGCGCACCGCCAACGCCTCAGACGCTTTTTGGATCATGGAGCCGTCGCGCGACCGCTTCTTGCTCGAAGCAAGACCATTCTCCCCGTTCGACGCGTCACGACTTGATTCGGCCGAGGGTAACGGCACACCAGATGCCGCTAAGACGGCTTTCGCGTTCTGTTTCACATCCGCAATTGTATCCGATCCATTCGCGCGCTGGTCTGTAGGAGATTCGCTCATGTCACCGTTGGCGTTGCTGACTTCGGCAGAACTCTCTTGAACCGTCTCGGCGTGTGCGTCAGTCGCGAGCTGCCCCGGTTGGGTCACTTCTGGGGAGGGCATGCTGAAGGGTTGGTTGGGAGAGAGTAAAGGTGTCCAGCGATTCGGGAAGGGAGAGAAAAGAACGTGTCACTTTGCGCAATTGGAGAACGCCTGCGGCGACACTTCACAACAAAGGGGTATAATCGAGATAAAAAAGAAGAGGAGGGAAAGAAAGAGGGAAGATTGTTTATGGTCGCATCCTTGGTGGGATCCTAGTACAGACGAAGGTCAGCTCATTTTCCGCATGGAGGTACGTCGACTGGTGTTCGCGGCGAGACGCGACAGTGACCGACGGGTCACCTCAGCCCCCTGAGCCACAATGCGCATGGGAAAGGAGAAGGTGTACTGATGGAGATGGTGGAAAGCAATAAGATGCATAAAGAAGGAAAAAAAGCACAGTCATGCGTCATGCGAATCAGAGGAATGGGGATGGTGAGGAACATACCAACAGGGGGGAAGGAGGGTAATGAGGCAGTCAGGCAACAAGTCGCGCAAATTAGGGAAACGACCGCGAACAGAGCAAGGGAACAACAAGATCGATAATAATAGAGATGACACCAATAACAACCCGCGTAGAAATCGGCCGGAACGCCAGTCGAACGAGGGCTCCCAAAGCACTCACTGATGACTGGATGGGTCTGCCTGGAGTCGGCTCGGTTCTGGGTCTTTCACGCCAGGCAAGCAAAACGGAAGCGAACGGCTGGCTAATCAGCTGACAAAACGACCTGGCGTAATAACTACCTCGTTGCTGGGCCTCTGAAGTCCGTTCTGTTTCTTGCCGATAATTAAACCGTCGAATCTGACAAGTTTCCCAGATGTGGTGGATGTGGATGACGATCCAATGCAGGACGGGCACTTTGCTTTGCGGCGACTGAAGGGAGAAAAAGAGAGGGAGAGAAGGAGAGGACGAGGGAGGGAAAATGTGCTGGGGGGTGTTGGAACCCCCGTCAAATCATTACAAGTGTGTGTGTCCGCTCGCCCGCTGGGTAGGGGGGGAAGGTCAAGGGGGGAACAGGCGAGGCATAGAATGGACCAGCAGCCCGACCAGCACTAGAAGACCAAATCTACAGGGGAAACTCTCGAGGGGAGGCCTTTTTTGAAGCCATCACGACTGCATCTTTTACCTCGAGATTTCTCCTGATGCGATGCCGAACACGCATACCGTACGGCGGTATCGTATCGTACGGTATTCCCGTGTCTTCCCGCACGCCATCCCATTTCTGTCTATCACGTGGTATTTGGCTAACCAGATCTGGTATAGTGTCTTGGCCTAGTTGGGCTAAGGGACGGGAGACTGTCGTACCTAGTAGGTTATAGGAAACGGTTGTACTGCATGCACATACTCCGCAAGCTCCAACTGGAGATCGAGGTACCTAGGTGAATTAGGTAGATGTGACCTAACATCGGATATCAACATGAATCCCCATCGCCATCATACATATCACACAATCAGGAACATCTATCAGTAATCAAATATCTGCGACTCGAACTTGCACCCGACCTTCTCCAGCCGATCCACGTAATCCTGTCCCAGCGTGGCCGATGTCACGATGCCTCCCCGGGAGACCTTTCTGACCTTGTCCTCGTTCTCCAGAATGGTCATGGCTGCCTCCGCCATCAATAGTCCCGTGACCGAATACATGCTACCCTGGATCTTCAATTTCCCAAGAACCCGCTTCGGGGATGGCGTGTCCTGATCCGCCGTCGCCACGGCACGGTACTCCACTCGGTCGTCGCGAGAACTCTCCATGCTGGGACCCTGTCCCGGACCGTAGGCGATCTGCTTCACCAGCCACCGGACTGGAGGCAGAAGCAACAGCGTGATACCGATCAGAAACAGGTAATGAACTGCAATGCCGACAACCACGTTCCGCACGCGGAGGAACTGTCGAAAGTAGAACCGGGGACCGTAGAACTCCGGCATCAAGGTGCTGCTGCGATGCACGATCGTGATATCGCACGTTGCGGACGGGGAGGTCGTCAGGGTACCCAGGTCGCGCACCGCGCGAGCACCCAGCACTTTCTCCATGATCGACTCACGGGGGATGTCCTTAGGGGGCGTGGAGGCAGCCAACGCGAAGGGGTGGGTGGACTTCAGCACGTCGGAAAGCGAAACCGTGTCAAGTGTGGTCAGAATGGTGCTAAGGGTACCACCACTCACCCCGGAGCTCCTGCGAGACATGGTGAGGAGGAAATCAAGTTGCCTTGAATCATGATGGCTTACTTCATTTCGTCGATGGCGCAGGTGACTTCCCGGGTATGGCACGACAACTCTTCCCGCACGCGCTTGACAACCGACCAGGTCAAGATATCGGCCGGAGCACTTTCGATCCCAACAGACGGAATCACCTAGAATCTGGTGAGCTCCAAGCTTCTACTCCAGAACGAGGATGTACGCACGATAGCACCATTGGACTTCGCGATCTCATGATACTTCTCGATGATAGTCTTGATCCAGGGGGTTTCTCCGGTACTACGTAAGTCAATGACGGATTATCCCAGGAGTGGATAAAAGAGAACTTACGCATCAACATAGTGGGTTCCATTGGCGGCACATGCTTCGACCACCGGAGTCGAGTACAAGTGATATGGACCGACGCAGTTGATGATGAGCCTGGTCTTCTGAGCCAGGCTATTGAGTTCGGTGGCGTTCAATTGGACTGCCAAAGTGTCTACTGGAAGGTTAACCGGGAGGAGGTTGTGGAAATATATTTCCAGTAGCAAGTACCTGGCTCCGTGCGATCCGGATTCAACTCTTTAAGTTCCTTGCCAATCTTCTCGACCTTTTCAAGAGAACGTCCCGCGAGGGCCCATTTTAAATTGGTTGGAAGATGCTTGACAATGTGTTCGGCACAGAGACGGCCTGTATATCCTGTAGGTCCATGGAGGACTAGATCATACTGTCTGCTGGCATCCATATCTGACACCAGTAGGTTGTACCCAGAACGAGAGCGTTATATTGCAGATATGGGATTTGACCGGACTGAACGAATCTTGAACAGGAGACAAGATGATATGCCTACTTTGAGGAGGACGAGGCAACAGTACTGATGACGTTCGTTGACTTTGTTGATCCCGTCCCCCCTGCCACGGAAACCTCGGCCATCGGCCTAACCCATTCGGGACAGATGGATTGGGAAATCATGTGATTATGTCCTCCACGCAGCGTCCATCTCTGACAACGATAATGGAAGAAAGAGTCTAGATTAATGCATACAGATGCAGATTCGCGAGAGAAGAATCTCTGATAGCTAGCGAGAAGAAAAAAGTTCAAGAGCGAATCCCTTCTGGGATAATTCTGAGCATGGCTAGGGCACTTGCCAGGGGACAACACACGCATAGAAATATGGAATACAACAGTTAGAAGAAGAACAGAAAAACTGAGACTTTATGCGAAGTCTAATCCTTTTCTGCTTGAATTGACCGGCATTCATCTTTTTCTCTCTGCTTTGTACACTCGGATATAGTACTCCGGCAAAGCGATGATGCACGCAGGCCACACGTGACCGCCAAGCCTTTAGCCCTAAGCGAGCCCACCCACAACCACACTCTCTCCGTTGAAAGCCTCAGTCTCGATTTCGTCTTGCCGCACTGTATCCATCTTCGACCTGAACAGCCAAATCAGACAAGATGACCAAGCGCACCAAGAGTAAGTGCTCCCAGCATACTTTGACGACCTTTCCGATCAATTCGCAAGCATCAGAAATACTGACTGCAATTTTCAGAGGTCGGCATCACCGGTAAATATGGTACCAGGTATGCTTTTCGCGCCATCCTCCCCTGAACCCGCCTCGAAGTCGACGTTATTATTTTCTCGCCGGAACGATCGAAAGGAATCGGCCCAGAAAAGAAACGAATGACTCGGAGGCGATTCGCCGCTACGAGGAACCGATTTATTGACGATTGATAATAGATACGGTGCCTCCCTGCGTAAGCAGGTGAAGAAGATGGAAGTGTCCCAGCACGCCCGCTACGTCTGCACCTTCTGCGGCAAGAACACCGTCAAGCGCCAGGCCGTTGGTATCTGGGAGTGCAAGGGCTGCAAGAAGACCGTTGCCGGTGGTGCTTACACCGTCTCGTAAGTCGCGCCCTCTGAACCAGTATTGGCTTCCAGCGTTTCCCTTGTGGAAACCGACTGGGTTTTCGTCCACACAGACCGGTGGACAAGTGTGACACGAAACTAACCAAAATGTGCTACAGCACTCCTGCCGCCGCCGCCACCCGCTCCACCATCCGTCGTCTCAGAGAAATCGCGGAGGTTTAAGTGTCATGATGGGATTTCCTTTTTACGTTTGAAATAAAAAATAGCGAAATTCAAGAGAGCTTAAATCTTGTTACGAATTCCGGCTTCGTCGACGTGACTGGTCGAACACGGCACATGACTACCTACTAGACAACAATACTACGGATGACTTGAAAATCCTCTATAAGGACCCGTATATGATCCTGTTCGCCTGCGTTCTGTTTGCGTGCTACATTGCGAACTGCCTCCACGACCTGTGACGAACTTTCTTCGGTCGACCATGATTGTGATTTCTGACAGCACCGCGAACTGTTCCCAACGCATCCCAGCGTAGACTCCAATTTTTTTGCTCCCACTTCGCCGGCTCCATGCGCGTGATGGACTCCATACGACTGGCGCAAAAGAAATGGCAAAAATCCCTTTGATCCACCTGAGGGTCGTCAGGCTGCACAGCCTTTGCTTGGAAGATCTTCGGGCTCTTTGACCTCGTGATCGTGGATTAGCTCTTGAGCTCCCTCCCTTTCCGTCTGATAACCGAGGGGACGGATGATCATAGTGACCATTTTAAAAGACGAGAAGAAACGCTCCGGCGCCTTTTAACACCTTAAGAGTACCATGCTTGTGATGTCGAGACATGGGTACCTACGTAGAGATCTAGCGATGGGTCACCCTCCCGCGGCTAGGGACGACCGGTTACACTGGCCACCCTCCCAAGCACAGCAAGATCCAACCGAAAAGAGGGGTATTCTGCTGCACTGCAAGGGCCCAGCGTGAGTGCATTGGGAGTGCATTTGATGGAGCACGTAAATACTTGATCATCCTGAGACCTCCCATGTACCTTGCGGTGATTGGCCTCTGGTCACGTTGCCCGACCAGACTGTTTTGCGTTAGACCGGCACGGTGGACCAACCTTCAAAAGGCCGGCTGCTTTCTCCCCACATCACCTCTCTCTCCTTCTCCCTTCCCCTTCTACTTCTGCTCCCTCCCATCCTCCGTCTGTCAGTTGCTCTTCATGCCTTCTCTCAGTTTCCCTGCAGACAATCCGGATTCTTCCCTCTCTGTTAATGTCCGACACCTGTATTGTGTGCTTAGGAGACCTTGGCGAAAGCGCCAGCGATCCTCTGGCCGTCGCCGCCGAGGCCGCGCCAAGACCTGACCTTCAAGACGCTGATGGCCTACCCACGGGCTCTGCTAGCAAGCCTGAGGGCGTCGATGGTACGGAGGACGCAGGTCAGATCGCCCAGCTACTGCCTTGTGGTCATATCTTACACAATAACTGTCTGAAGCCCTGGGTGGAAAGAGCCAACAGTTGTCCAATATGTCGTCGTAGCTTCAATCTGGTGGAGCTGAGCGACCGAATCGGAGGTATGTTTCTACTTTCTGTGTCGTACTCGTTCATATGACGGGACCCCCTGATTGAAAACCTCATACGCAAGGCCTGGTACTAATACTGCTCTCCTCACAGGCCCTGTTCTCTCATCATACGCCGTCCAAGACCGGGTACAGGTGGCCGACGTCGATCCGTCGATGGTGATCGACTATGTCGATGACGACTTTACCGATTTCCAACCTTGTCCCGTTTGCGGTGATTCCGATAATGAAGAACTACTCCTCCTCTGTGACGGGTGTGACGCCCCGTCCCATACCTACTGTGTCGGGCTGGACGGGGTCCCCTCGGGGCCTTGGTACTGCGCCCGATGTGAAACCCAACGTGCGTTGGGTCCGTCCCCTGACACAGAAGACCGACCGGCACGCACTCAGGAACGACGGGGCCGTCGAACCAGAGCTCAACAGCGGAGAGCCCAAAACCGAAACCAGATGAATTCTCTTCATTGGGCGCGGGTCTGGCAGTCTGTCTGGGATCACCTCAATCTCGACCTGGATTTTCCGTTTGATGACGACAGAGCCATAGAGCGCGCTCGTCAGCAACAACGACGGGAGGCGGCGAATCAGCGCGAATTCCGGGCTTGGCAGCGTCGGTTCGAAGTCGCTGAACGACAAGGCGGCAGCAATCGATTTCGAGACACGGCTGCGCTATTGGATATTGAAGCCCCAAGGCCTTCACGACCTCGCGTGCCTCGGGAGCCAACCCCGGAGCCAGAATCTCTGGAGGAGATGAGAGCCTGGAACGCTTTTGAACGAGCTCGCGAGATTGAAAATGACCCCAGTGCTGCCCGCAAGAGAAAGGAGCCGACTTTATCCCCTTCGCCGGAGCCTACCGAACCGCAGCGGAAATTGAAACGTCCGCGAACTCGCAGGGCTCAGGACCTGGCCGCACTGGCCTTGCAGAACGGCGAGTCTTCGAGGGCCGCGAGCGCACAAGCGTCCGCCCGGATCAACGCGGAAAGTTCGACGGAGCCAAGTTTCCTGCAATCCCTTTTGAAAGAAGTCGAAGAGGCCTCGAAACCCTCGAGTTCCTACCCACCGTCCGCCCAGGCGTCGGTCGCTCCGACCGACCATCCCACCCCTGGTCCTTCTTCGCCTTCGATCTCTCCTGCCCCCTCCAACCATTCCTCTCCCGTTTTATCGTCGGCCACCCCCCCGCCCCATATGAGAAGCAGGCCCATCTCTCCCATCCAGCTTTCCTCACCAGCCGACTTGTCGTCCCCGCCCTTCTCGCCTGACGTTTCTCCCGCTGGCTCCGCCGATGCGAAGGTTACGGGAGTCAAGGACTCCTCTCCCATTCGAGATAGCGTGGGGCTCCCTCGCCGGCGCATTCCTCGGGCTGCTATGCGATCCCCAATGGTGCGGTCATCTGACAACTCGCCAAGCCGCCCTAAACTATCCCTGGCTGTTAAATCAGACATCCAGAAACTGGTCGGGTCATGGCTCAAGCCGTACTACCGCTCCAAGACCATCACCAAAGACGAGTACACAGACATCAATCGCACGATTTCTCGCCAATTATATGATCGAGTGGGTGATGTAGAAGCCCTTGAACTGGATGCAAAGTCTGATTTGGAAAAGACCGCCAAGGAGGCGGTGGAGAAGGCTGTTGGTGGTCTGAAGCAGAAGCAGAGGATGGAGGATAGTGACCAAGTGGATGATAGTTCATGATATATGAATAGCGTGTCGCATTTGCCGGCGTTTTCAGCGATTTACGGGGGTCAGCATCAGCTTCGGCGTTTCTTTTTTCTGGCACTGTCGCATGGGATATGTAGGTATATCGCTCACTCAGGGAGCCGGGCTGTGTATTTCAGGTTCTACGTGGTCTTGGAATGTCAATATCACATCTGATCCATTTACTTTGGCCATGGAGATATGCATGGTCATCACATGGCCGTCGATAGGAACAATCATAGATTCACTTTGGGACTGTACTCAAACAAAGATGGTCCTCAGGGGAAGCCATTTTCTACCAGATTAGCAGGCCTTGCCAATGCCGTGGGTATTCTCGACGCATGTTTTAGAGACGCATGGGTGTACATGCTGATCTGTGAGTTGTTAGCGTGCGTCGAGTAGCTAAGAATATCCTAGGCGCTGACCGCTGTTTAGACCTTGTGCATCAACTCTAGATGGACAACTAGTTACTTGGCTTCTAAATTCGAGAGGCAATCGCATATATGCAGTAAACATTATCTATATCTATATGAATCATAATCATAAGACGCTGAAACCAACGTGAGGCGTAAATGCATAAACCCAAATGTATGTCATCCAGATGCGCTGCGAGACAAATAACCAAAGACCATGCTCATAGCTTCGGCGTGAACTTGCTCATCGCCCGGATCTTCTTTCCGTAGAAGAAGAACACTATCGGAATCGGGATCATCGCAACAGTCAAGAATCCCAGCAATGACGACGCCCAGTCCACCCCGAGCTTGTGATACATTTGCACAGCGAAGAGCGGGAACGCGCCACCGAGGCCGCTCCGAACCAACGTGTTCGCCGCAATGGCCGAGTTGGCGAACATCATGTACACGTCGATGATGTAGTTCAGGCCCTGCATGAAAATGACCAGGATACCCATGCCGATGGGCACTCCGGCAATCACCTGCGGCACCCACGAGATGTTGCGGTCAGAGGTCCAGCCGAACCAGAACAGACCCACCGGCAGCAGGATAGACGCCGGGATCATGGGGATGAGGCGCTCCTCCGGCACCACGCGGCCGTGTTTGGCGAGCTTGCGCGCGAACCGCGTCTTGGTCTGCCAGATGATCAAGGCGACGCCGCAGAGGACTCCGATCATGATTCCGAGGAAAGGCAGACCGGCGATGCCCCCGTTTGTCCAGCCGCGGACTTCTGTGAAGGAAATCGGGTACGCTTCGAAGAAGAGGTAGAGGATTCCGTAGATCAAGGCGAGGTAGATCGTGATGAGGAGGAGGATCGGCTCCAGGAACAGCATTTGGACCGGACGCAGGAGATACTTCCGTACAATCTCAGAGGCGGTGGGACGATGTTCGTCGAGGAACGAATGCAGCGCCCAGTTGCCGGTCTCGCGACGCAGGCGAGCGGCACGTCTCTGGAGAAGCACCGGCCCATACGTCTCCGGGACGATGAACAGAGCAATGGAACCGAACGTGGCGGACGCAATAAGAGTGATCCATGCCGTCCATCGCCAGCCGAGGTACGAATCCGTGATGAAGCCACCAACAATGGGACCTACACATGGTTAGAGAACATGAAACCGTAACATGAACTTTGGGGTGACATACCCAGTACCGGACCAACAAAAGTAGCAGCAGAGAACATGGAAATAGCCACAGCACGATCGATAGGGTCCCAGAAGTCTGCCATAGCACCGCCCACGACGGCCAGAGGCGAGCAGCCAAAGACACCGAGCAAGAAGCGGCAGATCATGATAGTTTGGAGGTTTTGCGCCACGGCGACGGGGATCTGGAAGATCGAGAAGACGGCATAGCCAAAGAACAAGGGTATTTTACGACCGTACAGCTCAGACATTGGTGACCAGACCAGCGGCCCAAGTGCAAACCCGAACACCACCAAGCTCGTTGCAAGGGTCATAACTTCAGTCGAGACGTCGAACTCCTCCGCGGTGACCCTTGTGGCCGTGGAAAACACGCTGCTGCTGAATGTTATCCACATAGTGAGGGACGAAAGTGTCATGGTGATGAGCCATTTCCTCCATGTTGGCATATTCTGTGGGTGCTCGGGGTCGTCGGGTCCATCCCACTCGACGATGTTGGGATCTTTGGGCGGTGCCGGCGGGGAGTCGACCGGGGCTCCAGCATTCTTTTCCGCGTCGAGGTCTTCCAGGTCCTCCATGCTCATTCCATGAAGGCCTTCGAGTGATCGAGATTCTGAGTTGAGGGTGACGTCTGAAGATTCAAGGTGCTGCCGTTCATGGTGCGGAGGATCGTGCGGCGTTGCGCCGACTTCAGTGTTCGTACTCATTTCAAAAGATGCGTATGACCGAATGCTAGAAGAACTGTATTGTTCTATCTTATCTTTCGTGGAGCCTTTGATATCGCCACCCAGGGCTGAGGCTCGAACCGGAGATTATGTAGCTTGTATAGCGGAAGAACAAGAAACTCCAGATCGGATCTGGGGGTTCGAGGCCTTATAAACCATCGTACCTTCCTTTATCAACGGTGGGTACGCAAAGAATCTGCAATTTACGGAGCAAGCCCATAATACTGGCCCAGCATTTTTAGGCAGAATTTTCTGGTACGTTATTAGAAATTCGATGCTGCAAAGGAGGTGGATAACGGCACACTGTCCCGATCTCCACCCTTCCAGAAGGTGAATATCATACTACTTGGACATACCTCTTAAATCCGATAGCCCGAGTCCGAGGAGCGATCCAACCTCAGGCACATGAGTCAACATAAGGTCCCGATGAGATCATCGTGGATAATTATTCATCACCAGAGCCACGCAGTACCCCTTGCACCCTGTCAGATTGCATAAAAGCAAGCTGATAAATCTCGCCATCGAGGAGTCGGCATCCGTGTGGCCGTTGAACGATGACGGCGGCGAAGACCATCGGAACTGGTTAGCGCATAGGGCAGCTCGCGCTTCGGCCTTCCGAGCCCCGATTCCCGTCTGGTTGCACCCACTTATTGGGCCAGAGAAGCAGAGAGTGTCCACTCTACCCGGCGGCTTGGCTTTTTTATTTCGACACTTCTGGGTCATTCGGTAGATGGCCGTCTGCGCAATTCCCGAGGCTTTGGGGATTTTCGCTTCTTATCAAGTCGAGACCAAGTACGTTTTGTTATTCCACGAAGCATGGTTGTTGTCTTTGTCTATCTCGACTTGGGGATCGGCCGCTATTCAAACAAATCGGCGTCCGACTCGGCTCGGACGGCATCCATGTCAGCTTAACCACGTGGTCAGCAAGTTAGGCTGATTTCGCCGAACTCTCTAGTCGTACTCGAGGTGGCTGTTTCGTAAGATGAGCTAATGCAGGAGCTCGGAGATCCGGGCTATGGATGCGAATCCGAGTGAGATAAGACCGGACCGAAGCTTGTGATCCCAGCAGATCTTGGTCGAGGCGCTTGTTTAGCGTGGATTCACCTGGAGTATGCATCCATGCCTAAGGGTCATCGCAAAGGACTGGGCTCGGCCCGTGGTAGTGATGACGTTCAAATGACAAATGTCTCCTGGAACTATCATCTTTGTCAGAGGCATGGATAGGTATCCCGGTAGGTAAAAGGTAGTTTTTCTTACGAGATTTCCTTGTTGACTGTCAGATTGGCGTAGAGGGTGGATAGAACAGAGAAGGAGAGGAGTGAGCGAGGTGATTGAGGTGAGGGGGAGCAGGTGACGACCATCGACGTCTCAGGCTCCCACAATAACTTTCGATAGAAACACTGTTGACACCTACACCAATTCCCCAATATCCTGCGGAGACCCGAGAGTTGGATCCAAATGATGAAGTCGTCCCTCTCGCCGGAGGCAGGTCAATAGCGAAGACAAGAGGCCGCTTCTTCGACCTTTAAGTTCTTCTCTACATCCTCTCCAACCATAGCATCTAATCCGCTGTCCTCGGGAGGCCTCTTCGCGTCTTCGGTCGAACTTTCCCACTCTTAGTGGCAGCAGGTATGGAGTTGATATGAACGCAGTGCCAATATCAACCCTGCCGTCGCGCTTGACGAGCATGAGAGTCTTATGCAGGGACGTGGTATCGTTATGCTAGCAAAGAAACAAGAGTGTTTCCAACCCTGCATCGCTTCCAGAAATGTCCACGCTTGCGCAATCCAGTCATAGAACATGATTGTCGTGAGGACCATGTCCCGAACCAGGAGGGCAAATGTCAGCCTCGCCAATTCTGTATTCGCAGGGATGTAACTGAGTGACTGACATGTATGAAGTGTTTGATCAGAGCTGAAGTCTGGAAGCCTGGCTGTAGCGGGTCAGTCAATTGTCTAGAACCTGTCTCATGGTCAGAAATCCAAGCCATCCCACTACAGAGCTACTAAAATGAAGAGATAGAATGGATAGACAATTTGCCGTACCAGTTGGACTAGACATTGGCAACAACCACAAGTACAAACTGAACATACACAAAAGAAAGGAAATGGGTATACATTTCAAACTTAAGCAACAGCACAGCAACTAATTTCCACTCGCACATCCATTCCCGATAGATCAGCAGAATAAATGAGTAAAACACATCCAGGTCAGATGGCACCGTCCGAACACAAGGCAAAGGCTCCGTCAAGGAATGAATCAAACATGGACAATGAATGGAATGCTGGGGAATCTCAGGTACATCGAACACGCCCGTCAGTCAGCATCTTTTCAACCCCTTCGAGAGGATCGTCGGGTAGGAAGGGACACTGTCGTGGGCTTGGCAGCACGTTTGCCTGCGGATCTCTTGACCGGAGGAGCTGGAGGAGGTGAGACAGCCTCTTCGGCATTTTCATCTTCATCGTCTTCGCTAGCATCGTTGTCTTTGCCGTTGGCTTCGCTGTTGGCATCTTCTCCAGCTTCTTCTTCCTCTACTTCCTCTTCCTCGTTTTGACCTTCCTCTTCCTCGTCCTGGTCCTGGTCCCATTCATCCATTTCCATATCGTCCTCGTCGCTGTCGCGGTCTGCATAGCTGACCCGCCTTGACGTGCCTCTGCTACTACGGCGGCGCGCCGATGCGGAGACTTTGACAGCTTCCCCGCCGTCGGAAGACCAGCCATCGTCAGTCTTCTTCTTCTTCTTTGGGGTCTTGGACGTTGCGCCCGCTGAGGACGAGGTGCGGCGACGGGTTGCCCGCTCCTTCCGAGCCTTCTTGGTGGCACCATCGTCCCCGCCAGTGAGGACAGACTCGGACTTGCGTTTCTTCGCGGAACCCTGGTGCTGTGACGCGTTCCTCGGCTTCATTGCGGACCGCACAATCTGATCAAGCCGCTCATCCACATCATCTGGGAGGAAGTTCTTCTCTGCAACTTCCAGTGCTTCGCGATGGCTACCCATTTGCGCGAAGATAGAGCTTGGCACTCCCATCTTGCCCGGATAGGTTTCCAGGATGGAAGCGCCGCCACCGATGCCACCCAGTCTCCGCTGTTGGGCGTAAATATCGGCGAATCGGCGAATGGTTGACTGAGCAAGGTCAGAAAGGGTATGCAGACGGGTGCTCATCTCGTCCGTCTTGGTGATGCCGTCGCGCGTCTGCTTCACACGCTGCGCGATGTGGAAGATCAACGAAAGGTTGTGTTCGTTTGCCACTGCGGAGAGGTAGAAAAGGATGTACCGAGAAAAATCAGCTAGGTCGTTGAATTTCGTCTCATCATCCAGGTTTTCTGGCGGATAGTCAGGGTGGTACGCAAGCAAAGACAGCAGGCGCGAAAAGATAGCTTCCATGACTGTTTGCTCGTTCTTCTTGCCACTGCCTTGTTGAGAGAAGAAGGCGGCGCGCGACCGTAGCCAGGTAAGCGTGCTCTCCTTCAAGTTCGTGTTGGGTTCGAAGGCAAGCAGGAATGGGATCGTATACCAGCGCTGACTCAAGTGAGTGTTCTGCACAAGCTTCTTCTTCAGTTGACTAATAAAACCCTCCCTCACTGGAGGAAGCGGGTCTTGGGCAACCGTGGCAATCGAGTTGAAATCACTGGGGGTGAGGAGTTGGTCGCAAAGACTCTGGGAGGCGCAGAGTTTCAGCAAGGACCTGGCCGCAAGGAGCCGAAGTCGTGACTTTTGCACTGCTGGCGTGTCCTTTTTCTTTGATATCTCACCTTCACCAACGATAAGCTTATTGAGAGTACTATACACAGGTTCGGCGTGGGCTCGGAAGTCGTCATCACTATCCGAGCCGTCCTTCGCGCGAAGGCGATTGACAATAATTTTCAGAGCCCATTCCTTGGCTGCAGTTTCATCGTCCACGACATCAGACCACTTGTAGCCGGAGTCCGGCTCGGGTGATCGATTGGTCAGAAGGATTTGATTCACAGCAATCGAGATGATGGCGTCACTCTCCTCATCCGCCTCCCGCGGTGCTAGAAGGTTCAACTGAGACAACGCGGCGAGTTTCGTCAGGAAGCGATCTGATCCAAAGCTCCATTTGGATACGCATTTCTGGATGAGGTCCTTCGCATACATTTCCTTCTTATCGACGATAGCCATCAAAATGGTGACAGCATGTTTGGCTGCGCGAGGCGATGGGCTGTAGAGCGCGTAATCCGCAAGAGCTTTGAAGAACTTGCGTTCCTTAGGCAGTTTTCCTGGGAGCTTTTTCGCAAAGCCTGAACATGCCTTGAGGATCTCCTCCGTACCTGATTCGGCGGTCGTCGACGGCTTGGGTGCTTGAGATTCAAGATCCTTGCACATCTCCTGGACCTGTGCTTCCAGAACTTCAGGATTGCGGGAGGAAATTTCTCGCAACATCTCATGTGCTGGCCCTGCCAGTCCGTTCTCATCCGTCCTGGAAAGACTCATGATCGCCGGGATATGGCTCCTGTTGAAAACAAGCGAGCTACAGCGGTACAGAAGTGGCGTGAGCGTATCCAAAAGGGGGGTGTTGTTAGCGCCCTGGATTCTCCTCGAAAGTTCCTTGATAGCTTTGATGACCGTGCGGTAATCACTGACAGCAGCCATCGCAAAGCGGATAAGCTGGTAGCTGCGGCGATCATGCAGTTTAGCGAACTTCCACAGATCAGCGGACGTGCGGGAGGCATCGGGGAAGAGTTTAGACAATGTGTCGATAACACGGCTCAGCTGAGCTTTGATCTGTTCCTCTTTCTTTTCCATTACACCGCCCTAACCGATATTAGTCTCTGGAATCGCTGTAGGTGCCATCTTCTGCTTACATTGTACTCTTCGCAGGCCTGGAGGTAGATTGTGACAGCTGTTCGCAACTGGATCTGGCGGGCCTGTAAAGCAAAGAAAACTTTTTTCGCCTTGTCGTCCAGTCCTTTGAGCAAGGTGAGAATGCGCCGGACACGAATCCTGTCCACATCCGTTTCAGCGTCAGATTCTGATACCTGCGAGTCCTTCTGCTTCTGGGATTGGCTCGAGCTGCTGCGCGATAGTTTAGATTTGATGGGAGGATAGTTGAGAGGGAGAAGGATTTCAAAAAGGACTCGGTCGATCAGCATATGGATATCGGGCTCGTTGGTATAGTAAGCATCGAAGATCTTCGAAGGCGCGTCCTTCAGTAGAGGAACGATCTGGTCGTTGTCCTGCTCTATCTCGCCTGCTGCGACGGCCCACATGCGCGCAAGAGTCTTCATGGCATGCTCCCGAACTTGAGGCTTCCGGTCTTTGACACGCTCGGCGAGGACGAATAATATCGAATCCGGAGAAGACACACCACCACCAGCCCCTAGCTTGTGTACAATATGCGACAAACCAAATGTGCCCACTGCGTCTACGGCAGCCACGCGGACCTTCTCATCTGCATCCCGCAGCATAGAACCCAGATACTGAATGAGTATCTGCTCTTCAGCTTCCCCCATGCCAGATCGACCCGCTGATGTGAGCAGAATGCGTCCGGCGGCCGTCGCCCAGGATGCGCGCACGGAGGGGGACTTATCTAACCGGCGGCTTATGAAGCCCTCATATGTCGAATTGTGAACCTGGGAGAACGACTTGGGCGATGAAGGGTTTACAAGATCGTTAGGTTGTGGAATAGTTTGGTCGTACTCGACCAAGGTCACTGGTGGGTAAGCGGCAGGATCCATTGGAGGGGGAGGTGGTGGTCCAGCAACTCCAATCCCGGCAGTGAGGTCGCCGATCGTCTGCGTTGCCAGCAGTCGCAACGAAGTTGATTCAGCAGACAATTCCGCCTCCAGCTGAGGTACGACGTTCTGTAAGACATCGGGACAGGCTTTCCAGAGCTCCCGAATCAAGCGATGGGCTTTGCTCAGTTCCCTGATGTCTTCGCCCTCCTCGTCGGAGTCGTCCAGATTCGGCCGACGATGCGAGTTCTTCGATGAGCCATCCGCCGGAGGAGCCGAAGCATCGATAATGACGTTATTGAAATACTGGCTGATATGGCTGGTCATTCGGTCCGTACAAGCCTGACAAATCGCCTTGGACATCTTGTAAGCCGCGGGATAGTCCTTTAGGAGCAGTGTGCCCTGCTTCGAGTCGACCGGCGTGTCCTTCTTGCCTCGCTTCGCAGGGTAGTCCAAGGCGCGTGGGTCGATGCGCAGAAACTGGGCCACGATCACGTCCACCACATCTGGGGCAAGAACCGGCGACTCATCGATGACCGTTGTGAGTAAGCGAGTCATGTCATACTCGACATTCTTCGCGATTTCTTCGCCCGTCGAGGCCTTGGAGGAACCGGAGACGATATCGAAGCAAATTGTGAACAAGGGAATGATCAATGAGTCCGGATGGTCTAGGTCTGTCAACAGGACGATACTCTTGACTTCCGCCAAGGAATTCAACACGTAGATATGCTGAGCATTGTAGGTGTGGGAGGGATCCCCCAGCGCGGGAATCACTGAAGTCACGATGCAGGTAAATATATCCTTATTCGCCCAGAACGTCAGTACACTTGAGGGGGCCTTGGTGATTTCCCCCAATCTGGCGAGGGACGATGGGGCGCACCTTGAGCTGGTTACCGGTGAAGGGCGCGTCGGGGGCGCAAAGGCGCAAAACATCGACGATACAACACGTCGTCCACGCCCTCACTCCCTTGTCCTTGTGGCCGAGAAGCTGTGGGGTGGCTAGCTCCTGCGACACCTTCTTGAGGGACTCTTTCTCGACCTCCTCCTGCTCGAGTTTGCGCAGCTCCTGCGCGAGGGTCTGCAGCCGTTGGAGCAGGTCGGCGATGGGAATGGCTGCGCGCCCCACGCGCCACGTCAATGGTTCATTGAATTTGAGGCGGCGGAGATTGCCGGAAGTCTCTTCGGTATCCACGACCTCCGTGGTGACGGAGGGGCCCTGACGAGTGCGCGCAGGCATCGTGGACGAAGCGCGGGGAAGCCGAGTGGTGAGGGTAAGCTTCAATGCACCATGCGCTCGGTCCGCCAAGGGGAGAAAGGGGAGGACTAGATCACAGTCACGGGGCGAACACAAGCACGGGTATAGAAAAGAAAATGACAGATGGGCGGAAGCGGGATGAAGGAAGATGGATGTTGACACGCTCCGAGTTGTCAACGGGGACGATGGATTGGAAGCATCAACGGCTTCCCGTTCCTGACCGCCTTTGCCCGATGGGGAAAAGACGCGTCGCGTGTTTGTCTCATAGGAAAAATGTTTTCTTTTTCTCCACACTCTACCGTCCTCGAACTATACAAACATTGATCCGACAATATGTCGCGAATCCATGATACATGATATACTGCTTTATCTTCACTGTGTTGGGGCCATTTACCTACAGCTATACGAAGACACATTCCAGAAAACTAGGTGCGAAGCACCTTGGAGAGAATCCACTCATGTACGATAGAGAAGGCAATATATATCCAGCTAGCTACTCATACCCTCTGCTGTGAGGCTCTCTTGGAACATATTTACTGTCAGGATACTTAGTCGAAGGAAAGGGTACGCAGTATATTTGCATACAACTTCTCTGAGACCACTTCTGAAGACCATGGATGTATCGTCCCAGGTAGTCCGGGTTAGATAATACTTCTCAATTGCACCTTCGCGTCGTGAAATGGCTACCAGGCTGGGAGTTTAACGTTACGAGTGACCACTTCCGGGAGCTTAGCGCAGTGGACTCTCTGAAAATCAACAAGCGAATAGGTCCATGCTATTTCTAAGATGTATGGGAATCTACATTCCTGGCTTTCACTGTGCAAACAGATATTGGACCAAGCAACATCAGACCATCAAATTCTTATAATCGTATTCCTTGTCCATAAAACCTCAAGAGTGCAAAGTAATTGCGACATTATTACCCCCATTGAAATACAACAACTCCAAGACAAAAATCAAATCGAACGCCGCTCTTTACTCGTTAACCTTGACAATCTTACCCGTCTCAACTTCATAGATATAGCCCGTAACAGGAACATCAAGAATAAGCGGGCTATCCCGCAGCAGACGGATGTCATCCAAGACACTCTGCCGGAGCTCCTTGAACGGCAAGAAAGCAATGTGATCGGCGTTTTGCTGAAGGTCGGCTCGGATTTTGCTGTGGATGTTCTCATCCGTGAATGTTAACATGCCACAATCGGTCTGCAAGACGTCAGGCCGTTAAGTCTCCACATGATCGTCTCAGAATAGGCTCATACATGATGCACGATGATAATCTCCCGCGTGCCCAGCAGTTGCTGTGAAATGATGAGACTCCGTAGAGCATCGGTCACTCGGCCACCGGCATTTCGAATGACATGGGCATCGCCTTCTTCAAGCCCAAGGGCGCGGGCGACATCTTGGAGGAGTTAGCCCGGCTTGTTTGATCATGCTCTGGGTTAGAACCGCACTTACCCAGGCGCGCATCCATGCATGCTACTATGGCCACCTTTCGTCGTGGTGGGAGCTGCAAGTCTCCCTTGGTGAAGGAAGCCGCATACTTGGTATTGGCGGCCTCGATTTCTGCGGCAACGGACATGGTGGTACCTGTTGATTTATATGGATATGGAAGAGACGAGGAAATAAAAGGGAGATTGCCTTGAGAAGCACGTTCACAATGCTGTTGGCGTCAGTTGTATTATATGCCGTCGAGGTCGTTTGGTGTCGCCATTTACCCCGCTCATTGTTCCATCGACATAGAAGAAATCGCCCTACTCTCATTGTCTCTTGGATAAAGTCAAATGAAGATCTACCCGGCATATGGAATGGTTTTTCGAGTGTCTGATGAGCAAGAATTGATGATTGGGCTCCATCGGTCATAGTGTGAGAGACGGATGCCAACTAGGTATCTAGATCCCTGGTGGCGGGGATTGTAGTTGCATGAACAAAGGTTTAGTCGACTCCACATAATACTGGGTTTGAAGCACCTAATTCCCTGCCAATTGTAACTACTCACTATGTATAAGAGAACTCCATCTGGCGAAACCCACTTATATCCCCAATACGTATTCATCTGAAGGTAAGCCCGTGTCGTGGAACAGCGATGGGACGGAAAAGTTTAGACCGTAATCGTCCTGTTGAGCGGACAGCACTGGGGTTAAATTTGAATCCTTATCGGAAAAAGGACGCCAGCGGCTGATCTCATTCTTTCTATTTGTTAAAACTTTGCTAACAGTGGATACCCGCTGTTCAGCAGTCTTTCGAATGTTAGGTATGCATTGGGGATAAGAGGATATACATGTCGACCACTCCAGTTACAGACCGGGACGCAGCAGACTGAAGGAACCCAGAGTTCTCGAGCGAAGAATGGAATAAGCTACATACAAAGACTGTACAGGGACGTTGGTTGCCGAAATGGTGCCGTTCTGCACGGTCCCCCCAGCACCTCCACCATGGCACACACTAATCCAGTTTACACCTTCAGGGTCAAGACACCAGGCCTCCAGGCCAGCTGGTTGTAGTCGCCGCTGCTGTTGGGGTCCTTTCCTTGGTAGAGGAGCTGCAGGTTGCAGGGGTCGACGGTGAAGGTCTGGTCAGGGTTGTTGCGGACCAGATCACCGTGGCTGATGTCGTTGGTCCAGGAGGCGCCGCTGTTGGCCTTGCCGGCGAAGGGCTGGTCCTCGGTGCCAGCCTGCACAGTCCACTCGCCATCGAGGCTGCTGGCGGTGAAGGAACGGAAGTAGCGGCCGGCGGACCCGATGGCCTCGACGATCATCAGGTACTGGTCCTGGCCGTCGACCTTGTAGACCTGGACAGCCTCGAACAGGTTGTTCGTAGTGTCCTCCAGGACGACCTCGGACTGGGTGCCGAAGTCGCCGGGGAAGTTGTCAATGGACATGCTGGCGCGGTAGATGCGGCCATTGTCGCCAGCGAAGAAGAGATACATGTTGGTGTCATCGCCGATGACGGTCTGGTCGATGACGCCCGTGCTGGAGTCGGAGATGGAACCCGAGAAGAGAGGCTGCGCCTCGGACCAGCCGTTGGCGTCGGAGGGATCGCTGGACGTCTTATACGAGAAGGCCGTCGGGCCCCACTGGTAGGCCAGGATCCAGACGTCCTTGGGCGCGAAGTAGAAGATGGTTGGGGCAACGGCACTCGCGCTCATGGCGTTCTGAGACGCCGAGGCCATGTCCGACCAGTCGGCGAAGGGGCTAAAGGCCATCGACCCGTAGTTGCCGGAGGAATCGGTAGTGGAGGCGTACACGATATGCTGGCCGTTGGACACGACGTTGGTGAAGTCCTTGAGCGCGGTCCATCCTGACTTGGGCTCAGCGAGGGCTTCGGTCGACGTCCAGCTGTAGGTAGAAGGCAGGGAGCACGACGCCGCGGCCCCGGAGGCCAGCAACACGGCCCCCGACAGCACTTGGGTGACCTTGGATTGACGGGGTCTCATTGTGGTGGGTTGAATTGCAAAGAAGGGGGAAAGACGGTGGAAAGGCGTGGAGCAGGAAACAGAGACCCAATGGCGGGCAAGGTTTATATACGTTTTGTCGGCTTCACCCTCGACATGACGAAACGAACGAGCGCAGGTACTCGTCTCAGTCTGCGGATAAAATCCGAAGCAAATCAGCCGACAGCTGCCTTGGATGTTGTATCTGCCGCAGCATTAGCTGCCTGGATATAGCGACTCCCCGGCATCATTGGCCGGACAAGGACAGGCACAGCAGGGGATAAAGCCACCCCGCAGGACAACAGGACGGATTTTTGCCGTTCCACGCCTAGCGTGCCTCGCATGTTAATTAAACCAGCCCTGAAGACTGAAGATCGGCGCCCATCTCCGCAATGTGGCGCTGTGGTGGTCTAGCGCTGCGCACTAACGAGGGGAGATGAAACCGGCTCCGTCGAGATACACCAATTGCTATTTCCCTCGGCTGTGGCCACGTTCCGACCAGTCTCAGTCTGCTACTTGGGCTTTTCTTAACCCGTCCTTGTTATTCCAGAAGGCGCATGATCCGGCAATGGGCGGCTGAATGCGAGTGGTGTCGGTCCTGCTCTCTGGACGGCCCTGTGCTCCGTGTTGTACATGGTGCATTTCCTCTGGGGGACGGCTAATATGCAGACATACAAGCCGAATGACGCTGTGGGATTGAAGTTTCCCCGCGATGGACAACTTGGTGCCCCTACATAAGTGCAATGGCTCTTGCAGTCATGCAGATCTATTGCCATCATCACCTCTTCACGGGCAAAGTAGTCAAACTCCCGACAGACGATAGTCTACTTCCATCGGACACCCGTGGATATGGCGTCATTTAAGATTCTGGCTGCTCCTGCAGTACTATGGCTTAGTTCACTTCTAGCCCAGCCTGCCTGCGTTAAAGCGGACAACCCCATCGTGCAGGACATATACACCACCGATCCAGCGCCATTTGTGTATGATGACCGTATCTACCTCCTCACCGGCCACGATGAAGACGGCTCTACCACATACGACATGCGGGACTGGCGCTTGTTTTCGTCGGCGGACGTTGTGAACTGGCAACACCACGGAGTCCCCATGAGTCTGAGCACATTTGAATGGGCAGACCTGAACGCATGGGCGGGCCAGATCGTCCCTCGTAACAACAAGTTCTACGCCTATGTCCCGATTCGGCACGCGTCCACTGGTGGCATGGCGATTGGCGTGGGGGTGAGCGACAACATAACGGGCCCATACACCGACGCGATCGGGAAGCCTCTGGTCGAGAATTCCGAAATCGACCCGACGGTCTACATCGACGACGACGGCCAGGCCTACCTGTACTGGGGCAATCCCGGGCTGTGGTATGTCACGCTAAATGAAGACATGATCTCGTACAGCGGCAGCATCAACAAAGTCGACCTCACCGTTGAGGGGTTTGGCCCGCGCAGGGGCGAGTCCACTCGCGCTACTGCGTATGAAGAGGGACCCTGGCTATACAAACGGGGAGACATCTACTACATGGTGTACGCGGCGAACTGCTGCTCCGAGGACATCGAGTATGCAACCGCTCCCAGCGCCACCGGCCCCTGGACCTACAAGGGGATTGTCATGCCCACACAGGGAAAAAGCTTCACGAACCATCCCGGGGTGATTGATTTCAAGGACCACTCCTACTTCTTCTACCACAACGGCGCGTTGACCGGCGGCTCGGGATACACGCGGTCCGTCGCGGTGGAGAGTTTCGTCTATAACTCTGACGGCACGATCCCCGAGATGAACATGACCACAGAGGGTCCGGCGCAGATTGGCACTCTCGACCCGTACGTGGTGCAGGAGGCAGAGACGATTGCGTGGTCCGAGGGCATCGAGACGGAGGTCTGCAGCGAGGGTGGACTGAATGTCGCGTACATCAACAATGGGGACTACATCAAAGTCAAGGGCGTCGCGTTTGGGAACGGGGCAGCGAAGTTTACGGCTCGTGTAGCGTCGAACACTGCTGGGGGTACTATTGAAATGCATATTGACAGCAAGACGGGCCCTGTCATCGGCAGCTGCAAAGTTTCTAGCACCGGAGGCTGGCAGAGCTGGGAGAGCGTTGAATGCCCCGTTAGCGGTTCTGAGGGGACTCACGATCTGTTCCTGACTTTTGTGGGCGATGGTAGTGATTCTCTGTTCAATTTCAACTGGTGGCAATTCTCGCAGTAGGGAGATGCTGACACGGGGTGGTCTGAGGTATATCTGGTGGATTTATATCTATCGGCATGGCCGAAGGACGCGTTTAGTTAATCAACACTATAGTGAGTGCAGCATTGCATTGCATGACATTGCTGGAAAACAACACAGCGACAACTCCACTGGCTTCCTGGTCGTAATCTCCCTTGAAACGCGGGTCAATTCGGAGCCCCTTGGTGGGCGCATCATACATGCCCCTTAATGGAGTCATGTAAAATGGAGCTACTAGGGTTGTTGTCTCACCATTGCCCCAGTTAATCAACCATCCGGCCCAGCGATCTGCTTTCAAACAGCTAGTCTCTTCAGACTTGCAATTGGTCACTGATTAAAGAAAGATTATAAGCGATTATATTATGTACCACTGTGATGTACAAAAGGTAGATCACACTGAGTCCATGTATTGTCAGGACAGCGTGGACCCTCACTGAGGCTAGTAATTCGTGGTAGAGGGAGGCTCTCCCTACGCTCGAAAACGGCCTATAAACTTGTGTCATCCGACAGTTGGTTCCTGATAGCAGGCGTGGTGGATTCGTCTGAGATCCTCTGCTCAGGGTACGTAGTATCCGTCCAGGGCTCAAAAATGTGAGCGCCGCGGTGTAGGGAGCTAATATTCTCCCAAACCAGACAGAACACTATCAGAGCCATGATGATCGACAGGGTCGAGGTAAGATCAAGACCATCCCTGAGGCCAAGAAGAATGATGATAAGCCCGATAATCGGACGAACAATGATGCGAAGATGCTAACGACACAGCCACATTAGTATACAGCTTTTTACGCGACGACGACTACAAAAAACTTACCTTGGGTAATAACAGTGTCCCTGGAGCGTCCTTATCCTCGAACAACAGTGCCAAGGCATAGAGACAGAACAGGCCAGTTCCAAGGCTGCCACAGAGGAGCCACCGCTCAGCGTGATGCAGCGTATTTTCCGCAGTCGTGGCAGCGGCCACATGTCCGCTTGCCAACAAGCTCGCGGCGAGTGGCAGGTGTATGGAGACCCAGCCGAAGGCAGTGTAGACCGAATAGCGGAACGGATGGGTACCGTCCAAAGCGCCGTCGTTGTGGACGTACATCCAATTCAGGCAGAACGCGATGACCAGCGTCCAAACTGCATGGAGCAGACCGGGATTGAAGCCTATCGCGGCTGGCGAGCCGACCACGATCTGGTATAGATATTCACCCAGGACGATGATGTAAAATGCGGCGAAGCGATCGACCTCGTGCGCTATATCCACGGCGGTTGTATATCGGACCTTAAGCATCTTTTTCGCGGCCGGGGAGTAGCAGAAGATCCAGGCGCATTCCTCGAAGACGACGCCAACGGCCGCCGCCGCAATCTTGCCGCGCAGCGATACAGAGTCAAAGTATAACGGAATATAGATGCACATGGCCACCAGCGTGAACGCCACCCAGAGTCGCTGCTGCGCACGGTGGTGATAGCTGGCGAACGAGTACAGCAAGTGCGCCGCAGCGCAAGAGATGCGCGCGACCATGTAGCAGCCGACCGTCGCGCGCATGGCTCCAATTTCCTCGTCGACAAAGGGGGCGTTGTTACCGTACATGACTAAGACGGCCATCAGCCACAGGATGAGTCCGCGCTGCAACAGGTCGTCGTTATAGAACGAGTTCATCAGTTCTCTGATGTCGGACCAGACATGCCAGGATGGCGCGAGGATGAGCTACAACCCCGTAGCGGTACAAGGGTCAGCGTGGAAAGTGGTAAAGCGTTATGTCTGTGAGCGACCCTTACAATATACTTGACCAGCTTGGCCCCCGAAATGTCCTCGGCCAAAGTCTCCGCAAAGTTGGCCAACATGGAGACGTAGAGCAAGTCTAAGAAGAGTTCAAAGCGTCCTGCGCGGGTCTCTCTCAGTATCACCGAATTTGTTGATAGGGCGCGAGGACCCTACCTGCCTGGCGTTCGCCTTCTTGACGCTTGACCAGCCTCCCATTTTCAAACCATTGCAGAGCGCGCGGCTGACGGAAGAGATGTCGTGCGCTGGTTGGAGGGCGATTGTCATCGAGCCCCATGATGGAAGCCATTCCAACGGGGGCGGAATTGTAACTCCGTAGATGAAGAACGAGATAGAGCACCGAGGATCTGGGTCAGGGGCGGAAAGAAGGTAAGAGATCTGATGAACCCATCCCTAGTGTCTTTAGTGGAATGCCCTAAAAACTTTTTCTGTGGGATACGACCCGACGATCATTCTCCCCATTTTTTGTCCGAGTCCTGCTCCAGTACCAAACTCAGCTATCTGGGTGTTAGCAGATTTTAACTTGGGTGATCCGCTGAGCCCAATCTGATATAGACGTCATCGTTTGATTCTACCAGGGGTCCTTATAGAGACCCTGTGAGTCCGGATCTGGGTAATTTCGCCGGATATCTCCGATCCTCAAATGCTTATCTTCACCCACCACAGCACTGCAATGGTTGTAAGAGTGGCACAGTCAGCAATTATATATCAAAAGTTCCATATTATCATTAACTCTATAGTTCTATCCCGTCATTATCATCAATGGGCTCGGTCAAGCCATGCAATTAAATATTTCGACTATCAGGCTCTGCGAAAACCACGACGTCAGACAACCACTCCTATAGTCCAGAGTTAAACGAAACTCACCATCGCCAGCTGGGTCTAATGGCCCTGACCCGCATACCGACCAGGTGGGAAATTATACTCGTCTTCCCAGTGCTGCTTGGCCGCCATGAGGGGACCCCAACGCTTTTTGACTTGATGTAGACGGTCCGCAATGCGAGTAATAACACGTGAGCGTTGCGAGGTGACAGAGGTGTTGCTCGAGGAAATGCCATCCTTGACGCGGACGGAGTGGATGGATGATGGAGTGCTCATTTTGGTGGAGGTATATGAAATAGCGGAGCAGACTTGCTCTGGGAGGGTTTGTTGCTTTCTAGTGCCCATTTTGAAATGGCAGAAGGCGCCTTATATATATACCTGATTCCGGAGAGAAAAATCAGATGCTTATTATGAGTCTATACCGAGATCAGACGCATCACCGAGTCTTGGCCGAGATATCTCCCCTTTTCAGTTGCTTTCCTTCTTTGGCCAAGCGGATCGATCTGACACGTGCGAACCAGTGTATGCATCAGAGATTGGTCGATGGGAAAATTTTTATCCAATAGATCTTGGGACATCATGAGGCGAACCAACATACGGTAGGTGGGTAGTGCTGCCGCAACTGTTATCGGCACAGTACCTGTCGACCTATCTATACAGCAATGGTGTACCAGCGACGTCCTAGCTAAGACCAGCACGATGAATTTGCCACTTCTGTCTAATTTTCTTAATCGTGTAGAATCGAAAGAATATTCGTTGTCCTCAATAGGAATCGTTCGGGTAGTGGTAGCATGACTGACGCAATACACTCGCCGAGGGATTGCAGCAAGTTCAATGACTGGTCAGTTCGGCTCAGAGAAGCTAGGGGAAATAGCAGTAGCAATGACTCATAAGAGGACATGCTGCTAAAAATGTCGTGTCCGAGAGTACTCCGTAGAGTATAGACTGTATACCAGTCATGCAATACACTTCGCCATACCCTAGCCCTAGGGCGGCTGAAGGTTGCCAAATCTTGATAGATCTTACTAATTGAGATCCATTATTCAACACTGACATCAGAAACCCTACCAGAACCAATGGCATATCCATGGGTCTGCGCGGCTAATGCGTCTATTGCTCCTGATGACTTGTTGAAAATGGTTCGGGATTATGTCGGCATATCCATGCCGAGCTAATTCCGCGCCTGTATACTATTCCCCCTCATGAGGAGAAACTCATCCCCGCACAAAACCAACTCACGTGCAGCTACTTGGGGCAAATATATCATTCTTCCATAGCTCTTGCTAAATATCTAGGTCTTCTCTACCTATTTAAACACGCTCGCTTGAACCGGTTGACGACGCAGTAAGGTTACACCCAAGTTATCGCATCCGCAGGCAACCGATTTGTCGCCCTGACTAATAAACCATCCGAGGTGTACCAGGTAGAGGCTTAGTGAATCAGCATAGATGCCACGGTCGGGACATCCCAGGATTGGATCTTGTCCTTGATAGGAAGTACCTTACTGGACTGGGAGGAAATCGAGAGTGAGTAGTGTGGTGTGATGAATCCCCTGCCCGCCTATGATGTAAAGGTACGATGGTTCAGCTCGAGCGATGGTGTAGGGAACTTATATTCCTGAAAGGGATCCGTAAATCGAGTTTTGGTTGTCTGCGCATGTCTCAAGATCAGGTCTCGTTCTATCTGTTGGTGGGATGGATGATCATCATTGAAATGGTTATAGAGCGTCTTTTTCTCCCTGTACTGATGCTTCGTCGCCTAACTCTGAAAGTCCAAGGATGCTCAGTACTTTATATTAAGTGTGCACTTGTCTCTAAGTGCGAACTGCCAGACCGAGATACTATATCTATAGTACTAGTTCGAATATCGTCTTCTGGATTAGGGTATAACTTGGGCGTAACAGATGCGGGCCTACGCAGCATGAGGTCAGCATAAATGGTCTCTGTAAATAATAGGCGAGAGTGGCCATACAGTCGGATTAACCTTTGAGTAAGCGCAAACCAATCTGCAGGCCTCCGTGCGTAGACAGACATCTGGTCCCGGACCCGTTCCTATCCGCGACTCTATGTCATTTGCAAAATACTGTACTCGTTCCATACTCTTTCACGCACATGATGCAGGTCTTGCCGATAAAAACCTACAGCCAACTGATCTACATGCCGAGGCTAGGCGGGGGCATGTATGTCGCCAACCTTGGCAAGCATCATCGGCCGAGTCGAAGGGCTTGATGGAATCTTGTCAAGCGTCCCTCTTGAACTGGAAACTGCTTGCTTACGCCACGCTAACTACTACCATGCATGGAATGTGATGACATGCGAGCTTTCTGCACCCTTTCTGTTTTGGATAACCTTTGTCATGCACCAAGCATGTAAGAAGTGACAAAAATGCACCCCTATTTTTGTAAGATTACGTCAATCCTATGTGGCGCTTGTCCGTCAGATAGAGCATAATAATAGACAAATATATCTGCATCTCGTAGGTGCGGTGAATAGTTTTATCAAATTAATCCTGCACATCAACCCCTACTATCTCCTCAATTTTTATGATGGATCTCCGATTCCATCGATTTACTCTATGGAACAATCTCTGATGTAGCTTTCATATACTGCCCAAAGACCTACTCCGTTCAAGCACGCTATGGAATCCACCACTATCTCAATATTATCTCTTTCTTTATGCTCGTGCGCCTTTGTCAAGGAGCCGATGATGTGCGTTCTCATGCTAAGCACTATCGCTATATTGGCCGCTTCGACATTCTTTCTTGAACGCCGGCTAAGCAACTGGCCGGTGGAAGATTTGATGGTTGATTCCTTCATGGGAAGGAGACGGATTCGGAGTGAAATGACAGTACGATAGGTAAGTTATGAATTCTAGCAAGGTAGAATAAGGCGATTGACCTCTACTTACATAGTTATATACGTCTGTTTTCCCAGCCTGAATTCAACCTTCATAACATGTGAGGTGAGGGTTTGCTGTCGGGTAGGAATATGATTTACGACGTTGAATATAGGACCTTATTCGGGCTCTACTCCGATGGCATATGGTAGAAATGACATAGGAAGCTCGGATGTTTGGCAAATAAATGCTCAGTTGTCACTTGGAGCTGCAAGGAACATCATTCAGTGGAAAAACCCAGGATCGATCCATCTTTGGAGCGTGAAGATGGGCAATAGGATTGAAAACTTATCCAAATCCAAGTCCTCATGTATTGCTAGCAGAATTTGCGGGTCGACTGTGTACACTGTTTCCAGTAACTGCATACCTAGGGACCTGGAAGGAGTAGACCTCCAACACAGATGCCGGCTCACTCGCTAACAGATAGCCGTGCCCATTGCGCTGGGTCAATCCGTCCGACCTTGCTAGCGTCCTCATAATATCGGCAAAACTTGCGTCCCATCTCGTCTTTCTCGCAGACCCGCTCATAAACCTCATTCATACAGTAGCGCTCGTCGGAGAGGTGCCAAGTCACATAGTCGTACATGAATCGAGTCAACGTGTCCAGGAGTCGAGGGTCTTTATCCTCGAAAACGTACATAACCTGCTCGCTGACATGGAGGAGATTGTGGGCAAGCTTCTCAAAGGCCTCGTGACACTCTGCCCCTCGACGTGGCAATAATTGTTGATCATCTTCGTCTGGTCGCGATGATCATCAAATTCCTTGTAAAATGACAGAACATCATTGAGCCAAGGCTCCCAGTTCTCCATCATGGAAATGGCTGTCGTGATTTCTTGGAACAGCTCCTGCTCGTCGAACTTTGCGGAGGGCCAGAGTGAGGCGCCAACTGCGTGGCCGAGACCGTTCAGCCGTCGTAAGAAGCCGGGATAATCCTCTGATCCGCGATAGCCGTGGAAGTTATATTGCTCGATCCAGCGGCCTTCGAAGTCTTGATAGGAGCGAACAGAAAGGTGTCAACAGGTGGGCCTATCCACTGGGAAAATAAAAACGGTGGGAAGGCGAGACAAAGACCCGAGGATCTGACTTATAATCCAGCGTGCTGCGGTATATATTGAACCTGCAGAAGGGTCCGTAGTGGTTCAAAACGTTTGGGAGATGCTTGTTGACCAACCTCCACCACGGGTGCCGCTGTTGCCTTCCGCGTGTCATATCGTCATGAAAATTATTCATTTCAGGGTAATGACTGTCCTGGGCAAAATGTATCTCTGCCTCGCTGTAGACGTACTCGAGGTTTCGAAGACGGTGCTCGTGGGTGTAATTTGTGTCCTTGTATTGAATGGTATCCAGTAGGCAAACCACGGTGCGAACGAAGTAGTCGATGGGAAAGCTTTGTTCAGACATGTTGCAAATATTGCAGAGGGAACAGGCAATGGAATAGGGACACTGAAGAAGTGTTACGAACTGCAGTGAGCTTCAGTGCTTCCAACGATACTTTCTTGGAGGAGGGAGAAAGGACATCTTTGTAGTCCTATACAGGAGGGAGGAATTCCGAGTATTAATTATGGGCACATATGCTCTTAGGATGGATACTGGCAAGTCTTGGGTGTCTATACACTCCGAGTTTCTACCCAGGGTTTCGACGCAGGTTTGACACATCCAAGGAAATAATGCAGAAGAATATGTACAACAAGATTTAATCTGATACTGGGCCATTTTATTCCTCTGGTGACGTATGAATTTCTTCTCAATGACCTATGTATTCCTATATAAGGATGATTGCATACTCCTTGTCGACTCGCTTACCGTGTTGGTTCTGCTGCAGTGTTGCTTGGTCCATTCTTCCGCCACTAGTCGCCCTAGCAGATACTGTTTCTGGTATCGAGCTCAGAGCAAGTAGCCAATTGTCATCCCTGGAGTTGTTAAGATAATACTCCTATACATCGAATTATGGAAGTACAACGATACAGGTAAAAGCAGCACAGTCATCCCTCGGTCACCTTGCCTGAATATGAGGACAAAACTGACGTTTTATACTGGTCGTTTGGAGTTACAACTGATATTGTTAGTTGCTCTAATGCTAAGGATTGGGATACCTTTATGGTCCTCTCCCTCCTCGATGTCCCTTGAGAACCTGGGAGGTGATTTACTTCATATTCTCATACTACGTATTCCACGCTTTACGGGAGCAAGAAGGGCTGATGAGGAATGACTGCGGAGAGATGCTGCCCACTACCGCGGAAGTACGTTTTGACAATGTCCATTACTCGATGGTATAACTTTGTCTCATCCTTCCATCAGCTCTCTGGGTCCCGCTTCGGATTTGGATCGATAATCTCATCAACGACCTCACTGTTGTCCGCTGTGTACGTTTCTACCTTCTTACTTGGCCCCGGACGGTACACAGTCCCTTTCCGGACGGACAACAATAATTGCCGGAGGAAAATGGCAAGAACCATAAAATGCGTACGTGCTCCACGCCTCGCGTTGCGCAGGCAGGTCCTGGAGATTGATCAACTCATAAAAGAGGACATGGAATGAAATAGCATCCTTCGCATCGATTGAACCTGCTTGTGACCCGCGCAGGTTGCAGATGTAAGGCAGGTTTGGTAAGGATCCGAATGCCTCTGAACATGCCCCCGAGCTTTTACCGTGGTACTCGGGAACAGTTGATAGGCCTTGACACAATCTAGAAAACGATGAATCAAAGTGTCAGCAGAGGGAATGATACTTGGCCCGATGTTTACCTGTTTTTACTGTTCCTTTACTCTTCTCTTGATAACGGCAAGCACTTACAAAAGTCTTCTCCAAGGTTTTCCAACCCTCAGCTTCTCGTCATCATAAGGAAAGAATGTCGCAATCCAAAAGTTAGGCCTGCTTTCTTCCATTGTTCGTGAGCAACGGGCATGTCTCTTGTTAAGTCGTAAACAAGCCCATGTTGAGCCGACCACCTAAGCTGTGGCCAACCCCAGTCTACGACTCGAAATACACCATATTCATGTAAGGAGTTTGTGAATTGACCGAGTTTGGTCAATAGACGCAGCGACTGAGGATACGATTTTGTTTCAAGAGACGATCTTGCAAAGGTAAGACCGACACGCTCACCAAGGGAATCGACCATGCCATGCCCAAGACTTGGGAAAGTTCCTATGGAGAAACCTGAAAACCCTCATCCTGGATATTGTCAGATTTCCGCCCATCCTACTTCGAGCACCTGCGACTGGTCGTTATGAAACGAAGGCATGTATATACGCGTTCCGGGGCCAAAGCAAGTTGGCAATTCCTCAAATCAAACTAGGCCCTTCCTCGAATCCCTTTGTTTTGCTTGTATAGACTCCCTACAATTTACGGGTTCTTCTAAATATCGAAGCAGCCGGTCGAGGGCCTCTTTAGCAGACTCACTCACACTATGCTCGACGAAAGTTCGCTCCGTTTCTTCCGGTGAACCCCTAGCTACACTAGCAAGATATCCCAGTAAATGCGGAATGGTTCAAAAGGATACGCAATTTTCATGGGGCTTAGGTCTTCATCTCGCGGGCTTGGACACGGAGGCTCGAAAATTGCTCGTAGCACACGCAGTAAATCAGGTTCTGTAACCTTGATCTCGGATAGATTGACTCCACCATCTAGAATCGTGGTCGATAGAGTGTGGAAAAGCCCGAAGTGCATGCTGATGGGTATAGCGTCCTCCTGCTTCTGCGGCTGCGATACATATTTTGCATCGTGAATGGCTGACACAACATCTCGAAGTCGTTGGTCCTGCTCTTCCAGCCTCTCGTTAATCTGGAGAAGCACCTTCAGAATTCTCGAAGTGGCGGAATTGCTCAAATGATCCATTTTCCAGATTCCGGACAATGGTGGCTACCTGGAGGGAAGATATTCGCAGAGCGCGCCCCTATGGTATTCGTAAACCTAGCATGGCCATTTTGGAGGAAGATTGTATCAGATTCCGGGTAGACCCCGCTTATCAACTTTTGAGAGGTAGAGGTTGAGATGTCGGCCTCATTATTCTTGTCAGGTTTACAGCAGATGGGAGAATGCTTTATCTACGTAGCTTAACGAGGATGCAGGGGCTGTTGAAGGTTCGAGGTATAGTCTTTCGCCCGCATTTCGGTCGCCCATCAGATGGATCCTTTGCATCCTGCATGCCATGATCTCGCCCGGGACCAATGACTTTGTCCGGCTAGTAGTTAGGTGGATAACTTCCCTAAAGTTCAGCACTGCTATTAGGTCTGTTTCTCCAGCTGCCAGATGGTAAATGCTATAGTGACTATACTGCACCAGCGTAGTAAATGTTGTAGTAGGCTTTCTCCGGCAAAAGACGGCACAAAGCCTAGAAGTTTATGGTAGCAGCCCGGGAATTCTTAAGAGCCAAAGGATCCTGAGAACGCCGAACAGCGCTAGACCATTAAACCATTTTCTAATTTTCTTGCTCTGAAAATCTACCGGATACAATAATAGGGGTACTTTTTGCACTAATCCAGACTCGCGCAGTTTGACATTATCACTATGTCAAAGCATCTATTGAAGGCGAGGGGATGGCCTCGTGCCTTCATTTCTGAGGTAGCTTGCAGGATGGCGTCAATGACCCGTTGTCCCTTTCTATGCACCCCTTGCTGCTGTTCTGATGTTCTGACAAGGCAAGGGAATTTTCTAGGGCCCTCCAATAGCCTAGCCAAGCCACATGTCAACCGTATGGACCCAATTTGATTCCGGGGACGGAGAGTCCGACTAGATTTTACCAGCTCGCTCCTTGCGTTCTAGTAATCTATTCATTCCCTAGACTCTCGTAACTAGATGGAGTTCAAAGACAGCCCTCATTGATTCATCGCGTGTCTTCCGGACGGTGAATACCCCCTTATGGTTCTTACCCTAATTAGAGGTTGCCATGGATGTTTTGCTGACGGAGCTCGCAGCCGCCAGAGCGAGTATCTGTGTTTGGAGGCTTATAAAAATGGCTGCTGTATCTCACACCGATCTTAGGCACCGTCTTGCTAATAGGTTCCTCGCTCTGGTCCGTGTACACGTTAAATTACGATAGGAAACCCTAGTTTAGACGCCGCGGACCTAGGGATACGTAGTTGATGTGCAAGGGATATATATCATTTCCTAACCGAGACTGCCTATGGGAACAGACCGAGCTTTTTACTAGTCAACAATCCATGCCCATACAATTATGACCAGATTTATGCACGAGGGGCTTTTATGCATCCCCTGTGAATCGTATCACTTATAAGTGGCCTAGCTGCGTAATGCTGCGTCTCAGGTAATTCCATTATCACTGAGCGACACCTTAGTCTGCATACCATTTGCCTCTGAACTGGCCGGCTGGAAACATAACCCAGTCGCATTTACGAGGGACTCTCTCCAACGTCTGGTCTTAGAGTCGGCAATGGCAAATTTCAACATGCCTTCCATAATCTCAGATCCACAAGCCTACGACATTATGCTGCGGCTACTGCAATTCAGCTGCTGGTCGCTGAGCTACATCAACACCGTCCGCACTACCTTGAGCGACCAACTTCCCAGTGTCTCCTTCATGTCCATCTGTTGCGATGTCGCCTGGGAGTTTGTCTATGCATTCGTCTACCCCATAGCAAGCTCGCATTGGGCTGGTGGAATTCGTATCTGGTTTGCTATGCATTGTGTGATGTTGTTCATCGTTGCAAAATACGCACCGAATGATTGGGACCATGTTCCATTAATGAAGAGGTTCGCTCGCTTGGCCTACGTGGCCATAACAATTGGGTTTATGGCGGGCCATCTGGCATTGGCTAGTGAAATTGGACCAGCCCTGGGGTTCTTCTGGAGCGGTGCTTTGTGCCAGATTACAGCCAGCCTAGGGTCTCTTTGCCTGTTGGTCTGTCGGGGTAGTACTCGCGGAGCCTCTATAAAAACATGGTAAGTCGACTTGTTTAAGCCACCACGAAACCTATGTTTCTTTTGAACTTATAGAAGGAACAGTTATTTCCGCATCATCGCGACGGTTGGTGGTTTTACCAAAATGTCAATTCGGCACATTTGGCACCTGGCTGATGAGCCATGGTTCGATAGCCCGTTGTGCTGGTTTTACATTGCGATTACCTTGACACTAGACGCGATATATCCGGTATTTTTCTTCTATTTCCGTGCGATTGAGCACCCTAAAAAGGATAGTGAGAGGAAGGTGGAATAGTCGGGGATTGTGGCATTTAGAGCGGGATGCAGAGAGTGATTGGAACACCTCTACGATGGACCGGTGCACATTTTGGACGGACTACTTTATATGTCATAGTGACTACTTTGTGTACACCATATTTCCCATCAAATCAGTGGCTCAGTGAGCGTTTAGTGTTACGATTTTTATATGACTTAATCCGAACCTCTAGCTGAAGCTCGGTTGGACCTCGAAGCCATTACCGCGACTCTGGAATACATTTATAGCGAAATAGCCCACAGTACAAACCTCTACTCCGACGTTCCGTAGCTGTTCCCATTATTCAACAGCAATAAACAACCATTTTTAAGTCTCCCTTTAGGTCGGTAGTGATGATGGAACCTAATATGAACCTTTTTCGTAGTCTGCTGCGTGCGGCCTTGTTTGCTAAAGATCGAAAGGCACCATCCAGGTACTTGGAATTAGTCATGTTGGATATATCGGGAACCTCCTGGCTCCTAGGACAGAACAAGAATGCCTCCCCGCCTCAACAGAATTTCTAAGAGCGAGCAAGATATTCCAAGAAGAAGCCCAATACCCAGAACACGGTCGCGAGCAGGCATGATGATTTCGCCCGTGACTCCACCGAAGCCGACTTGGTTCCCTCACCCAGGGTAACACTCAAGAACCGAAGAAAGCCAAAAATATGCCCCCCGACGGAGAAGACTATAAACGGGAGTCCCAGACCACGTAAAACGCCACCAAGAAGGAGCGAAATAGCCCCGGAGAAGAAGAAGCCGTAGGCGAGTTGATCGGTGATGTCGCTATATCGGACCGCCATACTGCGCGCGCCAATCTTCTTATCCTCTTCCGCGTCCTGGCACGCATAGACAACATCTATCATGACAATGACAGAGGCGATAAAGATACACATAGACAGCGTCGAGTAGGGAAAATCGAGCGGATCCACCTCTAGACTGGACATTGCCATGGGGATGGCCCACGCAATGTTAACCAGGATCAGCTGCGGGTAATCGGAGAACCGTTTGCCGAATGGATAGAGTAAGGCAAAGAATAAAATGATGCCCGCCTCTACGGTGCACTGTGATGGTAACAGGAGCAAGAGCAAGCCTCCACAGCCAAAGATGATCGCTGTTAAGAGAGCCGCGCTCGTTGGCGATATGGCACCACGCGGAAGAGGGCGCAGCTTCGTCCGGGACACTTGACGATCGATATCCATGTCAATAAGGTCATTCCAGGCGCACCCACCGCTCCGGATCAAAAAGCCCCACAAGGACAGGATGATCAGTCGGTTGAGCAAAACTGTAGCAGGAAGCGACACTGGGGCAATGGCCGCGGTGTAGGCTACGCCCACCACATACGGCGAAATATTCAGATAATATCCGAGCGGCCGGTGAATACGCAGTAGCTCAGCATAGGGTTTTATTGACGGCGGGAGTTTGGAGAGAATTCCAGCCTTAGAGTGACGATAGTCCTTCCCGGTGGCCATTTCGACAGGAGAAGGGAGGTTGGAGTAAGTGAAGACCTCGCTGAGAGGAGATGGACCTAGAGGGGCCTTTCAGGTTGATGTATTCGTCACGTCGGTTACATCTGTTATGTGTTCCCGCGGAAATCAAGTGGTGTGCTAAGAAAGGGACGCACAAGGATAGGCATGATAACAAGAAAGTAATGCGTTTCGAGACATGTCACTAGGGCAGTACGAGTCCTACCTCCATACCAAGTATGTGAGGTAAAGGTATATTGTTGCTAAAAGGAAGTTTAGCAGAGATAGCTGTTCTAATTTTCGCGGAAGCCAAAGTACCCGCTCATGGATATGCAAGGGAGGACGTCCCCTTTTCCCGACAGACTTCTTCATTTCGCTTTTTCCACAACATCCAGGACCAGGTTGATTGCCATGTATGGTATACAACCGGTGTTTAAGGTACTTACTATCCAGCCTATAGACACGGAGGGGGACTGTCCAGTAGTAGTGCGGAAATTGCAAGCCCAAGTAGTGTGTGTTAGAAGATATTATCTGCTCAAAACGGCTCCATCTTCCCTCGCGCGTATGACCTGATTTTATATCTACTGATAGAGTATAGGGAGCTAGATAATAGCAGCGGAAGATATTACTTCTTTTCTCTCAAGCATCGTGTCTTCCATTCCGTTTAGCGGCCTAGGGAATGCGGCAACCACCAGCATCCCTACCGGAGCCACAATCTAACAGATATGAGCTGCACAAAAAGAGGTCTACCGACACTATAGTGCATAGCTGTGGGGCATGCAGTGTACTCCGTGACTGCAATATCACCCTGGGGAGGAAAAAGTCTGGGCCGGAGTAGAGGCAGTACCGCTTGATAACGTGCCATTCCCGTGCCCGGATTCGGAGAAACCGGGGAATGAAGTGTAGTACATGTTTTGGCTGTGCTAGTTGCCGGCTCCTCGGTGTGCTATCTGCAAGGAGACTGATGTAAGACAAAGATGCTTCCCTTGCTCACATGCAAATTGTCGAGAACGCAAGGGCGGTGTTAGACAGAAATGGGCCCCCTGGGGATTAATTGGAAACAAGGATAGGATCGATTCTCAAGGCGGCATATTGCTTCAGGGCTCCTGTGCATAGCCCTTCGTTGGTAGCAGACACAGCAACCCAGTTACGACATCCCAGCCAAACAATCCGTATGCGTCATAATCGGCATGACCTCACGCAAAAGTCCCTCCAATGCAGCCAATTGATCGCAAGACTACAATCCCAGATTCCATCGGATAATGCACCAGCGCTGTGCTTGAGGTCTGTGACCCACGCAATATTTAGTAGGCCTTCAATCCTACCTATCCTTGATCAGCCTACTGCTCCGCTGACGCCCGCTGCTATTATGCAGCTACCATATACGATGCGGGCAACGCGTAGTTGGTAAGTACTAAAGAGCGGTCAAGGACTGCGCTGTAGATGTGCTTGCACGCCGCGCTATCTTCTTTCTCCTGTCTGACCTCACTCTTGGTCTAGACCATGATACTTGCATATGGCATTGGGTGTTCGGTTCAAACAACTTCCGAGGAATGCGTGAATGATGCTACATCCGGGCTTCCGTCGACAGACCAAAATACAACAATAGGCTTATGTGCTTAAATTGCTTTTTGTATAAAGCTTCTGGGATGTAAGGAGAGACCGTCGGCGTACGCAGACTTGCTATGACAGTAGGGCGTGTTGAAAGATGGGCACGCTTACTGGCCCGTCCGGGAAGGGGAGCGGCGTGACACTGTATTTAGATCAGAAAATAGACCCCCACGACCATCAACATTTGCGGTTTTCTCTTGCCATAACGGTCCGTTGATTTTGATGTGCACAAGATTCAAACATGACTATCCCTTTCAGTCCAAACCCAGAACAAATCAATGTCTCTTCTGTGCCCGCGACACAAGCAGAAGTCCAAGTGGAATATACTCTGAGAACAAAATCAGACGCCATCGAACATACCTCCCAGAGCAACCGGCTTAAAGACTTAGCAAAGGACCCGTGGCTAAGGACCACCGGGAATCGCCATGCGAGTTCAGGCACGGAGATCCCCTCATCAGAACAAACCAAGAGCGCCAGAATCCTTGTTGTGGGTGCCGGATACGGTGGTCTCCTCTTTGCCGTTCGGCTGCTGCAGTCCGGTTTCTCTCTGGGCGATATTCTTCTCGTTGACGCGGCGGGAGGATTTGGGGGAACCTGGTACTGGAACCGGTATCCCGGGTTGATGTGCGATATTGAGAGCTATATTTATATGCCTCTTCTTGAAGAGACGGGTCACATCCCCAGCCGGAAATATGTACCTGGAGAAGAGCTGCGCGGCCACGCGGAAAGGATCGCAGAGAAGTGGAAACTACATACGCAGACGCTTTTTCGGACGACAATAAGCTGCTTGACATGGGATGAGAACAAGACGCAATGGATTGCAACAGCTTCGCAGTCAAACAGTGAGAGCCAGGAAAGTAATAGCTTTGTCATTAGCGCCGATTTTGCTATTCTTGCGAATGGAACCCTCAGCAAACCCAAGATCCCTGACTTGCCGGGTGTGGATGACTTTGCGGGTCATGTCTTCCATACTGCCCGGTGGGATTACGACTATACTGGCGGGTCTCCATCTATTCCTGTCATGGATCGACTGAAGACAAAGCGTGTTGGCGTAATCGGAACCGGCTCTACAGCTGTGCAAGTAATTCCACAGCTTGCCCGCTGGGCTGGGGAGTTAACAGTGTTCCAGCGCACACCAGTTGCCGTGGGTCTGCAAGAGAATCAGGAAACAGATCGCATTTGGTGGAGTGAGGAGATCGACAAAGTCGGCCCAGGTTGGCAGCGAAAGAGATGCGAGAACTTCAACGCCTTCATCACTGACACGCGGCAGGAGAAGTTGGAAGAGGTGATGAAGGAAGACAAGGTTCAAGATGGATGGACGAGATTTCCCTCCTTCTCTGCTGCAATAGGCGGGGCCCATAATCTCCAGCCAGATTTTCTCCAGTTGGTCGTAAAGGTCGACGAGGAGAGACAGAAAACTGCCCGACAGCACATCAAAAGTACAGTACATGACCCAGCCACGGCAGAAGCGCTACTGAACTCAACATACAGCTGGTGCAAACGGCCCTGCTTCCACCAAGGCTACTATGAGACCTATAATCTGCCACATGTGAAGCTTGTTAACACAGCAGGCGAGGGCGTCACAGAGCTCACACGTGGCGGCGTCCTGCTTGATGGAAAGGAGTACGAACTTGACCTCATTGTCCTTGCGACGGGGTACGACATAGGAAGCCTGTGTCCAGCAGATAGGGCCCAGATATCAGTCCGAGGTCGGAAAGGACACTTGATGAACCAGAAATGGGCCGCAGGACCAGCAACCTTTCACGGCGTGATGACCCGGGACTTTCCCAATCTCTTCTTCCCAGGAACCTCACAGGCAGGCGTTACGGCAAACCAGTCATACATGTTTGATCGGGCGGCAGAGCACGTATCTTACATCATTAGACAAGCATACAACCATGTCGCCGCCGGTTTTGCCAACCCCAAAGTCTGTGTTGAACCGAGCCAGGAGGCAGAGGACTGGTGGACAATGGAGACGGTCGCGAGGGCTAAGGCATTCGCTGCCACCAAAATCTGCAGTTCTGGGAGTTACACAATCTCAGCTCGCAGTGGTGGAAGTGGCAATGTGGAGAAGACAGCAAGGCATATGCCTTGGGGGGAAGGTATGGCTAGCTATGTTAAAATTCTGGAGGAATGGAGGAAAAAGGGACATATGGATGGATTGGAAATTGCATGGAAGGGGACATAACTGGATTATCTGCTCTTGTCTCTGAACAACCATGGCGTCAAGTCTACATAGTTGATTAATTCCGATCCCAGACGGACTCGTTACTTAGTCCAGAGGAGCAAGAGTAGATGGCCCATCTCGCTGCGTGCGGGTCAGAAGGATGGAGACTGATGTGTCCTAGAAGAGGGAGTTCAAGGAATGCTAAAGCTAAGCGTCAATTCTGTCCTGTGGACTTTACTAATGGTCAGGGATGATCATAATCAGACTCGGATTGCTGACTGACATCCAAACCTGCAGCAAGGATTCCGGTGGGATCTATAGGCCCCTCTCTGCGCGGAGATCTCCAGAATGCCAGGAGGCTGCCCAAAATGGCAAAAATGAGGATTTGAATTCATCGGTGAAACACGTAGCAACTCATTATCTCCAGGGCTTTCACTGGTACACCAGAGATAAGATATAGACACTTCGGATATGAGGTATCCATTTTCGGAAGTTTAGGAGGGGGATTTGGATATTCATCAGTTGGAATATGGGGGGCAAGCCTAGAGACGATCGAGGTGCCAAGGAACTTCTATGTAACAGGATCTGATAGCCTCCTACTCATCTCATTTCAACTATAGTAATCTTCTCAAAGGACATTGACGTATGCTACCCCTGAAAGGAAAAATCAAAAGAAATATAAATCAGGGTTCAGCATTGTGTGACCAGCGTATTATATCCCAACGTGCCTTCGAAGGAATTCATACCCATCAAGAACAGCCTGCGACGCATCCTTGTTTTCTTTCAGATGCGGGATTATATCGAACAAGTGTAGGCCATCAGAAACGATTCGCAGGACAGACTCTACGCCGCAAACCAACATCTGCTGATGTATCCGCTGCGCCTGCTGCACGGGGATCAGGTCATCCAGAGTGCCATGGATGAGAAATGTGGGCGTTTTGTATCGTCCCGCACGCACCTGGGACAGGGGACAGGCCTTCTCCACCTCGCTCATGTGAGGCGCTGGAAGGAGGACTTCATCACCTTTAGCGGCCGCAGCAAGAGACTTGTACTTGCACCCGTAGAACAACACAGGCAACGTCTGGCCTGTCCAGTTCATGTGCAGCGCAATTCTACTCCGTGGGTCGCTAGGAGACATCCATCCACCGAGGACCCCCTTGCCTGGTGCTGGGTTGTAGCTGGTAATGGCTGTATCGTGCAGTGCAAGTAGGGGATCAGAAGTGGGGACGTCGGACATGCACACGCTTTCCTGATACGGGAAGTTTGGTTTCGTCCAGAATGGGTCTGTATAGTCTGTAGGGCTGTAGAAGGATAGTATAGCTTCTGGCGCTCGGACTGAACGGGCAGGTGCTGTCCAGGCCAGAGTCATGGCGAGGTGACCACCACTGGACCAACCGACCGCGACCACATTTCCGCCATCGGGGCGTATATCCGGGCGCTTTAGTTGCAGTTGTGGTAATTCGTGCCGTGCCCATGCTAGAGCGTCACAAGCATCCACCATGGGCCCTTCCAGGAGTGGCACTTCCGGACACAGTCGGTAATCGATGCTGACTGGGAGGAAGCCCATATCGAGGAGCATTTTCACCTGCATCGGCCGTACATCTTTGCGAGACAGCATTATATGGCCGCCGCCGTGGATCAAGATGGCTGTTTTGCTCAGATTAGCTGCTCACGATCTATGAATGGGTTATGAGCATATGGACTCACCTACTGGTCGTTTTCTGTCCTCGCCGTCTAGTCCATGCGGATAATATATGTCCGCGCATAACTCTAGACCATCCTTTCTGCTGTAGACAAGTGTTTCCTCTGCAACCGCATTAGACTTTGCTTCCCCTGGGGAGCATAAAACAGGTTGACTAGGTGATGCAACGATCATGCGCAGGATCTTGGATTCTTCTGAGTCATTGTCAGTCCAGTCTACCCAGTTAAACCCAGCTTGTCGGAGAGTCTGATCCCAAAGACGCTCATGAGCTAATGCATGTGAGCGTCCGTCATTGAAAAGCCACCATCCTTCCAAGAGTCCAAAGACAAGGTCAAACCAGAACAAATTCCGAGTCAGCTCGATGAGACACAATATTCCTTGAGGGCGTAGCAGTTTCTGGATGTTAGAACAAGAGGTGGCTAGACTCCTTGTCGCATGAATGCAATTTGACGAGATGATGATATCGTACTGTCCTTGTAGTTCCGGCGCAGGGTCTTGTTCAATATCCAGGGTTGCATAGTGCATGAAATGGTAGGTCTTGAATCGTTTCCGTGCCAACGTAACAAGAGACGAGGAAATGTCCGTGAACGTGTATTCAAAGGTAAGTCCTGCGACTGAGGAGAGTTGCTTCAGAATATAGTCAGTTGTTCCCCCTGTTCCAGCACCTATTTCCAGAATTGAAATTCTCCTTTGGAAGCAACGTTGGCCAAGCAGGTCTTTAAGGAATTGTGCCAGGTGCATTGTGGCTGACTTGAACATGGGCGCATTCGAATACACGTCCTGCATTAAAGCACGGGCCTGGGCATCCTGAAAGAGGAGCGATAATGGATCAGCTGCCCCTATGAGACAGTCTGCCAGCCGTGACCCCGTGGTATGTAGGAGCTTGTGTTCTGATGCATGTTGGGGATGCTCACTGAGAATTTTCTTGTGGAGTATGGTCGCAGTACTTTTGTTCACTGCCCGGTGACCTCGAATCATGCCTGTTCCCCTTCGTTCAACGAGGCCCGAATATTCGAGGACAGCAAACAGCTGGTTCATCACTTTCCCGTGCTGGGGAAGGACTTCCACAGAGGGGACGGCCTGGCCGAACCTGAGCGATTGCAAATCGACATTCAACGCTTTGAGTGCCGCCACCACATAAACTGTAACGAGCTCCATCTGCTGAGGGAAAACCGAGTCACAAAACCCTAAGAACCGGGTCTTCTGGCGATACTCGTTGCTCGTGCGTGAAGCAGCAAACAGCTCGCGGGCTTTATCCACAAACCCAGGTAGACTCTGTTCCTGTATCACGGTGGGAGGCGGTACACGAGGTGGTGGCATTCGATCCCCAGTGGTTATGCCAATTTTATCGGGCGGTTGGCTGTGAGTTTCAACGTGGGCCACTGAACCTCCTGGGAAGATGCGTTGGACTAGACCGCTCACATCCGCTATTGCAGTCAGCTCACTGTTTGTGATGACGACTTTGAATCTCTTATTAATCTCTGATAAGACCTCTGTGCTCATTAAGGAGTCGACACCGACATCTCCCAGGGCAGCAGATGCCGGAATCTCACCGGCTGAGATACCTAGTAGTTCACTGAGCATGGCCTGCACAACACGAAGACCATCTTCACTCCTGGAAGAATCCGGCATTGCGGCTGAAGCGGCCGGAGCTGCGGGTGCAACTGCAACAGCAGGAACAACCACATCCACACCCGTCGAAGCAAGAGCTTTGTTGTTCAATCGGGTCAAAGTTCGTTTGAGAGACTGGATGGAGACACAGGTGAATGTGGCAGATAGGATGCAAAGAGCAAGAGATCCTGTTGCCTCGTCGACAACGAAAATATCACACAGTGACTTTTTCATTGACTCTCGTTCAGAACTTGAATACACAATCCAAGGCACCGAAACACCAGGATCCCGTCTGACAAACAATTCACCAATGATTACGTCGCCGACAGAACTGCAGACAAAAACCTCCTCATCGAGCGTTTCCGACAGACAGTTGACGTGTATTCCGGCAACCTGAATGAAGTTGTCGATCAGGATGGGGTCGCAGGAGGCTTTATTTGTCGGAGAAGACGGCAATAAGACTCGTCCAGTGGCTTCATGGCCGACCGCATAGACTTCCTCGACACCTCGGTAGTAGTCAGCGTAATTGACGACCCTTCGAAAGGCTTGGTACACTGTGGATCGTTTCAGCCCACTCGAAGATGGGGAGGTGGCGATGAAACCCCAGCGCGAAGGATTGACAAGCCGTCTCAGCGAGCCGAAGCGAGATGATATCCCACTATCATTGGCCTCTGATGATATTGAAATCTTCCCTGTAGCATGAGCCACCGAGTCTTGATTTCCATCGCGTGTGAACAAGACAAACGTGAATTGTCCAGGGCCTGAACCTCGCTGTGTCAGCTCCAGGAACACAGAACCAGGCATATCGAGGACGAGAGGCGCAGATATATCGAGACCGGCGATGTGATACATCGTAGGATCGTTCTCCAATGGCAAAACTGCAACTGCTCCCCGGACGACCAGTTCAAAATAAAGAGAAGCAGGGCACAGGTTCTGGTCGACAACCGCATGACCTGCGGTGCACATGCGGAACAGCGGGTCGTTAACATTGACGCCGAAGAGGTACACATTTCCATCATTATTCAGCAGTTTCACCAGACTCGGTTCGTCCGTACGGCCGGCTTCTCTCTTTGGAGGGTCAGAATAGAAGGCATTCGGGTCGTAGTCAATCCAATGGCTCGTTTTCGCGAATTGGTACGGAGGTAGGTTGATCCACCTGTACCCGGTCTGGGAGCCGTGAAACGGCCAGAATTGCACCTGCACGCCCTTGGACCATAGGGAAGAGAACACTTTCGCGAAGTTTTCCTCTGCTTGAGGACCGGATAGGTCTATTGGACAGTAGACGTGGTCTCTAGGTGACGGCGAAGCATCCACGGCGCGACGCACCATCCTAATAATTGGAGACGCTGATCCAGCCTCAAGCCAGATGCACGGACTATCCATGTGAGAAATTGTCCGGCGAATTGCATTGTGAAAATACACAGCCTTTCGAGAATGTTGCACGATCTTGTCCCCAGTGGGCAACGACCAATCATCCGCCAATTCAGAGCACGGCTCAACAGGGATGCGCAGCGGCCTGTAATTGAGTGTGCTGGCTATTTTTGTGAGTCCCGGCAAGATGGAGTCCACAAGTTTGGAATGAAAGGCATGGGTGTTTTTCAGCCTCTGCATCCTAAGTTTCATCCCTCTCTCGACAGCGATGTTTTCCATTTTGTGAATGGTTGCCTCGTCACCAGCAACCACAAAGCTCTCTGGCCCATTCACGCACGCGATATCGGCCGCATTGGACACAGCATCGAGCAGAGCTTGGACAGTCTCTTTTTCCCCTCTCACCGATAGCATCAAACCAGTGTCAGATTTCCATTCGCTGCGGATAAGCTGGGCGCGGCTTGATATAAGACGCATGGCATCCAAGAGCGATAGGCCACCAGCTACACAGACGGCCGTTAACTGGCCAAAGCTGTGACCAATCATCCGATCTACCCGAAGTCCAGAATCAAGCCAGGCTTTTGCAGTTGCATACTGAATGGAAAACAGTATGCAATGGAGGTTCACCAGATCATTATTCGGGAAAGGATTGAAAATTGCAGGAAATAGGCTTGGTAGACCGAGTTCTCTGCAAGCGTTTTCGCATTCGGCCTTCAAATAATATCAGTGTTTGCTCCTTATATGGACTCGGACGGACGCAGTGGAGGTGAACTAACCAAGTGAAAGCGCAAGAGCTCGGAGCTCTGAACGAGATTCTGGGAAATGCTTGCTGTATTCCCGGTCTGTCCGCCAAAGCAAAGGACCACTGGATGTGCGGCCTGGCATTTCTTTTCGATCCTAGTGCGGCCAGAGACAATGTCTTCTAAGCGCTCCCGGAGCTCAGCATCGTTCCCCGAGGCAGTCGTGAATGCGACAGAGTACTCCATGTCCCTGTTCTGCTTTCGGGCTAGATTGAACGCTATATCCTGCACTTCAACGTTGTTGACCTGTGGCGCCTCGAGGAAGGCCGTTTGGAGGGCTTTGCAGTACTCGCGAATGGACTCTTCTGTTCGAGCGGCAACAAAGACCGGGATGACAGACGGCAGGTACTCACGATAACCACTGATAGGCGTCCTTGATGTACAGGTCGGTTCCTGTAGAACTATGGCAGCATTGCTACCAGCGGCTCCATAGTTAGTGACCATAGCTACTCGCTTCTCTGCTTTCCAATCCGTCGATTCCACGGGAATGAAAATTTGATCCTCCTTTTGCAAAGTAATCATTGGGTTCAGACGAGTGAAGTTGGCTTGCTTGGGAATTCTGCGCTTCTGGAGCATAAGTATCGTCTTTAACATGCCAGCGACCCCAGAAGATGTTTCAGTATGTCCAATATTATCCTTGATTGAACCGACGTATAGCCTCTCCGTTCTGTGGGGTACTGCAAAAGTCTTACGAATACTCTGGAACTCAATCGGGTCCCCAACTTGGGTTCCTGGGAGTAAATCAGCAGAGGCAAACATGTGGCCAGAGAGGCCGGGTATGAGTGTACAAACCAGTTCCATGCGCCTCAACATAAGTAACAACATCGGGTTTGATTCCGGATATTGACAAAGCTTTCAAGTAGAGCGTTGTTTGAGAGTTCGAATCGGGAACAGTAATCGGCGAGCAGTTGGCCCCCTGGTTAACGGACGTTCCAGTAATGACAGCATGAATTGGGTCACCATCACGAAGTGCTGCTTCCAGTGGTCGTAGAACAACCAATCCAGCGCCCTCGCCGCGGCAGTATCCATTGGCATCAGCGTCAAATGCTTTAGAAGCTCCCGTTGGAGAGAGGAATGAGGCTGCGGCAAGGTTTTGCGACCACCGGGGATCCGTCATGACATTCACTCCGCCTGCCACGGCCATGGAACAATCGTTTGTTTGCAATGCCTAGTTTTCAAATGGCTTTCATGAGCATACAGTCAGCGGTTTTAGCGTCAACGAGACGCGCTTACCTGACAAGCGAGGTGAATAGCCACGGCGGCTGAAGAGCACGCCGTATCAATAGTGACCGACGGGCCAGTCCAACCAAAGTAGTGGCTAACTCGACCACTATTGAACGCTTGAAGCGTGCCTGTTGCCGAGAATGCAGTAGCGTTGCGGGATGCAACGTTCTCACTGTAGTCTTCCGTACCGACCCCGACATAACAGCCCACGTCTTGAGGAAGCTGCGAGGCCCGCAGCCCGCAATACCCGGCCGACTCGATAGCTTCGTAGGCAACTTGCAATAATAGCCTCTGCTGCGGGTCCATCGACTCTGCTTCCCGGGCGGATATCTTGAAGAAGCGGTGATCAAAGGTATCCGGACGAGAGAGAAAATTGCCCCAAAATGGCCCCTTTGGTTCTCTTTGGAGTTCGTCCAGTTTAAACCGATTTTTTGGCATTGGACTGACGGTGCAGTGGCCCTGCTCAAGTATCTTCCACAGTTCTTCCATAGAATCAGCCTGGGGATACCGACACGCCATCCCAGTGACAGCAATAGGCACTGTTGTTGCGGTTGCTGCTGGGCCCGTACCATTGACGTAACCGGCAGTCAATGGTGAAGCATTTGTGGTCACATCGCTGTCTTGAGTTGTGTTTGTATTGTGATGGCTGTCAGGTGGCTCAACGGTGTGCAATATCCGACCTCTGGCCTTGCGGGGGATACATTGGCCCGCTCCGATGGAAACAATGCTTTTAGCATCCGTCAATTGCAAGCTGCTTATAGTAGCTGACACAGTGAGATTCCAGTTTGCCTGCGAGATCAAGATGGACTCGTTTGCGACTGAGAGCAGTGACTGTAACGTAGGTACCTCGCCGTCTATATTCGACCGTGGTAGCCCTACCGCGGGATTTCCATTGGGTAGGTGAAATCGATTATCTTCTTGACAGAGCTTCAAGAATTCCTGCACAACTGAGGTGTGATCTGAGTGGTGGAATCTGCCCCTTAGTTGTGTGCTCTTCACAACTAACCCGTTGCTCTCCAGCTCCTTCACCAGAGCAGCTGCCTGGCTCTCCCAAATCGTCACCGTCGCGGCGCTCTCGTCAGTGACGCACGCTATATATGCCTATATCTGATTTTTTAGTAAACTGAAAGAAAATCAACCCCCGAATAAACGTGACTGACCCCTGGATAGCGGCTCAAGAGTGCCGTAAGAAGCTTATAGTCAGCGGAGGTCTTCCACCTGACTGCCATTGACGTTGCGCGCTGTTTTTCAAGCTCGTCTAAATCCACCACGGCTCCAATACACACAGCAATCCGCAACATTGTGGCCACTGCCTTTGGAAACTCGGTCTGATCCGTCTCCCAGCATGCTGCCACGGCCGCCAGGTATCCGACGCAGAATCCCTGGATATCATTGATTTCATAATGATTCTTCGCCTCTTTGAACTCGTGGAATTCGACCAGGTGCCGCAAGACCGTGATTGGCACAACTAAGAAGTTCATCGGGTCACTCATATCAGGTAATATGGTGCCGCCGCGAAGGAAGAGCGATAACTGTTGGAGCTGTGCCTCACCGGGGATTTTTTCCGCTGCTGGCCAAACCTTCGTAACATCGTGCCAAACAGAAGGAAGGGCTTGAACTGCATCTTCAAGCCATCCTGTATTTCTATGAGATGAAAGATAGCGGCGTATATGCAGAACTGATCGATCAGTCTTGGGGCATTTAGGTCCGAATAGAACTGAAACGCGGTGCGGATGGGCATCCTGTAGTGAACCCATGTCGGGAAGGGACAACGGGCAGCAGCGCTTGGTTGGGATAACCTGACAGGGAGTGGATGGAGGGTAGAAATTGCAGGGAGAACGCATTGGGGAGAGGAACATGAACGGCTTGTAATTTATAGAATACTGTGGATTTTAAAGGAAGGATGTCTGCGTATGCCGACTGAGCTCGTCGGAATCGGCGACATCCCATCTCAGAAGGTGTATACCTCCGTCGATAGGCGGTACCTATAATTCCATTTCCCGCTTATAACGCGCCCAGCACCCGCAACCTCCTCTTCATTTTTGCAAGGGAGAAATTTCTGTAGAATACTTAGTCCTGCATTCTCAAGACGAGGTTGTCAGAGATCCGTCATTTCCATTGACTGGCAAACCTTGCATCGCAACACTGCAACACAGCATCCCCTGGGCATTCCCTACATACCCTTTCATATTTCTGGTGCACAGTGGCCAATCAACGATGTAGGTCATCGAGCAGTGTGCTAGAACGGTCTGTCACCCTTACTCATAGGATCCTCGCATGTCAAAACTACCCTTACAGGATGCCCGGTGCAAGGGACTTATGATGCTCTGCTTCCGTAAGGGAGACTCTCCTCGCCGTATCAACTATGATACACAACATAGCGAGGCTTACAGGGGACGCTATGTGGTACTACGTGGATATCGTGTTTCCAATCTCAAGTCTTCATTCTCTCGCCGGAAGAAGGTCTCGAAGTGGATCCAATGTCGACCCTTGAAGAACGGACGCCCGCGCCCATTACAGTATCTGTAGCACTCTGCAGTTCTTGTTGGATCTTCCCGACTTTTCCCGATAATTGATTCTCGCATCCAATGTTGAATCCAGTCCTGAGAGTAAGGAGTGGCGCACTGCACGTTCGACCGTCTTCTAGATCCGCCATCTCCTGGCTGTCTGTAGGGGGACTGTAGATGTCAGGACACACATTATCGCTCAATACCTGAGGTTTTTTTCGCCGCCATTGACCTCTTGCTACGACCCGTCAGCTCTTCCTGTCCATACAGTCACATCGCAGCATATTTCTCCAGCACTGGTTACGCTTATCTTCATCCTAAGTCTTACACCGCCCCTTTCACAGTACATCCAGCCATTTTGCCACCAGGATTTTTCTAAAAAGCCCAGGCGCCCTTCATCTGGTGAATGATTCCCGTCAAGAAGTACACAAGTTGACATACCAATGCATCCTGACGACCAACTCAAATCCGCGCTCCGGAACGGCTTCGACCCGAAGCTTCTTTACAAGGAACCCTTGAAGACCGTGAAGGAGCCAATTTGTACAATCCTCGAGAAGTACAGTAAGATTCCTTTGGAGAAGGTTGTAAGCCATATCAATGAAGTCGTAAGTAGACTGACCAGACCCTTTCCAAAAATTTTTATGCTGATCATTGGCAGCGAGACCGCGCATTTGCAGTGGTGAGTGAACGGAGGGACGGGGCAGCATCGTCGCACTCTTTACACTTTATATTGACACGTCACAGTTTCCTTACGCTTGCATCGGACAGTTTTCCTTCGTTGAATTGAGCATCGCAGATTCCCCTTGTTATGCTGAGATGCTCGACCGTACAAAACATGGTCAGAAATTGCTTGATTTGGGCTGCGCATTCGGACAGGAGCTTCGCCAGTTGGTGAGTGCCGTAGACCATACGCAAGCATACCTCTCCTTTAACAGGCTCCCCTATCATCGCTAGATATTCGACGGCGCGCCTCCTACCAACTTATATGGTAGCGATATCCAGCAAGACTTCTTGAACCTCGGCTATGAACTCTTCCTAGACCGCGCAATCCTCCCCGAATCCCAGCTTATCGCTGCAGACGTCCTCGACAAACAATCTGCCCTCTTCTCCCGTCTGTCAGGCAAGATTAATGTCGTCTATATTTCTCTCTTCCTTCACGTCTTTCAATATAAGAAACAGGTTACTGTGGTACAGAATATATTGGACCTCCTCCCCGCTGAGCCTGGCGCACTTATCGTCTGTCGGGTTACCGCTTGTCGGGATCAGGGCGTCTTGAACGCAACCCGGGAACGTATGCCATATTACTACCATGACCTTGCAAGCTGGAAGCGGCTTTGGGAGGAGGTGGAGAGCCAAACGGGTCTACGGCTTTCCGTAGAGACGTGGGAGCAGCCCGATGAGTTGGTCAAGAACCATCCGCTTCCTGGGATATATATTCTTGGGTCTGCTATTCGGCGGTTGTGAGCGTCCCGGAAGGCTTTCACGATGAACCAATGCATTTTGATCATGTGTCCTGTGATCTTTATACATATGAATAATCTGCAGACCGCTGGTTTCTTAGTTGAACGACTACATATTCTGAGTAGTTATACATGCGCGGTCTGTTGAATGAGGTTCTCCAGTCTTTCTTATAAGCCTCTTATTCGTCTAGGATTTAGTAGTATTGAAGGACATCGAAAGAAAATTGAGGCGATCAAGACCTATCAAACTAAGGTGGTCTATTCCCCCGGACATTGGCCAAATATGTATATTCTGAGATCACCCGCTGAATTATAACCTACAGGCCAACCCCGAAAATTGACCAGATAGAAGGATGCATCCCTTTTCCCGTGGTCCCTGGTGGGGCTGAGCATAATACGACGGCTTACACGGGCTATGCAACGTGCTTTCTAACATGATAACAAGCTGGAGCGTCCGGTAATCATTGCCAGAGCTTCACCGTCCATACAAATCTAGTACAGCCAACAATGGAAAGCTTATGTGGGACATCCATTCTGCAACAATGACCCAATTTGCAGTGATCGGGCATTCCGGCAATGGCCATGTCTCACAATTTTCTGGAGTTGAAAAGGGGTTATATGTAGCTCAACAATCTGCTCGTTCGGCGTGGAAACCCTCAAACCTCAGAACAAGACTCATGCCAGATTGAAGTACGTAAAAAGGACAAATTTGACGGCCCACGCAGATGGCAAATAGCATTCGAACATGAGAGACATTGAAACGTAGTAGCTGCAGAATAAATCAAGAAGCCGATATGCCTCCACCTTCAAAAAGTGATCCCATCGAGACGTGACTCGAACTCGTCCATATATGCCGTGTCAAATCCCGCCCATATTCTGTCCACCAGCTTCCCGTCCTCGCTCATTTGGAAAATGAAAATACACTCGGACTTCCACTCGCCAACAATGGTGTCGCCTCTGCTAGCCAGATAGAAGACGACCTTGCGTGTTCTCTCATCCACTATGGTGTCGTTGTCGTCAATGACTGACACGGTTAAACTCTTGAAGACCTCCTTGGCGTTGGCACAGGCTTCCATGCTTTCACCGATGTTTCTCGTGGCATTCCTGGTGGGGAAGAGGCGGTGGGAGACTGAATTTGGGGTGCGCACTGATATTATTGATTCTGGGGTGAATTCATTGTACTTTGCGATGAAGAGTTTTGCAGTGGCGACCAGATCTTCGCGAGTAGGACTCATCTTTTGCATACGATGAGTATCAGACGTAGGGGGGAATGTTGATAGTTGTTTGAAGGAGGAACAGTATAGCAATCAATGCCTTGTCTGAACGGAGAGGTAAAAGGATGCAATCTTCGCTAGGTAGGGGAAAGATGCGCCTATGTTTATATCCAAGGAGAGAGAACTGGTCCTGGTCTTTCTGATCATGCCGCAAGATTTGCATACATCTAAGGATATTGTCAGTCGGCCATTGCAGGAGGCGAGAGGCATACAAACGGCATGCAGTTTCCTCCCTGCAGTTTCCTTCCTGCAGTTCCCTCCCTGCGTTCCGGAAGGGACGTAAGTGTACGTGGAATGACGGATACGTACACTCCTACAATCATAGCACATTACAGGTTATCACTCCTTGCCTCCGCTGTCATACCTAGAGTGAACCGAGGTCTTGCTCCCAACCACCACGGCTGCACGTTCACACCGCCGTAAAGATACGAAGGGCGAGATTGCCTGAGATGCATAGTAGCATACTGCGCGACGCAGAGCATTCCCCATAGGACGATCGCCAGCTGCTTTGATCTGCTCTCCAGGCATATCTTCCTGTGCTCTCCCCAGGCACTGGGCATGTACACCTCATCTCCTGCTGAACAGTCTCCTATTTGGAAATCTCGAATCGAAGAAGTATCATTGCCGTTCTTGTTTCTGGCTGCTAAAATCGCCTCAAAGATCTCGACATGCTGGAACCGGTCTCTACCGCCCAAAGCCTATGGTCTTTTGGCCTCTGGATTCTGGTTATTCTCTCGCCAGTTCTCTTCTTTGCTTCTAGAGAGCTGGGAATTTTGAATGCGAAAAAGCGGTTTGCCAAAAATGGATTTGAAGAGGTCCTCGCTGGTCTCAGAAAGGTACGGCTTCCTTGACACTATTCTTGCAAGCGAAGTCCTTGGTAACTAAGGTTTCTTATCTAGAGCGACGTCTTTGGCCTGATGACGATTAACGGCCCCAAAATAGTTCTCGCACCGAAATTTGCCCAAGAGATCCGTAGCAACCCGGCTTTGAGCGTTTCAGCCTTTTCATCAAGTGAGCTGCATGCACACATTCGTGGATTCGATGTGTTCCGCCAGGGTGAAGCCGATGATATCCTCCAAGATACCGTTCGCAGCAAGATCACCCAAAGCATTGGTACCTGCAACCTCCTGTCCATGATTAAGAGAAGCAGCTAACCCGTTAGGCGACCTTATCCAACCACTTTCGGAAGAATGCTCCCTTACCCTGAAGCCAAAATGGACAGATAGCCCAGGTATGTATTGACTTTCGTCCATCAAAATCGATTACTGACCACGGCCATGCATGCTCCCAGAATGGCACGAAGTTTGTCCTCATACCACTATCCTCGACATCATTGCACGCCTTTCATCGCGCGCATTCATCGGGGACGAACTTTGCCGTAATCCCAAATGGCTCCGCCTCACAGTCGACTTTACCGTTGACTCTTTTAGAGCCGCAGAGGCACTGAACTGGTGGCCCTATGCGCTCCGTCCGCTGGTCGCTCGGTTTTTGCCCTCATGCCTCAAGCTGCACAAGTACATCCAAGACGCGGATAATATGATGAAGCCAGTATTGGAGAGTAGACGGCAGGCTCAGGCCAAAGATCCACAGAAGAGCTACCCCGATACAATCCAGTGGTTTGAGGAAACAGCGCAGGGCCGACCTTACGACCCTGTGCGTCTCCAACTAACCCTAGCCTTTGCTTCGATCCACACCACCGCGGATCTAGTGATACAAACTATCCTCGATTTGTGCTCAGCCAAGAACTGGGACGAGCTGTGCCGCAGCCTCCGCGAGGAGATCATCTCCAGCTTTCGTGAAGAAGGATGGAGAAAGCCATTGCTTGCTAAACTGAAGATCATGGACAGTGCATTAAAAGAAAGCCAGCGCCTGAAACCCGTTTCTATAGGTACGTTAATTTCACGATAAGTTGTGGGGGTGATTGGATTGGCTGACCAGATTTGATAGTCGGGATGGGACGGATCGCGAAGGAAGCCGTTAAGCTCTCAAATAATACTATTATCCCGAAGGGCACTAGGCTGCTTGTGTCGAACACTGCGATGTGGGATCCAGAGATCTACCCTGACCCGCGGACCTATGACCCTTATCGATTCTTGAGACTCCGTGAAGCGAGTGAGAATGAGAGTGCAGGTCAGCTGGTGTCCCTCTCTCCAACACACTTATCGTTTGGACTCGGAAAGCACGCCTGCCCTGGAAGGTTCTTTGCTGCTGCTGAAGTGAAGATCATTTTGTGTCATATCCTCTTGAAGTACGACATTAAACTGGCCGATGGTTGTAAGCCTAAGCCTCTGAGAGCTGGGACTAATTTGGTGGCCGACCCAACGGCCAAGCTGCTTGTTCGACGGAGGCAGGAAGAGGTGGCTCTTTAAACAGGATGGTTGGATAGTCTCGTGAGCAGGCCATCATTGCCACTATATATGAGCCAATTCGAAGTTTATCAAGGCATGCTTTACTCAAGATCGATATAGGCCTACTCTGAAATTTTGTTGTATTTCTCGGATAACAACATCTCCTATGCAAACCTCGCTGACTGGTCTATGTTCCTTGTGACCTACGTCTGTATTGACCAATGTCTCGGCGGAATACGCCTCACCCTTGTCTGATGGGTTGGTGACATTGAAGACGAACCAGAAAACACACCCAGACAAAATACCTTTGTATTAACCTTATTACCGGCGTGGGAGCGCCACCAACCAAGCCCTATCGAACAATGCTCGTCTCTAAAGCAAGTTCCCCGAGTTAGGGCGTCCTTTGATAAGAAAGTGCTAAAGAAATAGCCCCTAGGAGCCCCTATCGTACCTTGGCCTTCTCTTTCCGGGAGAGCTCATCCTGTCGCATAATACTGAACCACAAAGTGCCATATGTCCAATGCCAAAAGCCAGGGTGACGACTGCATACAGTAACGGCAGACGACGCTGGACGGTTGGCACGCCGGACCACTCATTTCGTGTGAACTTGATCATGGTGAACCACACCACAGTTGATTTCAAACCAAAATCGAATAGCGCCACGCTAATGGGCACTCGAAGGGGGATAAACAAAGGCATAGACAAAGTCCCATCCAACGTCGCAACAAAGCGTGATGATACCGACGCTAGGAACCTGATCTTTGAAGCTCTTCCGAACCATGGAGAGATAGTTGAGTGACCAGCAAATTCCCGCGAGCCACCGTAGAGCTACGTACCTGGTATGGGAGTCGATACTACAGGGGGAAGGAAAGATGTGACCGTTTCCATTGCAGCAGGTGGATATTGGCAGGCAGCAGGTCTTGACTTGGATGAGACCCAAAAGTCCGTCCAACGATTCAAAAGCGGGCTTGAGACAACACCCGAGGTCTTGTCCACGATAGTTCTAGAGAATATATGCAGCAGGAGGTTGTAATTTTCCCAAGCATATGATGGAGCATGCCACGTTGACTGGGAATACCGTCCCCTCAAGCAATGGGATGGATTATGGCCCGCATGAGAGCGTAATTATGGAAGCTACATAGGAGTGAACCCCCAATGTAGGAGGCAGCTAGTGAGCTGCAATGGGGCGAGACATAACTAGCTGACTGTGTGTACTACTATTAAGGGATGCAGCCGCCTTGCTCCTGTTGAAAGAGATGGTCCCAGGCTCAGGAGGCCTTGCGATATCATGCCTGCCGGGCGGTACTCGCGCCAATGCATAAATCGCCCCTGCCTCTCTGGATATGTCGGATAGTAGCAGGAATTGTGCATAATCCCATGGTGTCTCGGGCCTATTAACTCGGCACAGACCGATAACAGCTTTGACATATCCCACTGCCCGAGAAATACAGGAAGGCTATGTGATTAGCGTCCGGTTTCCCTGTCCCATTCTACGAGGCATTCAAAATCCAGAGGAAGATATCATTGCATTATAATGAGTAACTAAATCTGGAAAGCGCTCAATGCTAGAATCCTGAAGAAAACTCGGTCGAGAAATACTCTCCAAGCGAGCCCTTGCATTAGCTCCTATCATTGTCCTTCAGAGTGTATTCTCCACAGCGGTCCGCAACAAAACCTCAGTATAGCAGATACCGACGCCAACCGGCCGGATGGCTTTTGTTCATGCCTCCCGCGATGCCAGCCCAAGCACGTCCTCCAGTCTCCTGTCTCCCCCTTGCCAGAAAGGATACTGTCGGTGACTCTCGACAGTTCTCCAGCCGACCAACTTCTGCGCCAGCGGCGTCATCGTCTCAATGATCGTCCGCGGGACATGCATGTGGGAAGAGTACGGAGTGAACTGGCAAGGGATCAGGGACATCCCCAAGCCACGACGGACATTCTCGGTTCGATTTTCGCCTCCGCCATGAAACAGGCTTCCAAGAAACAGTATGGCTTCCCCCGGCTGCATAATCGCAGGGACCGTCTGGTCCGGAGATGGAGCCGGATGCGCCGAATCCCACAGATGACTTCCAGGAATAAGACGAGTGGCGCCATTCTCCTCTGTGAATTCCGTCAGGGCAACGAGACAACTAAGCGATAACTGTGGGTCCGTTGGGCTGCGGAATTTGCTCGCCGCGAAGATCTCCTCATCCCGATGAAGCTGCTGGGCTGGCGCACCGGGCATAAGTTGCAGCACTGCCGATGCGTTCAGCCAATGGTCGCCGTAATCCGCACGGAATAGCTCATCGGCAATTGCATGATACAGCGGGTGGGTCAGGATGTCGGAGCGGAATACCTCTGACCGCACTATGAGATCTGCCATGTGCTTGGTCTTGTCGTTCACCAGCTTATACGCCTTCATTCTCGCACCGGTTGATGTCTTCTCGACGTCTTCGTCCACTTCAGCTTGGAAGCGCTGCATAACGTCGGGGGCTAGAAAGCTTTTTAAGATGATGACCCCGTCCTCTTGGAGCATCTGAGCCGCCTGCTTTGGGGATACTGTAGGGTGTACCCTTCTAATGGCTTCGGCCTGGCCAGTCATGATGGTGGTTTTCGTCGCCGGGCGATTAGCAGCAAGTTCAGACTTGGATCAAAGGAAAGAGATGACTGTGAAAGCGTTGGCGTTCTCGATAATACCGTTGAGCTTCGAATACCCGTTGAGGTGCCCTTTCATGGCTTTTAAGAGCCCTCCCATCAAAGCCAGTTATTGTTTGGCATGAGAAGGCTTTTTTCATGTCTCCCCCCCTTGATTATACCTACATGCAGGTGCAGTCCTTGTAACACTACCAAATTCATCATCGTGCGTGAGAATCCGAAGTGGTCCAATGACATCCACGTTGAAGGCTAGGGATGACGGCTGGCTGGCATTCAGCCCCCTACATACTGTGTACCCATGCATGATGGCCAAAAGAACTCCTTGTACGGCCGCTCCACCGACGTCCAGGCGCGTGTTTGGCTATGATTATAAGTGGTGGAAATAAACGCGGCCCTCTATCCCTGGCTTCCTGCCGTGGCACGTCCCGTCCCATCCTCGGAGTCTGAGGTATGAACTGAGATGTAACATAGGAAGGCCCGTCCCTTGCGTATTGTACTTGGTTAGGCTGTTCGGGCCCGCAAACAAGAGTCCACCTCAATACTGAGATAGATTTAGTCCAAACGAGGCAGGGTGGAACATCCCTTGTCCGTAGGTTATGAAGAGACGTCCAGATTTCTACTTCCTTTGAATCCCCCAACAAATCTTCTCTTAATAGGTACGGATGGCGGGAGTAGGGGACAAGTCCGACTTCAGGGTTATTATAGTGGGGGGATCCATTGCAGGATTGACCTTGGCACATTGTCTGCGAAGAGCCAAGGTCGCCCATGTAGTCCTGGAAAAGAGGGAGGAAATAGCACCACAGGAGGGCGCCTTTGTCGGTATTTGGCCTAACGGTGCCGTGGTGTTGGATCAACTCGGTCTGTATGAGGGATTGGAAAAGCTGACTGCGCCAATTCACCGAATGCACATCCGATACCCGGACGGATTTTCATTCAGTAGTTCGCTTCCCAAGGCTGTCCATGAAAGGTATGTCAAAGCTTCTAGTCACATAAGGCATAGTGACCTCACTAATGTTGGTGTTCATGTCCGATAGATCCGGCTATCCGATCATATCGCTGGATCGACAGGCCCTCCTGGAGACCCTCTATCAAAGTTACCCGGACAAGGCCAACATACATATCGGACAGAGGGTTACCGACGTTGAGTCGCTCGAACACGGTGTACGGGTCAAAACTCACAAAGGCGCGGTTTACCACGGTGACATCGTTGTCGGTGCGGATGGGATCCACAGCCGGATACGCTCTGAGATCTGGCGACTCGCCGATGACCAAAGCCCAGGTCTGATAAGCACCACCGAGAAAACATGTCCGTATATCGTCTGTTTACGGTCTCTATCATGGATATGTGTGTTCTAAAAGCTAACTGCAAGGATCCTCTAGGCTTCACCGTGGAATACACGTGTGTTTTTGGAATTTCTTCACCAATCCCGGGGCTTCACGGTGGGGAGCATGTCAACTCATACGGTGAAGGGGTTTGTGTAATCACGTTCCACAACAAGGATGGGCGTGTATTCTGGTTCATTATAGAGAAACTCCCGAAAAAGTACACCTATCCAATATCTCCACGGTTCACTCCCCAGGACGCTTCGGAGTTCTGTGGCCGGCTCGCAGACGTGCATGTCTTTAACGATGTCACCGTGGGGCATCTATGGAGAAACAGAACCGTTGTCTCAATGAACGCATTGGAAGAAGGCTTGTTGTCTACGTGGTCATTTGAACGCATGGTTCTGTTGGGAGACAGCGTTCACAAAGTAAGCCTTCTTTGCAAGTTATCTACTCACTGCCTGTTGATTTTGCCCAGATGACCCCCAATATCGGACAAGGAGCCAACACCGCAATAGAGGATGCTGCAGCGCTGGCATCACTGATCCACCAGATGATCAATCCAATGACACCTCAAAACGCCTCAAAAGCCGCGATTGGGCACCTCTTCCAAAAGTTTCAGGACTTGCGAATGAGCCGTGTTCAAAGCACCGTCCAACGGGCTCATTTTGGTGCTAGGTTTCATACGCGAGATGATCACTTGAAAGCTCTGGTCGGGAGGTATATTTTCCCGTATGTTGGGAATCTGGTCATGGCCAGAACAGTAAAGGTTATTGGGGGTGGCCACAAGATCGAGTTCCTCCCACCGCCCAAACGATCCATGCCGTGGACGGCGCAGACGGACCACAGCCAGCATAAGATGCATGGTTCCAAGGTGCTATGGGCCTATTTGTGTGTGTCTACGCTCGTGCTATATGCAGCTTGTGCTTTATTTCAGTTGATGTGATCGTTCCCGTATTTGGCATTCATGTCGGTCTGGGGACGCATGGGCCTGGAATTATTCAGACAACTTACTCATTTTCAAACGATGTTAACTTGATGATTACGACCCAGGATATGCTAAGTCGAAGGACAAACCCCCCAATTCTCTGCATGCGTGCTGAACGCTTTTCGGCATTTGACCATAGACTTGCTCAAGCAAAAGGAGGATGGGGTGGGACAGACCGCCTGAGGAGGTCCTTTTTCAAAGGGGCACGGTAGACATTCGAACAAATGATCAATGTACCTACAGTACAGAAAGCGTATTGACCCTTTACCGCACACGTGCCATTATATCTGGGTTATTGATCATCTTTTCCCTGCAATCCAATGTTCCTCAACACAATTGCCAGCTCCTCACCTTTTTGAATAAGCCCCAACCCACCTCGGCGACAAGCATCTTGTATCCCAGTTCCACCTGATAACGACCATGAGGTTGAAACCTTTACCTGCAAGAGCCGATCTCGGATCGGGAATGCTCCAGAGACTTCCTCCAGTCCTCGCCCCGTATGCCATGCAAGTGTGGAGATCTTCTTCGCCCTTCTGTATCTGTTCGGCAAACAATTCACAAACTATCCCCAGCTCATCCTGATCAACATTGGAGTGACGATCCCCGTGGCACTGCACAGCTTCGGTCTCAGTCCCTTGGCACACACAGAACGTCCACCGTTGGCAGAACCCTTTTCATCGAGCTGGTGATCGTCATGATCGATGTCGTGTACGCACGTCAGGACATTGGGGAAGACGTGAACGCTGGAGTGAAGGATATGGCTGTGCAGTCCAGGAATTCGATGCGTTTTCTGCCCTATGTGTTGTCGTACGGTTCGACAGAGTCGCTCCTGGCGGCCGGTTGGCGGCAGGTTTGGGTTTTCCGCTTATTGTCTTATCTGTTTGGGGCTCTTCTCGGGCTTTAAGTCTCTTCTGATAGCCACTGGGGTGGAAAGATCCTCGGAGGTGGAGCCTTCGACCAAGTCTGCCTGTCTGGTTGCAAGCGTATTCTAGTTTGTTGGGTTGATGGCGGAATCTGGTCTACGGTGCTAGTCGGCTCATAGTACTGGAGTTCGTTGATTCACAGTGCTGAATAGCAGTCCTGCCTTCATACCATAAACATTCTCTACGGATCTAGGGGAGTGAATCGAATTGCGCAAGGAGAAAGTACTGGACCAATGCTATTATCGAACGAGGTAGCATCAGAATCAAATGTAAGATGGTAACCCCTAGTAATAAAGCCACATCAGATGGTTGACCAGGCATTGTCAATAGGAAGGATAGCTCCATTGATCCCTTTGCTTCTATCCGACACAAGAAACAGAAGCGGGCGGGCGATGTCTTCTGCGCGAAGCCCAATCCCTTTGTCTTTGTCACATGAGTGCGATTGATGAATGAGAAACATTGTTTTCATTGCCTCCTTGTCCCATTTTTGAATATCCATTTCATTGTGGACTCCCGTTCCCACCACACCTAATCGCCCCGTTAACCGCATGCCGTGGGATAGCCATCTACGCCGGGACAGTCGCAGCGTACTTACCTCCGGGACAAACCGCATTGCAACGGATATTGTCGTGTTTGAACCTCCAGGCAACGTTCTTCGTCGCTCCCACCAGTCCATGCTTGCCTATTTGTACCAAATCAGTACGAGCGCGACATCACCGTAGCGCGATACCTTATGGGAACGCGAGGAAGGCGTCCCACTCACTTGCTGTATACGCTACGCCAGAAACAGCACCACTAGTTGCTGCTTTGCTGGCCACATTCACGATATTACCGCTCTTCTGCTCCCGCATGATAGCAATTACCTCCCGCATCAGTCGTATCGGAGCCGTCAAATTGACCGCAATACAGCGGTCCCACATTTCGTCGGAAACACTGTCAACGCTCTGGTTACTATCCATGATCCCAGCGATATTCAACAGCCCGTCGATGCGGCCGCCAAACATTTTGACACAAGCCTGCACGACATCCTTAGGTGTTTGCTTGTCACAGAGATCAGCCTTAAGGAATTTGTAGTTTGGGTGGTTGGCCAGCGGCGCGGGTGATGCCGCGATATCAACGCCGAACACTTTTGCGCCCTGGTCCAGCGCCATCGAGGCTGCGGCAAGACCGATACCCGATGCACTTCCAGTGATTATCAAGACCTGTATTGCTGTCAGTGAATGTTCAATGGGTACTCTTATTGAACAGCTACTTTATCTTGGAGGTTCGCCATGATCTGAGAGAGGGGAAATGAAGAAACGAAGCAGCAGACTGTTGATAATGGAAGCACAAACCGATGGTGGCCTAAGGGATTTCTGCTTCATTCAATACCTAAATACAGATTGCGGTGCCAGATGATCAGCTTCTAAGCTGTGTCACGTCCCCCTCCCTTTCCCATGCACGTATAGCAAGGTCGAACCAACCTTGCGTGGGCTGTTCGTTCGGGTTGTAATCACAGACGAGCCGATGGTACAACCACATCTGAATCACAGCTTCCCGCGCTATCCGAGCGAAGTCCAGATTAGGAACCCTTGCATACTGCCCTGTCTTGTCCTCCTACGATGAGCAAGGGGACCATAAACAACGTGCAGTCCATATCTTTGAAGACATTGGAGAGGTATTGAGCGACCACAGCAACAGGCTTATTGCGCATACTTTCCTGGTATAGATTACGGTGGTCATTCGCCCAGTAGCTGGTCAACCAGAAAGTGTTCTAATCTGCGACCCCTCGCTTTCGTACCTTGTCCACCAGATGACACGTCATATCCCAAGGGAGGCATATCGTTCTGTTAAACTAACTGCAAGTGTCTTTGCAAGGACTTGAGCTCATCTGAAACTATCAAGAATGACGACCCCATTAAGATCAATCTTGACCGCTATTTGGGGGGCTTGCCAGTCCGACTTGATGTCCTAGAAGGAGTTGTCGAGACTAGGTATTTGACGAGGCCGATTTTGTATGGGCGGTGATGTACTGGCAGCCAATACGAGACGCCCTGTCTTGACACGTTCTAAGCCCGTCAGTTTGCCAAGCGGAGGGGAACAGATTTAGAGAACAATCGTTGGTCCCAAGCAACGGTGCGATCTTCATAATAAAGGCTCGGTATATAGGAGTATAGGAGTAATCGATCTCTCGTCTCCTGATCGAAGCTGCTTATTCACTTTGGTAGGCCTGCCTAGTCTGAATCATGTGTCACTAACAAAAACAGTGCTAGTCAGTGGAGGCTCTACTTCTCATTATTAGCAGACGTAGATATTCTTGCTGCCTATTATAGACAGTGAGGAAGCACATACACCAAAGTGTTGGACTGTTTTATAAGGAGGGGCGAAAGGCTAGTACAATCGCACAGATTTCTCGATAGGTGGGTTATTTAGCACTACAAAAGGAATATCACACTAAGAGTATGAGTGTTTATACAGAATCGCACCTGTCTATACTGCACTAGCGCTCGTTACGCAAGCGCTAAGATTACGCACTAGATCACACTCTTTAGGTGTATCTACCTGACTCCTAACTGCATGTAAGCTACACGCCGGCCAGTTAGTAGTTGGGTGGGTGACCACGAGCGAACCCCGGCTGTTGTATGTTTTTATACATGTCTTTTTTTTTTTTTTTTTTTTTTTTTTTTTTTTATAGCCTAGGAAATGTTGATTGATGGCCATGACAGGAAGAAAATGGCTGGAAAGAGAAGGACATACGAAGGGTAAGTAGGCTAAAACGTGGGTGACAGATCCTGCTGACTGGCATGAGAAACATGCATGTAGTCAGAAACTAATAATGAAATGGAAGAACTTGAATTCAATCCTGTGTACTCTAAGTAGACTGCTTTTGCTTGGTTCAGCCATAGTCTATTGCCAGACGGAGCTTCTAGCAAGCATCATCCATCTCTAAGCAAGAAGCAGTCCATTACCCTAGACCTTGATAATCGTTATGGAATCATGAATAACAGTCGGATAATCAAACGGCGCCCGGAGGCCTTAGGCTGGTCAAGGCTACTTCACAGCTGACGAACAGCTTATCGGATTGTTTGTCACAGCGGCCTACCAGTTAGACTTAATTAGGATCTCATCCTGCAGGATCCGTTGGCTTGTAGAAAACCCGCAGACTAGGACGTATTCTGCAACTCCACATTGTCATCTCGTCGGGTGGGCTAGTTTCCGCCAATCGATCCCTGGCCGCTAGCCTTAGCTTCGGTCACGTTTACTTGGCGTAATTATTATCAGTAAGTCGAAGAGATGCAGCTGCATGCTGCTTATGACTGGTGGATGTAGATTGGAGTTCCTCTGTGCCTTTCGTTCTGGCTCTCATTTGTCACAAAGTACTTGTTTAGATCTCCTGGGATCAGGGATTACATCACGCATTGAACCCATAGCGGAAGATTCTGTGCGTCCTTCCACAGCATGCATAGATCGAGCACACTGGTGGATATACAATCCCGCAGAATAGATGCACCAAGGCCCATCTACATAGGGCATCTGCATCCCGTAATTAACCTATGTCCCCATATTCCGCTCTCGGACTTTGACACGCCCAATTTGCTTCTAGACTCGGGGAGCCCGCCCGCTTAGGACCCAGGCACGGCTCAGGGACAGAGGACATTGCTGCATCACCTTCGCCACGGTTGCTATGAAGGTAGACAGTCCCACCCTCTACTCCACTGTTGCATATGTCGAACCCGTTTTGTATACACTTCAACTTAAACATGCAGGCCAAGATGGCCGGCGTACACGGGTAAGCAGCCACATGTTACGAAGATAATGCTCAGTAAGAATGACAAAGGAATTGGGAAAGCGAAGGCCGAGATGAGTGGCAATTTCGGTGTGATATGGGCCCGATCCTAGTATAAATAGACGTCCTTGCCCTCTGTCTAAGGCTAGCATTCATCTTCGATCCAGACTCACAATCCCATCTCTACTCCAACCCAGGCAAGATGCATTTCACCAAGGTCTTCCAGGCTATCACCCTTCTGGCTGCATCCACGGCTGTTACAGCCTGGAACAGGCTGGACAAGAACAATGCTGTACGGAGTTACCTGTTACCTCAAGTCTGCTGCAGAAGAGAATTTCAAACTGACAATGCCTAGGCTGTTCTTGTTGTTGACCACCAGGTCGGTCTCGCGCAGGTAGTGCGTGACCAGTCGGTCAACGACTTCCGCAATAACATGCTGGCGCATGCAGCGATGGCTAAGGTTTTCGACCTGCCTATCGTTCTGACTAGCTCCTCCGACGAAGGCCCCAACGGCCTCCTGCTCAAGGAAATTACGGACATGTATCCCAATGCCACATTTGTCCGCCGTCAGGGTGAGGTCAACGCCTGGGACAACAAGGATTTCCGCGCTGCCGTCAAGGCCACCGGAAAGAAGCAACTTATCGTCGGTGGTATCGTGACCGAAGTTTGTAAGTACAATCGAGCCCTTGCGACGATCCTAACTGGGAGGAAATGATGTTTATGAGTCTATACTAGGTACTGCGTTCCTGGCCCTCTCGCTCCGCGATGAAGGCTACGAGGTCTATGCCAATACCGACGCCAGTGGCACCTTCAACGTCCGCCTGGCTGAGGAGGCTAATCGCCGCATGGAGAAGGCTGGAGTCACCCTTATGGGAATGTTTGCCATTGTCATGGACCTCATGCGCGACTGGAGACACACCCCTGGCCTTTCTGAGGTCCTTCCCTACCTTGACAAGTGAGTAATTGTTATCATGGACATGACTATGCTGGATTCTAAAGTGAGGCAACTAGGTACCTCTTTGACTACGGCTTGGTTGCTCGCCATCACGCCGGTGCTCTTGTCAACGGGACACTGTTTCCTGTTGAGACGACCCTGATCTAAGATGGACAATATGTGACTTACATGGCGGCTCGGAGGTTGTTGGAGGAGGGTCAGAGATAGTGCAACAATCGGTATTTAGTCAAGCTGTGGCATGACAGATATAGTGATTGCAGAGCTGGAGGGAGTGTGGGTGAAGTCGTCCATGTTGCGGACCACTTGAGGAAAGAAGCCCCATGGGTCTCTTCCAGACAGTGGATTGTTTAGGGATACTTACTTAGATAGTGAATGAAGGAGTAGGTGATGTTGGCAAAACTTCTAACCAAGGCGAACATGCAGATACCAGTCCTACAGGACCATGCGCAGTAACCATTTTGACTCTTTTCCTCCTTCAGATTGGCAGAATGAGATCCTTACTGGGCCAAGCAGTAGTAGTAGAGAGTGTCCGAAATTGCTTCAGCCACAAGTCCAAAGCGTAAGCCCTGCCACGCTGCCACTTGATATACCGCAGCCGGGCACATCTAAGCTCCAGGATCAAGAGTGGCCTAAACAAGCAAATCCCGAATACCCAACCGTTGTTCCGTTGACACTGGCTAGACTGTTGCAGCGCCTCCATAAGGAATCTTGGGCTCTCGTTTGACAAAGCTGTCTCTGCAGTGATAGGATGCAACGTCTCGCGCATGATTCGGGACAGGCGCAGGGTATAAATCCAATTCAGTGCCATGTAGCTCTAAGGTTCAACTTATCTCTTCCAATTAGCGGTGACAGAAGGGATGAATACGAGCCTAGTGTCAGCCAAAGACTACAGCTACCTATATATATTTCTTGGCACTTTCTGGTAGTGGAAGCCTCATTTCGCTTCCCAGATAGTCTGACGTTGCAGCGGGAAATATCTGACGATTGGAGATTGCGCGCTTCAGAAGATATGAGCAGTAAAGTCCGATTGGCAGCACAGAAGTTACCAAGCCCTCGTAAGACTACGGAACGAGGAAGAGACAGGGAAGAAGATCTTGCAAGCCATCGCTGACAGCAAAAGAAATCGACATCTACATTTCTAAATATAGTGCTTCGTCTCCTATGTCCAATTGAAGCCTTTCCCGGGTCCAGAGGATCGATGTTCGGTGAGCCCAATCCCGGCAGATATATGATCTATATAACTAATTGCTGACATGCATGCTACAGACGGATACGCTATATCGATCCAAAATAGCCGAGCAAAGCCTGCTCTAGATCTGTGGGAATAATTCATGCAATGGCATTTCCATAAGAACGGACAGATGCCTAGATTTTCATGGTCTTCTCGAGGATCCCATTCGATTTCAGGGAAATTTGTTCTGCTTACTCTCAGTCTTTCGCCGCTGGAGCTATGCGCTTTTACACGTTTTCCGTCGCAGTAGCTCTGTTAGCTGCTGCCGTGCCTGTCACAGGGGGCCCAGTGGATCCATGGGATGCCCTTGCTAGAAAGGCGTTAGTCAATCAGAACCAATTCCATCAGGGCGGCGCATGCAGCCCGCGCACTGCTGCTGTGCGCAGAGAATGGTACGAGTATCCACCATGAACTGGGTGAATGAATTCTGACCGATTATTTCACTCAATAGGGGATCACTTTCCAAGCGCGAGCGAAAGGACTACATCGACGCTGTGCTTTGTTTAGCTTCTAAGCCCGCGAAGATTGACCCTTCCTTTGCTCCAGGAGCTCGCAACCGATTTGATGATTTTGTCGCGACGCATATCAACCAAACGTGGTTTATTCACGGGACGGTAGGTAATTCCAGTGGAAAAGGAAGAGATTGCGTGATAGTAATGCTTATCATCTAGGGAAATTTCCTGACATGGCATCGTTACTACACATGGGCGTACGAACAAGCCCTGCGGAACGAATGTGGGTACAAGGGTTATCAACCTTACTGGGCGTGGAATAAGTACGCCGACGACCCTCTAAACTCTCCCATTTTCGACGGTTCCCCATACAGCATGTCCGGAAATGGACCATACATCCCCCATAACGACACTGAGATCGCGCCTGGTGTCTTCATCCCCCCCGGGACTGGGGGTGGCTGCGTATCATCCGGACCTTTCAAGAAGTGTGTCCCCTTTTTTCACTCGGATCTTCATGAGTACTGACTCTGCTGCAACAGCTGGACGGTTAACCTGGGGCCTGTATGGCTGAGCCTCAAAATCCCTGGACTCGCGGCTCAGAACGGTTCTGGTCTCGAGTATAATCCACGGTGTCTTCGTCGAGATATTTCGCAGGATGCAGCAGCGTGGACGAGAACGGAAATCGTGATGGAATTATTCAATGAGACGACTATACTTGGTTTCCAGAACTTGCTGCAAGGCTTCGTTCCGACGCCTGGATATCTCGGCGTCCACACTGGCGGTCACTTCACAGTGGGAGGTGACCCTGGCGGAGTACGTTCTATTATTTCTCTATTTTACATCCGAAGCTAACCGGCGTGCGACCTCGTATAGGACTTTTATACTTCCCCTGGCGATCCAGTATTCTATCTTCACCACGCTGCGATTGATCGCGTGTTCTGGACTTGGCAAAACCTGGACCCTGCTTCTCGCACCTATGTTGTAGATGGGGGTACGAATATGGTTTTGCCTTCATCTCCAAACGCTACATTGGATGATATGGTGGATATGGGCAGTGCTCTAGCACCACCAAAGACGATTAGAGATCTTGGAAGTACTATGGGAGGTCCGTTTTGTTACGTTTACAAGTGATTTGTCATGAGTGATCTTGTGCAGGAAAGTCTACTCCGTACGAGGTGATGTCGTTTCACGATCAGAATGGAGGTCTGTCTCTTCTCCGTGCAGGTACCCAGCAGGGAAAGTATAGAACAGGCGCCACGAATGTCGAAGACGACCAAAATAATATATAGTTGTGTATCTCTTTCTGTCATACCAGGCAAACTATCCAGTAAATTCGAGCGGCTTTCAATCTCATATATCTCACACGACAAGCCTGGGCATAGGTACACCTACGGGGAACAAAACGACAATTCACCTCACCTCTCTCCACCGACATCACTTCGAATAGATAGTATATCGATTTCTGCTAATATTTTTCATCTTGTTCATATCCCACCCGAAGCTTTCTAGTCAATGCGTCTCATACGCCCTTTGAACCTCAGCTCTAATGCGTTAGGGACAGACTCTTCGAGACCATACTCAAATGCCCGCTTGGTTAAGGTCCACCGTCCACCAGACTGACCTCCTGTAAGCGGGGCGCAAGGCCAGCGCGAAAAGTTCCGATTTTGAATGGAACAATGGATCGTCTCGTTAGTGCTAACCTCGCTAGAAATACGCGACATAGGTGTCCGGAGACCACTTCCCAAGAAAGGCAGCGCACTAGAGACTAGGCGAGACACGAAGCTCAATGCATCCTCCAGGAAGCCTGACGGCGTCTCGGTGGGCCCTGCGGCGGTGGCCCAGGCCAGGGTATTGCCCTGCTGGACAGGAACCCGATGGTCAAGCAGATAATAGTCTTCGGGGTCGGTGGCTCCGTTTCCGTCAACGAATGCCAGCTTGTTATCCTCTGCGCACCGGCCAATCATCCATGCCAACGATATATCGGAAAGCCGCGAGTCGCCCAACCCGCCGCCAATATCAGCGTGCACACCAGAGAACCACACCTGCTGCAAGTCCTGGGTACTGTTTCGCGGGACCTCCCATAAAGTGGGCTGATATGGTGCACGAGATTCATCGAGAGATAGCGCATGGTATGCATGCTGAACCCGAGGCGAGAGCCGCTGATTATAGAACTCGATCTTTTCGCCTGTTATACCAGCTCCATGGAAGCCGACGGTATCCCACACGCCGATGATCCGGATCGCATTGCCGATACCGCGAAGATCGCCTTTTTCGCGCAGTTCGCCCAGAAGTCCTTCATCAAAGACCGGAGATGTCTGGTTCGGACCGTGGTCGTAATACTGCTCATATACATCTGGAAACTTGTCCATTCCTCGCTTGGATAAGAGACCGAGGGACGTTACAAGGCCCCCTATTGATCGAGCGGTGTATGCGCCGCGCGAGAAGCCGAAAAGGAATATCTCATCGCCTTCCTCCCAATTATGACAGAGGAACCCATATGCGGCGCGTATGTGTGCGGAGAGCCCGGCTCCGTAGAGTCCTGTCTTGGGTGCTTAACACGGGATGATTCCCCCATAGGGGATGACTTACCCCCGCGCAACTTGTCGCCTAGGTTCGTCCCTACTCCAGGCTGATAGAACACGATCTGAGGTATTAAGAGTCCGGTATCGGTGACTGCATATGGACTCAATGCTCTCGACAGGCGGGTCACATTTGTCGGGTGATCATCAGGACTCGCCGTCGTGGAATCCTGCCATGTGCCTACAGAGGCTTAGGGTTGGTTCAAGCTTCAGGAGGGCACCCATACCATCACACAGGACGATGAGTCGCTTCATGGGGGATACTGAGGTGCCAAGCACTTCAACACCAGGGTCTTTCTAGTTAAAAAACAAGCCCCAGGCAAATTCTCAATATGAGGAGAGAAAGCAAAACAGTTTATAGACAGACTAGCAGATAGATAAGAGGATGTTGACACCTTTTGTATCTTGTGAGATCTGCTCTACATAGCTTCAGCCAGCCTGGGCATTCACCACAAGCCCCGGGGCTGGCATATACGAGGGGCGAACGCCTGGGCGCTACCTCGCAGTTCAGCTGAGTAGACACCATCGTCTTACAGCATAACACGACTTCATCGCCAAGAGTTAAACCAGGTCTATCGAAGCGATTGGGATCTAGCATGTCTTGGCCCTTGGCGTGCATTAGGCATGGCCGAGCAGTGTACTTCTTCGAACCCTTGTCAGTGCCATCGAAGTTTCCTCTCATTGGATCAGACGTCGCAGGCTTGCGTTGGCTCAGCCGGACGTCAGTTGCGAATCTTGATCAACTCAGAACTGACACACTTTGTCCTAGTCGGTCTCATGTTTGAAACCCCACCGGTGCTTCTGACGCAATGTCCGTGACGGCATTTTTACGGAGAGGTCTGAAGGGGACTGAGCAGTCGAGGACCTGATATATAAGAGAAGCTGACAAAGTCTTCCTCGACGTGCAACATATATTAAGTGATTCTTGGGGATGTATGTGGTTGTCCTTTCACTCTTCCCTCCTTCCTCTGTCCCCTTTATGCATCAGCAAAAGTGAAGTCACGTTATCAATAGGGCAGCATCTTGCATAAAAATATAGCCAGACGAACTAGGTATGGACTGACCGTCCACGTCGGACGATTGTCAGCATGGAAATATCTATATCAGATTCTCTATATAGAAGGATAAAGCTGCGTTGATCCGTTCGACAATTCAGCACCTTATATTCTGGCGATGGAAGTGTTTCCCTAGTCCCTAAAGACATGTCGGGGTCTACCGTGGCTGTGATATGAGACCTCCTATGCTTCTTGGTGGTGTTCGGAGTTTCAGATCCACAGCTTGCGGACATCAGAAATTGCCGGAGCCCCGAGAAATGGGTGCGTCTACGGTATGTCAGGCCAAGTTGAGTTGTATGATGAGTATTAGATATAATTAGATATCTTCCGCATGCACCGGCAAAAAGTCATCGCGATTTTCTGGACCGGCAAACTTCTTTGACAGCGACTAGTGGGAGTAACAGTGGCGGGAACGTGCGGAAGTAGTAGATCTGGGTCATACAAACATCACAAAACCTTGTACAACTTCCTACACCATGACTGCATTGGGAGGCTCCAACGCATGCAATTCAAAGTTTATACGTGATGAAAATTTAGCTCTCATCTGAGTTATGCTTTTAGCAAAGTTAGTGGTAATCTACCTATAGGGACTCCGTGTTCACAATAAACTTTAGGTTGTTGGATCTGTAGCCTGCAGTTGATGCCGGTAAGTGGGATAACTCACTCATACTAATAAAGCATAAGTACGTTGCATTTATGATATAATTGACTTCCATTCTTTCAGAGCAGTAGCGAGGATTCTCAATTTAAAAGGAACCTTTCAGATTGATGTTCTTCAAAACATATTGGTCAAAATTTATCTCTTTGGTCGCGCTACTACGAATAGGAACTGTCTCTGCACGCCCACCATGAAACTTGCAACTACACTCGGACTCGCCTTCGTGGTTCACGCCTCCGCTAGTCCCTGTTCTCCCCCTGGGATCGTCTTTCAGTCGGGGAAGAATCATCCATGGGAGGACACGGCAACTGTCAAACTCGCGAACGACTGGAGCGGAAAGCACGCTGAAGCCGAAGTACCTCTCGACCGCAAAGACTACTCTATTGAATTACTTTATGGCAACTCCGACCTATCTCAGGACGGCGGTATCTATGCAACAAGTGCGGAGCTTACGCAGTTTAGCCAGCGTACTGGCTGTGTCGTTAAACTGGATGAACCAAAAATCCATGCCCAAGTGAATGCACATGCTACGTGGACTTTCTTGGACCGCGGCGCTTGGGTCAATGTCAAGGATGGCACTGTGACCTGCGGGGAGTTCTAAGGGTGGGCTTGCTGAGTTGAGTACTGTAAATGCACGACAGCTCGACATATAGGATATATGTCATTCGTGTAGTTAGGAGTTTAGCCCCAAAAAGACCGTGCCCAGTTCCGTTCTGTGGCCCACGTACGTCTTGTCCAAATAAGTTGCTGGGTCGATGAGTATCGTAAGAGTAGAAGAACTGTAGACATCCGACGAATTAGTTCCAGGTAAGAAAGCAAGAAGTTCGGAAGGTTTGTTTAACATAATGATTCAATTGGATATATACTGAACACAGAAGCAAAGTGACCCTTTTTATAATAAGTCAAGACCCTTGTTCACCGCAAGATTTCACCTCGTTACTTTTGTTGCGTGTTCCACAGGTGCATAGCATGACAGAGACAAACCTAGTTGTAGTACTTCCTGCATGGGCATCCACACGATATCATGTTCCATAAAAAGCTTTCCTCCTAATGTCAAAATAGTAAGGGCGTATTTTTCGTCCACGTACAGTCGCTGTTCTCTGTAGGGCCGCCTAAGACCCAGCTGGGGTAATATTTCTAGTGTAGATTGCACGCTCCCAGCTAGCTCGGCTCGACTTTCACAACTAGACTGATCGTCAAAACCCAGTGCCGGGAGTTACCTAGTCTAGGAATTTTACGAGTACAGAAAACTATGTTAATATTCCTAGGGCGTAGTGCCGGCAGCCTGCCCTCAGGAAGCCCCATATATATCTACCCCAGAGCGCTAAACCCCATTCAGCTAAAAAGTGCGATGGGTCCTATTCTGCCCACCTGCATTGCCATCTCGCGCTGTCTGATGTTCCCTTTCCAACTACTAGTATCGTACAATAGGTGTCACTCAACCCATGACGACACCGTGATAATCCGCTTCTGGAAACAAAGTACGACGAAGCGATCGGACTTGGGTCTCTCGCTAGGGAAAATGGATTTGCGGAAACTGTTCTCGTCATGCCACGATCTATAAATGATGCGGTTCCGACGTCAGAACTTTCTCGTTCTTCTGCACTTTTCACTGTCACAGATCAGCCTGGAGCCTCCCCGACACATTTGGCCGAACACGCGCTATCTCAAGAAACTCGCACAATGGTGAACACCACTGAAACCCCGGGATACGTTCCCGTCTCGGAGTGGCCGAACCTGGAGGCTCTGGCCGTCGGCTACGGCGAGCACCTGATGGTGCAATCCACGGTGCTGTCTGGGAAGCGCTTCGAGCTAGTACTTGGGGGGACCACCGGAGTCGCACATCATTTTGTTGACGACCACATGTTGACTTGGGAGATGGTGGGAGACGGGCGGAAAGGCGACGCAGAATACAAGGCGTTCGAGGTCCGACCAAACATCTTCTTCGTCGATTTCTACAAACCGGGCTATGACGAGCAAGTCAGCCTCGTCCTCAACTTCAGTACTGGTCAGGCTCTGGCCGGCATCTCTGGCTTCCACATCAAGGACGGCCAGAAGAGAACGTGGACCGAGCTCACGGATGCCTCGATTGGGAGCTACGACTCAGTCATGCCTTTCCAACCCACGAAGGACCTCATCGGCAAACACATTCTCTATCGCTACACCCCCCGAGATGCATACGAGCATATCTATCTGAACCAAGGCACATTCACCTGGCACTGTTTGACCGGGACCGAGAAGGGGCTTGCAGACACCGAGCCTTGCAAGATGCTCAAAGTGGATGATCAGCTGTACCTCCTCTTCTGGAGTGAAAAGGTTCTGCCGGTGGAATCTATTGTGGTGGTTGATCTCGGGCAGATGCGCTCTACAGGTCGTTTCTTCTGTTGGGATCCGAAGCCGGCAAAACGAGTTCATATGTTATTCGGTTCATACGCGACTGTCCTGGCGGAGACAAACGCTGCCGCTGTGCTTGGTTCTCGTCAATCCGCTCTCTAATTTCTCTACCGCGTGTCATAATCACTTTCCTTTGGGATGTGTCTATCTCTGTACCAATGCGTCTGAATATACACCTACATCAATACCGTACTACCATCCCATTTAGAATGGGTGGTGTCCGCGGTAGAAGGAATATACAGTAGGAAATATTCACAGATTTTTGTACTTCAAACTTTCTCTCAATCATATACTCCTGACCTATAGTACTGTGTACATGGGCAGCAAATCCGACCCTATATAGCGTGTTTCTATAACTTCCAAATATCGAGTAAGAACGGGGAATATATCAAAACTTTACGGCCGACGAGAACAAGCGCTCTGCTCTTTGTTAGAGACTGAATCTCCTTTCCATTCATCAAATTGTTGTTACAACATCCTTCAAACCTGATTTATCTGTGGGTCTTGGGGGGCCGTATTCCCAGCACCACCGCCTTTCCCAATTCGGCAACAAAGTGCGTGGAAAGGCAGCCTATCTCATCAGAGAATCTATACAATCCGTCTTTCTGGATTTCCTAGCCTCCTCCAATCCTACAGCCGTCCGGCACATAGCACATTGAGGTCATTATAAATGGACCTTTTACGGACGAGAAAGATAGTATAGGTATACCGTTCGAATGGTTTAAATCTCTAGAATGAAGAGGAATCTCCCACGGGAAGGAGAAATTGGCAGTCCACGTCTACTCCTAGCCCCTGGTCATGAAGCGAGATCAGGTATTATGCGTCTTGAATATACTTGATTTAGCTGACCTGATACTTTAACGTCCAGGCCATATACATAGGCCTACTAAGCCTACGGGAAAATTGTGGGGCGGGAACTAAGCATTGTCTCTGGAGGTGTGGCGGGGGCGTCAAGGCCCAAGCGGTCCGAACCGTGCAGTGGAGAATCAGAGAATGAGAGAAGATAGCGTGTCTATACAAAGCTCATTCAGGATACACTCTTTTATACTAACAGCGGGCGGTTCCGCCCACTGGCCCCATCGGGGTCCACCGCCCCTGATACGAAGCGGATAAGGAAGCCGAGTCTAGTGGAAGCTTGGTGTCAGATCTAGTGCGAGATCGCTGCTCTCGTCCCAAAGAGAGCCGCAGCTGGTGACATCGAAGGCATCATAATGTCCGTGTCATGTTAGGTCGGTGACGCGGCCTCATCCTTCGTGTTCTGGTAAAGATCCTTCGGGGGTCACCGATGAGGTTTGCAAATTCTTGACTTTGGTATTGGATATGGAATGGGCTGCTACAGTAATATCGGCCTACCTACGTAGAAAGACACTACATATGACTCTACGTATCAGACCTGCCATGACGCTGGGGACGGAGCGGACCGTCTATATTCTCTCTAGTCCCCTAAGCCTTCAGACCTAGCTCCTTTGCATGGTATATTCGGTTTCTTAAGTACGTCTAGAGCACCTCGGAATACTTTTCTGCTATAGATTGCTACTGCCTCCTTTCCTTGGGATTGGTAGCGAAAAACAGAGACACTGGCAACATGTCTGAAAGCAGGAACGTATCCGGCCCTCAGGGCCATGTAGCCCAAGAGCGGAATGAGAAACCAATTGATCAGTCCCAAAAAGCCAAGTCTTCTGCCAAAGATGCTTCTTCCATTCCGAATGGGGGGTGGAAAGCTTGGCTCCAAGTATTGGGAACCTTCTTCATCTTCTTCAACACATGGTGAGCAGACTCCAACATTGGAGGGATCTATAGTGACTGTCTAGGGGCATCCTCAATACTTTCGGAGCATACCAAACCTACTATGAGACTGGGGCGCTTTTTGCCTCGACATCGTCCAATATCTCCTGGATCGGCTCGGTGCAGTCGTCTCTTTTGCTGATCGTTGGGCTTGTAACCGGTCCTCTATACGATGCCGGTTACTTCTACACCCTCCTCGGCAGCGGATCACTCCTGATAGTCTTTGGGCAGATGATGATTAGTATCTGTCATGAATACTACCAAGCTCTGCTGGCCCAGGGCTTCTGCATTGGTATTGGTGTCGGCCTTATCTTCATCCCGGGTGTTGCGGTGCTGTCGACGTATTTCACCACGAAGTTAGCCCTGGCTAACGGCGTAGCCGCTGCTGGGAGCGGACTAGGTGGGTTGCCATATACAACTACATCCTAAAATCACTAACAAGTGGGCTTTCGCAGGAGGCATACTATATCCCATTGTTTTCCATCGACTATGCGACAGAATCGGCTTTGACTGGACGACCCGAGCAATCGGGCTCATCATCTTCGTCACCCTATTCATCCCAATACTGATATTTCGAATCCGAATCAAGCCATCCAGCAAGCGCAAACTGATAGACCTGTCCGCCTTCCTCGAACCAGCCTACATCTGGTTCGTTGTAGGAGGCACGCTGACCTTCGTCTCACTCAACATCCCCTTTTTCTACGTCCAATACTTCTCCATCCAGCAGGACATTGCCTCCGGCGAGCTCGCCTTCTACCTTCTCTCCATCATCACTACCGGCTCCGTGTTCGGCCGCGTGTTCCCCAACTTCTTCGCGAACCGCGTCGGCCCCTTCAACATCATCTCGGCGTGCACCATCATCTGTGGTGGGCTCATGTTCGCTCTGATTAATCTGTCCGGTCTCGCGGGGATCATCGTCATTGCTCTGCTTTATGGGTTCTTTTCTGGGGCGTTTGTCTCGCTACCGCCAACTTGTTTTGTGAAGCTCTCGCCGGATAGAGGGCTTATCGGGACGAGAATGGGTATGGGGTATGCCGTCATGGCGGTGGGGAATCTGATTGGGACCCCGTCAGCGGGGGCGATCTTGCAGGATAGAGGGTTCAATGCTATGTGGGTGTTTGGCGGTGTTATGTCTATTGCTGGGGGTGCGGCTATGATGATGAGTCGGAATGTTCAGGGGGAGTGGAAGCCGCTTGCGAGGATATAGACTCATGTGGGCTAGTATGGTATTAGCAGGCTGAGTCCCGCTGAATCCCAGAATTGGCTAGAATCAGGCCGTGCTGAGCTGGGTTGTTACTCTGATGTCTGGACCCAGCTGAAGCCTAAAATGCGCGTTATAACTACCCAGGTACCGGGTCTGGTTATTCTCTGTACGTACGTGTCCTTAGTACGGAAACCAATCCAACAACATATATTCCAACCAATATACCTATATACAACGCCGGCTACAGCTTCAAATCCCGCGGATCCTTAAACACCACCTCCTCCAACCACCAAGAAATAATCTCATTTACCTCCTTAGGCCTCTCCCACAACGCCCAATGCGCCGTATCCACCTGCTTGAAAGCCAGATGCGGGATGGACTTCATCATGCCCTTGCCCAGGTGCGGCGGGAGAGCCGCGTCACGAAGAGCCTGGATGAAGAGCACCGGCGCCATAATCCGCCGGTCGAGGATGGGGAGCTCGTCTCTGTAGTTGACTTCGCGGGTGCGATACCAGTTGACTATCACGATTCATTAGTTTCACCCCACAGTATGGTGTAAGCGAGACATACAAGGACCGTGCAGGCCGTGACGCGCAAACTCCGAGGCGTAGTAATCCAGCTCCTATTTCATCAGCATTACTCTCACACAGACATATAGCCTGAAGGAAAGAATATACCTCCTCACTCAGCAGCCGCGACGGCTGCACCCGCATCATCTTATCGACAAGCACGCCGTCATGCACGTCGAATGCGAACTCGCCGTCCGCCGTACGCCCCCCATACAACGTCGACAGGAACAGCTTCATCTCCTCCTTAGAGCGCAGCCGCTCCAGCTCGCCGCGGATGAACTGCACCTGGTACCCGAAGTGCGGGGTGATCTTGGCGACCATCTCCTCGATGGGCATGTAGGTCTTGATCGGGGGCGCATACGGCACGCACACTGTGAACACATGCGTCACGAGGTCGGGGTGCCACAGGGCGACCCGGTAGGCCAGGAACGCGCCCCTATATCTATCAGCGGTGCTCGCTGGATGGACGTGCCGGGTTAACCCGGTAAAGGGAAAGAAAGGGAATGGTACCAGTCATGGCCGCCGACAATGATCTTGGACGCGCCGAGCTGCGCGGCAAGCTCCTTGATGTCGTCGGCGCAGTTCTTGTGCGAGTACGGCTCGACGGCGTCGGGGGCGTCCTGGCTGCGTGAGCGGGGCGGTGTCCAATGTGCTAGGCATGGCGTACGTACCGTCTGGCCGTAGCCTAGGCAGTCGGGCGCGACGACGCGCAGGCCTTTGTCGCGCAGCATAGGGATTTGATACCGCCATGCCATGGACAGGTCTGGGAAGCCGTGGATCTGGCGGTGTTAGTGGGAGGACGTGGGCGGGTGGACAGTGGACAGTCCCGTACCAGGAAGATGGTGGCTCTGTATTTTCCCGAGTCGGGGACGCTGTACAGGTAGCCTGGTCATGTTAATCGGATGATGCTGGTGTAGCTGGTGGCACGACGGTGGCCAGCCGAGGTCAGCATACTGTAGGTTTTGCCATTGACGCTGGCTGAGCGGCGCTCTACGCGCGGGTCTCCGCGCACGTTGATCTTGTCGACGTCGGACATGGCGGATTTGGCTGGACAGTTGCTACTCCAGCGATGAGGTAGGATGGGGAAGAAGTCTGGTGTTGTTAGTTTGTGGTTATTTATACTACGTCGTTAGGCGTCTGGCTATCACGTGAAGCCGACGTCAAGGGTACAACTCACCTTTGTGCCCAAGAGGAGTCTAACGGATGAATCGAATATAATCAATGTTACTTTCGTGATGAATGTTCTTCAGTTTAAGTTGAACATACATTATTAATGAGTTGGGTCTCGACGATCTCCGAGCCTCGGTTACTGCGAATGCACTTCTCCTCATCAATCGCCAATCAACGCATCTATTCCACACAATGCACAAAATGTGGTATAAGTCCACTACCAGACAAACAAAGTCTCCGCTCAATACTCCACCGTATCCTCCTGGTCCTCCACGACCTCTCCACCATCATCGTCCGCTCCGCGATGATCCGTCTGGTCCGGTGGCGCACCAGCATGTTGGTACTCGCCAGCAGGCGCATCATCCGTCTTGACCCCTTCGCCTCTCTCATGCCCATTAGAATCAGCCACTTCGTCCGCCGCCCCAGCGCCATCCGGAGCCTCTTTAGCATCGTTATCAGGGCGCGGCACCGCCTCCGTCACGTCCTGCGTTTTCTCGTCCTGCGGGGGGTATCTCGCCTCGAATTCGGCCGTCTCGCGGGCAATGGTAGCCTCCGCCTCTTCAATCTGGTCTCGAATGGTATCTTCGTCTGCAGGCCGCAGCTGCCACGGTTTATAGTACTGCGCGAACAGTCAGTCAGCACACCACGCCCGCCCAGAAACAGCACCAACACATACTAATACCGGCTCCGCCTGCGTCTTCAGAAAGTGGGCCGTCGCCCGCAGATTCGCATGCCGCGTGCGCATCTACCCCGTCAGCATCAGTAGTCAAGCGTGCTGCGCACGTAAATCGTAGACATACCGCTTCCGCCTCGTAGACCCGCTGTTCGCGCCTCCGCACGACTGCGCGCTCCTCGCGCCGCTTGCGCTTCAACTCATCGTATTCCTCGTCCTGCAGCTTGAGCTTATCCTGCTGTCGGCGTTCGATGTCCGCGCGTCGCTTCTGCGCCGCGCTGCTCGAGCTCTGGGACAGCGTGCCCAGGAGCGCGCCGAAGAGCCGTCGTCCGCGTTTGCGATCCTCTTCGCGCCGGCCCGCGGGGCGACTCCGTCGGTCGGTGTCTGCGTCTGCGTCTGCGTTGGCGGGTGGCCGGTCCGGGGAGTGTGCGGGTTGCGGTGGGTGGTCGTCGTGCGTGCTGAGGCGGCGGCGTTTGCTGTCGGGGGAGGGGGCGTCGGTGAGGGAGGAGTTGCGCCGTTTTGGGGGCGCGTCTGGTGAGGGAAGGGCGGTTTCTTGTTCGGGGATTGCGACGGCGGAGGCGAGCGAGCTGGTCTTGTTAGCTGGGCTGTTGATAGTGCAGGGTACCAGGTGCAGGACGGACCCGTCTGCCATGTTGAGTGGCGATCAATGGACCGCGGGGATAGAAGCCTGCAGGAGTGGGGTCGGACGAATCGAGGGAATCGGGTCTGTCGAGGGCGACATGCAGCGCTGAAGACGTGGTCAGCGTACGGGCTGTTCTGGTCTGTTCTGTTCTGGTCCGTCGGCGGGCGGAGTTTGGCGCACGGACCACGTCCGAATCTCTCTTTGCCTTCGCCATTCTTCTCCAACCCAACCTCTTCTCACCGCACCTTACCACCTCTTCTTCTCCATCTCTATTCCTTGCTTCTCCATATCACACACCACATAACTACTACATCCGTTGAAGAAGCTCATCGCATTCCATCATGTCCCGCCATCACCCCGATCTCGTCATGTGCCGCAAGCAACCCGGCATCTCCATCGGCCGCGTGTGCGACAAATGCGACGGCAAATGTCCCGTGTGCGATTCCTACGTGCGTCCGACGACGCTGGTCCGCATCTGCGACGAATGCTCCTTCGGCAACTACCAGAATAAATGCATCGTGTGCGGTGGCGAGGGCATCAGCGACGCCTTCTACTGCTTCGAATGTACGCGTCTGGAGAAGGACCGCGACGGGTGTCCGAAGATCATCAACCTGGGCAGTTCGCGGACAGATCTATTCTACCAGAAAAAGAGTTTTCGAAATCATTGATGGGCGGGGCGACGCTCTAAGAGGGTTTGGTGTTTGGTGGTTGATGAGATGGATAATACCGGAGGTCTTGTGAAGGATAGATATTGCAACTACAGTGGCGTGCCTTGCCTTTTTCAATCTGATCCCGACGTCGTCTACCGGCCCGGCCGGCGGGGTCTGGCGAATCCACGTCTCATTCCGTTGTCCTGCGGCGGATCGACCTCCTCCTGCAATCTCTCGCCAGTGATCTCGTCGGGCCCGGACGCCTCGATCTGGTGTCGTTAGTGGCCGGCTGCTTTCGTTTCTGACTCGATCACGACATACCTTCTTGGACACCTTGAGACCTTGGGCCTGGGCCAGCTCGAGCGCCGACATGCGGGAGCTCGCGTACAGCATGCGCTCCTTGATCGACGCCCCCGACGGACACGTGTAGACGAAGATGACCACCTCGGAGCCGGGATAGTGGTAGAAGGTGTAGCGGGGCGAGGAGGGCGAGATACGGTCGCCGACGGCGGCGGCGTCGACGCCGGATTCCGCCGCCGCCAGCGTGAACGTCTCCTTGGGAATATCAATAGCCTGTACATACGTTAGCTCAATCCATCCGTCTGTCCAAGCAGCATCCAGCCCAGAAAAAAAAACGTACCAACTGCACCAGCGACCCCTCCTGCATCTCACTCAGCGCCGCCTTGGCCTCCTCCGCCACCGGCATCTGCACATGCATCCCGGACCCAGTGCTAGGCCCGAACCCGCCTCCGCGGCGGAACGATCCCCCAATGCCAATATCTCTCCCGGGGGTCCCGCTGCGGGCTTCCTCCTCAGCACGGCGGACGGCCTCCAGCTCGCGCTCCTTCTCGCCCATGAGCTCCTCGCGCTGGGCGCGGCTCGCGGCGCCGTTCTTCTCAGCCTCGCGCTCGCGCCAGGCCTCCTCGCCGACGACCTCGTCTTCCTCGGTGGCGAAGATGGTCGTGGTGAACTTCTCGGTGCCGAGTTCGCGGACGAGGGTGGAGCGCGTCGAGGCGAAGAGGGTCTTGGCGCGCACGGCCGCATTGGAAGGGATGTAGGTGAGCGCGACGAGGGAGGAGGCAGCGCCGCTGTCTGCGGGACGGCGGAGGAGGAGGTAGATGGGGATTTTCGGCTGCAGGACGGAGGAGAGCTGGGCGAGCGAGGGGTAGAAGGCGTCCGGGGAGGCGAAGGGGATGGCCGGGAGGGGAGTCAGACTCTCTGCGGTGATGGTCACCGGCAGGCAGAAGAGCGATTGGTCGGAGGAGAAGGAGTTGAAGGCATCGTGAAGGTCGGGGGAGACTGTAAGGAGTTAGTATATGTTGTGTTGTGTTGCGTTGATGTTGATGTTGCGGTGGTGTTAATGAGGGGGTGTGTTGATAGGGGCGGTATGGGGAGGGGAGGCAGTCAAGAGAGAGCAATGCTGTGTCACTTGGCTGGAGACGCACCTGAGATTCCGGACTGCATTGTGACAAGCCGTGGATCGTGCAATGTGACTTGTCGAGGGTTGAGGTGGGATGGGTTGGTGATGCGGAGGAGAAGCGGTGAGTTGGCGGGGTCTTAGTAAGGCTGCTCTCCGGCTATAAATAGTCTCCTATCTACGTTGGACAACATCGTCTATCCAAACGAAATGGTATACAAAACACTATACTATATACAATCCATCCCAAACAAAAATAACAAGTGTATATATGCTGATCATGCAGATCGCATTGCAATCGAAAACGCCACCATGCTCATGGTATCAAATGCTTCCGAGAACACGCAGCGGCCGTCCACCGCAACTTTTCCCTCGCCGCTCGCCTACTCCTCGTACTTGCCGCCGTTGACAAGGCTCCAGTTGGACTGCTCCAGCTTGCCCTTGAGGAACTCGTACACGGTGAACGTGACGGCCTGGCCGGGGGCCACCCGCATCACACGCGGGGTGATACCCTTGTAGAAGGCGCGGGCGCCCTCCTGCTTGAACATGTCCTTGGCAATCACCATGATGCGGGAGACGGCGGACTGGCCGGGCTCGGCACGAGTCTTCTGCAGGCGGGTCTTGATGGTGTCGATGGGGGCGTTGGAGAAGGGGCCCACGGCACCGGAGATCAGACCGATGACGGTGGTCTGGTAGGAGGGCAGCTGGGCGTTGGCGTACTCGGGCTGGACGCGCTGCAGGAAGGCCTTTAGCTCGGTGTAGGCCGTGAAGTTGGCGGCCTGGTTGGTGCCCTGGCGCAGGGCGGTCAGCGACACGCCGCGGTACAGAGCGCTGAAGCCCTCCTCGCGGATGACGGTGAAGAGCGCGTGCGGCGCGCTGCGGTACTTGGGGGTATCGAGGGGATCCGCCAGACTGTGGTGCTGCGCCTGCAGACGGATCTTGACGACCTCCATGGGGTTGACGACGGCGACGGCTTCGGTGACACCGGCGGCAAGACCAGCTTGCGGGGGTTAGTTTTCATTCTTCGCTCGCGCGGGGACAGTATAACGCATGGCATGGACATACCGAGGAACGTCGCTTTGCTGGTGACATGGCCAGTCTCCTTATCGGCCAGGAGCAGCTTGTACTGCTCGTAGGAGGTGAACCGGATGGCCATCTTGGGGATGATACCGCCCAGCACGGCTCCGAGACCCTTGTACAGACCGAGAGCGGTCTCCTTCTTGACAATGTCGACGCCGGTGGTCACGAAGCCGCGGGGCTTCATTCCGGGGGCCTTGGCCCGTCGGGACAGCTGCATGCGCACCTTGATGGTATCGAGCGGGTGACAGACAAGGGCCTCCATCATACCAGCACCACCACCAGCGATCAGGTTGACCGCGGGGGAGGTGGGCTTCTTGCCATTGCCGTTTGCTTGTTTAGACATGGTGATGGGAGTATGACGAAGTGGGCGGAACGGCTCCGAGGTTCAGTACGGGGAGGAAGTATAGGAGGGAGGGAGAAGAAAGAGGGGAGAGGAGAGAGGAGAGTAAAGAAGAAAAGAAAGTCCAATCGCGACACAATTCCGCGGAGTGTTCGACAGCGATCCCCAGGAATTAAGAAGGAAAAGCGACGATATCGGCGGTCACAAGGAGAGCTTTGCGCGCGGGGAGATACGGAAGTATGAGCAGCTACGATCCTCGGCACGAGTGGGCGACTAGGTAGGGATTCTGGAGAAATAATTAATATTCGGGAATGGGGAAGTCGGCTCGGTTCCAGTGGCGGCTTTTGTGACGTTGCGCCGTGGAGAAAGCTAGGACGGGGAAGCGGAGGAGCTCTGGACGAGCGGAAGAAGAGGTCAAAGGTAAAAGGGATGGGTTTAATACTCAGTACTTGGACTGACTGGGATTCTGGCCTTCTATATATACCTTACTGTGTAGCTCCGTCTCCCCGCGAATGGATATCCGAGGTATTCCCCAGATCTCTATCACAGTGACTAGTGAGTAATCTGGTGCTATACTTATACCGAGTAGATGGTCCGGAAAAGCACTTTATTCTGATGCCGAAGATCCCCCACGCCATGGATAGTTGCCTTACAGTGTTCTTTGCCTGCTTTCTTTGCTTGAGAGTTCTGATTGTATCTGTTTCTTAATGTTACCAGTAAATTCTACAAACTCCAGAGACAATCACATGAAGAAAGTCAGAGCTTGTGACAGACCGTCAGTAGTCACCATCATGAGTTCATCGAGTCAATCCGGGTAAATCCGGGCCAAGACCCTGGGCCGAGGTCATTTCCTAATGCGGAATCCTCAGGGTCTTCACTGCGCAACTGGGACTATGGTTACAAGAGTAGTAGACGAGCCTCTCAATTTGGAAGAGTATCGGTACTCAAGAGATGGATCATTTAAGAAGAGAATATGACTTGTCAGTCTATACCGACGACTAACTTTGGTATCTCCTCCCAACTACCAGGTGTCTTATCTACTCCAGGTGTATAAGGAGGTAGCATGTACCGACTCACACTTAAACATCGCCAATATTCAAAGAATGCTCATACTGTCACTTCAACTGAAGACTCCTAATTGTCTACACTACAGATCCGTCTTCGGACGAGTGTCCTCCGCTTTCGGACCGGTTCCAGCACGGTTTATGTTTTACCCACGCGGACATGAGTTGGCGACGGATGGAATCCCGAGAGATCACATAGTCGGTCCGATGCAAAGGGTTCATAGGGTTGGTATTCCTTTAGTGTACCTGTAGGTAGTAAGGTAGATCATGGTCCACGTGCAGTTCACATGCACGCATATGATAACCATATCTGATCTATACTACAGAATATACATACCTCCAGACTATTCATACAGCTGGATAAACAAACAGCCAGATCAAACTCCCTACTCTCGGAGCATATCCGATCTGCATGCACCATGCATCTATATAACACCCATCTATACAGCCTCTCTACACAACTGACCCTACTCTCTATACAATGCCCGTACCATGGCCACAGACCCTCCCACCCCCCTCCACACCATCCTCACCTTCCTCCTGCACCAATGGCTCCTCATCGGCATAGGCATCGCCTGCATCCTGGCCTACTACTTCCCCTCCGTCGCCAAACACGGCGGCACCATCCACGCCGAATACACCATCCTCTACGGCGCCATGGCCCTCATCTTCCTGATCTCCGGCCTCACCATCCCGCGCGACAAGCTCCTCCGCCACGCCCGCAACATCCGCCTCCACCTCCTCGTGCAGTCCATCTCCTTCCTTCTCGTCCCCGCCCTCCTCCTCGCCATCGTCCACCTCATCCTCGCCGCCGACTCCTCCGCCCCGCGCATCGACCCCGCCCTTCTCACCGGCTACCTCTTCACCGCCGCCATCCCCACCACCATCGCCAGTAACGTCGTCATGACCCGCGCCGCCGCCGGCGACGACGCCGCCGCCCTCGTCGAGGTCCTCCTCGCCAACCTCCTCGGCCCCTTCATCTCCCCCGCCTGGACCCTAGCCATCCTACCCCGCGCCCCGGCCTTCGACCCCTGGCGCGCCGCCACCGCAGACCTCGCCGCCATGTACCGCGCCGTGTTCCGCCAGCTTGGCCTGGGCGTGCTGCTGCCGCTGGTGGTCGGGCAGGCGGTGCGGTGGTCGTGGCCGGCGCCGACGGCGCGGGTCGTGGAGCGGGCGCGGCTGGCCAAGGTGGGGAGTTTCTGCATGCTGCTGTTGGTTTGGTATTGCCCCTTTTCCGTTTCCTAGTTTTTTCGTTTGTGTCGTCATCCGTAGTCGTGCAGAATGTAACGGGTTAGGTCGACGTTCTCGTCGTGCTTCGCGACGGGCGCCCTGCAGTCCCTCGCTGCTGAGAGCATCGCCTTCGTCGTGTGCTTCAATGTCGCCCTGTATCTCGCCCTGACGGGCGTGTCGTTCGGCCTGTGTCGGCTGCCGGAGCTGGGGGCGGGCGATGCGGACAGTAGTGGAGACGGAGCGCGCCGCTGGAAGCGTGTCTTCCGGTCTATTCCCCCCGAGGAAACCATCGCGGTGTGTTTCTGCGCTCCCGCGAAAAGTACCTCCCTCGGCATCCCGCTGCTGTATGCCATGTGGGCGCCGTTGGACCTCCTCGTCAAGGCGAAGACATCTGTCCCTGTGCTGCTGTATACCACCGAGCAGATCTGCGTGGCGCATGTGCTGGTGCAGGTGTTTCGGCGGTGGCGCGCGCGGGTGGAAGATAAGCGGGAGGGGGAACCGGAAATGATAGAAGGAGGTGAGGACTGTAGTATTTCGGGGATACCCTAGTAGTCTAAGGAGTAATAAATTTACAGGAAGGGACTGGGACTATAAACAGGACCGCCCGTCTACAAACACAGGAACGATATGATCGACTGGCAACAACAACATCACCCTCAGATATAGCTCACTTTCACCCCCATCCCAATCGTCCCCTTCACCTTCTGCCACCCGGCCCCGGTGATGCGCCGGATGCGCTCGCGCACGTCCTGCCGGCTCAGCGCCACCAGTAGACCGAGGAGGAATAGTAGCGTGCGCGCAAACGACATCGGACTGCCCGCGACCGTCTTGGAGAAGTACTGGAACAGATTGCGCAGGACGGTGCCGAGCGCGCGCGTCTGTCGTGCCCGCGCCTCGGGCTTGTCGGCTTTCCTGACGCTCTTCGAGCCAGCTGGTGGCGAGAACGCCGTGCGGGTCTTTCCCCGTCCCTTGACGGTGCCGTTGCGCCGGGACTTTTCGATCCCATAGTCTACTTCGCTGTTGGTGCGGGCGTGTTTGCTCTGCTGGGTGGATGCCGCGGCGGCGGCGGCGGCGGCGCGTTCTGCGGCCGCAGCCTCCTCGGCTCGTTGGCGCTCCGCCTCGCGCGCCTGACGCTCCATCTCGGCGTCCTTTTCGCGCTGGAGTGCGGCGGCCCGTAGCTCACCCTGTTGTTTTTCCTCCTTGATGCTGTCAAGCATCTGGAGAAAGTGCTCCTTCCGCTCCTCGTCGAGAACCTCGCTGAGGTTGATGAACTCGCTGGCGTACTCCCACTCCTCGTTGCGCGGGAGCACGTGCAGGGTGAAGAGTTCGATGATGCGGACGCGCGATGCCAGGTCCTTGGGGGTGTCGGTGCCTCCGTTGGGTCGGGCGGATCGTTGCGTGGGGGAGTTGAGGTGTTCGGCGATGTCTAGATTCGGCTGGCCGTAGGATGAGAGGTAGGTCTCCAGACGTTGCTGGTTGAGGACTTGCGAGGGAGAGTGCTTCAACAATAGCATTGCTCTGTATGAGTTAGTATATATTGCATGTGGAAATAGGAGGAAGGGGAGCTCACAAGTTATGGACCACCTCTGCATCTACCGAGCCCTCCAGCCCCTTATACCCAGCCTGTACGACCGTTTCCCAGATGCCACCCTCGCGCACCTGGGTGCAAATGGCCTTCCATTCTTTCTGACCGAAGTCCTTCTTGCCCTCTTCGGGGCCCAGGTCGACGATGGAGCTCAGCAGGGTGATGTACAGGTTCCAGACTTTGATCCGCCACGTGGGGGAGGCGAAGGCGATGGGCGGGGCGGAGGCATCCTGGTCGTGGACGCCGGTGATGGCAGGTTCCAGGGCGGTAAGCGATTCTTGCAGTCGCCGTGTGAGATATAGCTGCGAGGCCTTCTTGTATGTCTTGGAGCAGATCTTGGTGGGGGAGAGAGAGGAGGTGGAGGCGGATAGCTGCTGGGACGCAGACGTGGAGGAGTCGTCGGCCATGGTACACCGCCAGCGGAGATGGACCGGTCAATTGGTGGATGGAGATAAGTGAGAAGTGTAGTGGGGTATATCAATGGGAGAGGAAGAGATATTCACTCCATGAGCCAGAACAAGCGAATGCGATGAATGGAGATAGTGAAGATGTAAGTAAGAGTTGGAGTCGTGGAGGTTGGGGAGGCGGCGGAGAGCGATAGACACTAAGAAGTTCCCTCGGCTCGTGGTTGCGTTGCCCGAATCTGGGGTTGTCACGGGATGGACTGTAAGTGAACTACCTACATACTTAGTCACGACCTGTACGCTAGTTAACTACCTATATTAATTAGATGTTATGAAACACATGGTGCGGTTTCAGAAGTATTTGTATGTAAAATAAGTACCTATACTATATATTAGACAGACATATAGAGGATGGATTTACCTCGGTAAGAACAAGATGTCAAGAGTAAAAAGAAAAAAATACCCCTGGGCGGGTTCGAACCGCCGACCCTTGCGAGTGTTTTCATATAAGCCGTCAAAGACTTGCCCATATAAGCACAATGCTCTAACCACTAAGCTACAGGGGTCACGTGTGACGACTGCTTACCCAGTGGACTACGGCAGTCATGTTAGCATTAAGTAATATCTTTCATTGCTATATATGTCTGGAGGTTTTTTTCCTATTCCTTCCTCACATCCACCTGCAGTAACACATCTATCACCCTCTTGGATCCTCGCATCACGTCTCCTACAGCTCATCCTCACTCGTCCCACATATATATCCCGGACCCCATCTCTCACTATCCTCTCATAGCCAACCATTTGGATACATCCCATGGATATCACAACCAAGACATTCGCTTCCTACCTCCCTCATATCTTGCGCGACCTTTCTACCTGCGCTTTTGTATCTCTGGACTTTGAATTCTCTGGCATTGCCATCGCTCCTCCGGGTCGAAGTGGGGGATCCACCACTCTTCAAGAGCGTTATCTCGAAACCAAAGCTGCCGCCGAGAAATACAACATCGTCCAGGTGGGTTTGACCATCGCCCAGGAGGACCCGCACACAGGTTAGAGACAGTCCAGCTTCCCGGTGCATCGACTATAACTTTCGCTCAGCAACGTATACATTGCGGGCCTACAACTTCTATCTAAGTCCTGCTATTGACCGTCGCCTGGACTTGAGTCGAGACCTCTGCTTCCAAACCGGCGGTATGTATCATGCCCTCCATCTCAGTCTCTGTTGTACTGACAGTCATAGCTGTTGAGTTCCTTCTGGACTGCTCCTTCTCTCTGGACTCGCTCTATAAAAATGGCGTTCCCTACCTCTCCCGAGAAGAAGAAGCCCAAGTATGGACCATTTCGCAGGCCAGAGAGAACCGTCCTGTCCGGACAGAGCTGGACGTCAAAGACACCGATTACGAGTCGATTGCCTTTTTGGACGCAGTCCGGCAACTAATCGATGAATGGCTCGCTTCGGGTGATTCCAAAAGGCCCCGTGCATCCTATCTGAATATCCCCCCACCGAGTAATCCCGCCACGGCATCACGCTTCTCCAAGGCCATGCCATTGACCTTGAATAAGTTCCACAAGTCCTTGGTCCACCGCTTGATCGAGGTCGAATATAAATCCCTAGTCTCCGTGAGTAAGCCTTCTTTCGTCCAGATCATCGAATACGACGAGGAACGTGAGAAGGCAGTCATCGAGCAGCGGTTGAAACGGACCAAGGAGCGGATCCTAGCTCAACGGGGGTTTCGATGGATTGTAGAGGCGCTCGTCGGAGGAGACCTCTCTGATCTTCATGCGCGGCTCTTCACAGACCGACTGGAGAGCTTATCAGCCCAGTACGGAGGCCGAATGCCAGGTCAGACCGTTGACGAATTTTCCGCCCATCTGTTGCAGCGACTGAAAGATAGCCGGCCTGTATTGGTCGGACACAATCTCTTTACAGATTTGATTTATCTCTACCGCAACTTCTTAGGCCCTCTGCCGGAAACCGTTGCAGAGTTCCAGCGCAAGGTGCACGAGCTCTTCCCTACTGTCGTGGATACGAAATACATGGCCACACATAACTGCGGCTCGATTAATCCCAAGTCATCACTGGCAGAGATCAACGAGAGCATGATGAAACTACCGACGCCGGCGATCAAAATACATCCCCAGCACTTCAAGTACTCAGCCACAAAGGTCGACCATGAAGCCGGTTACGATAGCATGCTTACGGCGCAGGTGTTCATAAAACTCTCCGCCCAGTTGCATCGTGAAATGGCTGGTCGAACTACGCAGGACGGGGTCCCTCCAGGGAGTACGGTTCAAACCGTCCAGGTATCAGCACAGCGATCGACCGCAACACATACCATTAGCAATAGATTTGAGGCATTGACGGTGGAGTCGTCCGAGTCAACTGGCGTCCTTCCGCAGTCGAGCATCACGGACAAGGCCAACACCGGCCTCCTCATACCTCGGGCGCCCGAGTTCTGGAGCACATATGGCAACAAGCTGCGTGTTTTTGGAACCGACGAGAGGGTATGTCCTATTCCATAGCACTACACTTGGCTAGCCTTCTCCCATCATGACTTGGAATAATCAATTACCTCTCTACTACTTAGATACTAGGCAGCTTAATACAAGCTGTGTGCAGGAAATGTTTGCAGCGTCTATCTAACAGTACACCTTGAATGAAAGAAGGTACCGCTAGCGAAAAAAGGCCGCTACTCACTCTGAGCACCGGAAAATGATCGACTGGTCGTGGAGCAGCGTAACACAGTGACGATAAGGAATGGTGCTGTAGAGAAGAAAGAAGAAAAGACGGAGGAAAGCGGGAGGAAAATGTTTTTTTGTAGGAGCATGTCACATGACCGCTAACCCCCTCGGGACTAGTCTGTCCGCGGCTTCAAACAGGTGACCGCCAACTTTTCTTCGGACTCCGATAATCATCGCGATCTGTTGTTGACGGCCATCACCCAGAACAATCGGGAGATGTCTTCGGGATCCAATGGCGCCAGGCGCATAGCCGCCGTATTGCGTATGTTACCCCCCGTCTAAATACCACAGCCAATTCACCCCTAACCCATCCGCAGGGCCTTCTATCACCAACCCCGGAGTGTGCAGAAGCTGTCAAGAGACGCTGGGACGTCGCCATTATGCCTCCACGACCGCCGAAGTCACGCCCTCCACATCGACGACGACTCCCTTCCCCGTCGTGAAACCCTCGTACACCATCAACGCGGGGGTGCTCCTCTCGCGCCCGCCCCAGATCACCCGTGACCTGACGCCCTTCGAGAAAGCCTACTTCTTCTACCAGAAGCGCCTGAACGAGCGGCTCGCTCTGCCCTTCACCAAATACTTCTACTTCAAGCGCGGCACGCCCGCGGATGAGGACTGGAAGCGCAAGATCCGCGAGCGCCAGACCCCCGCCCGCGACATCGGCAAGTACAACGCCTACGCCAAGGACGCCTGGAACGACGAGCTGCTCGTCGGGGCGGTCGAGTCCGAGCCCGACCACCAGGTCGAGATGCTCGTCCGCGACGCCGAGGCCACCGTCAACGCCACGTCCCAGGACACCAGCAAGAAGGAGGAGATCCCGCGGCCGTTTCCGCGTGTGACCGAGGCGGATGCCAAGGGAGATCTGCAGAGCCTGGACCGCGCGCTGCAGCGTACGCTTTATCTGCTGGTGCAGTCGAAGGACGGGTACTGGAAGTTGCCGAGTTCGCCGGTCGAGGGCGAGGAGACTCTGCGGATGGTGAGTTTGCCAACACAGTCCAAGAAGGGGGGTGACGATGGAGGAAGCTAATTGATGGTATAGGCCGCTGAACGCACGCTGGCGCAGTCTGCCGGCGTCAACATGAACACCTGGATGGTGGGCTTCCACCCGGTCGGCCACTACGTGTACAATGCGCGTCGGCCCCGCGTCGACGAAGCGCAGGGGGTCGAGCACCGTGGCGAGAAGACCTTCTTCCTGAAGGCGCGCATCATGGCCGGCCAGGCGGATCTGGCGGACAACACGCAGAACCTGAAAGATTTCAAGTGGCTGGCCAAGGAGGAGATTGCCAAGTTCGTCCGACCGGAGTACTACAGCAGCATCCGGAATATGATGGCCGATCGGTAATGGGGTGTATGATAGAGAGAGGTGTTTTCTAGAGTGGAGGACTGTTCCGATGGAGCAGGATGCATATAGTATTGTATGTCTGTATAACTAGCTTGATCACTGCAATTGATTCGTTTGGGAATTCGTCACCACAACGCCGTACATATCATGACGTATCATAAAATACGAAAGAGAACGAGACATCATTTCAAGTTGAACTTCTGTCCTTGGACCACCGGTTGGTCCTTCGAGGACTTGCCCGCCAGACTCTTCCCACACATCGGACAAGCTATAATTAGTCAGTTAGCACCACAACACCCCAAACACCTGGTAAAGACCGAGGGGAGATACGTACCATTCTTCTGATACGCACACCGCTGACAATACTTCTTCCCCTGTTCCGTCTTGGTCTTGCACAGATCACAGGACGAAGCGTACGCCGCGTAGGGATTCTTCGCTTTAGAGCTGAGGAGTTTGCTCTGCGACTGTCAGTTCATACCAACCATACATATGCCATAACAGAAGGAGGAACTACCTTGCCTATCCCCGTATTCCCCAGCGTCGACTTCTTGGACTCGCCACCCGCGCTGCCGCCGCCGACAGAGGTCGCGGGCGAGCCGTAGTACATCTCGCTTTTGCGCTTGACGCCTGGGGTGGCGAGCTCGGTGGATTTAAGTTTCTTTTGGCATTTTGCGCAGACCATTTCTGTGTTTGGATTGGGGGTGTTGGTTAATGAAGTGATGTTGATGTATCTTGGTGGTTTCATAGGCGGTTAGTTAGTTATATCAGGCGGATGAGTAAGAGGGGCGGGATGTGATTGGGCATAGTGTCATGGTGTTTAGATGATTGCAAATGGATGTAGGTAGTCGGCATTGTTATCGTGTATGATCTTCCAGTTATAAAGTACCTAGGTAGTTATGCTTAATGGAGTTTATTATTTGTGGCTGGTGTGTTGGGTTGGGTGTTACCATCCCCTCAATATATATTACCTATACAGACGTGGTTTTAGAATAAATCTGACTTGCATGCCCTAGGTATTTGGACGCCTATAAGGCAGCTTTAATGAGGGCGCTCAAGAAGTTGCTGTTTTTATACTACCGATGCTATGACAGGATCTCGGCTTTTGCTTGGTTCATGGATTCCAATACCCCTTGCCTGGTCGGTCAGAGAGTGTTCGGTTTTGAGTCGATAAGAAAGTACTACTGGATAACCTCTGCCTCAATTTCATGTCTGTGATCGGCGCGGCTATATGAGAAGTCGCCAGAGGCTTTCTTCACGCACAGAATTTCGTTCGGCCAATTCGAAGAAGCAAGAGAATTAGTACCCAATGCATGCAGATGTTTCCCGGGGGTATTGACCCGTCCATTGCTCGATGCTTAGGAAATCGACCTTTCATACTGTTGAATCTCCAGCATTCCAGTATAAGCCTGTCGCCTCAAAGCATAAGAAGGCCCGTCTAGGCCACAGCAGCGCTGTCTAGGGTTTCATGGCAATGCTGACAAGGGATCGACAACAACCATCGAAAGAATGCGAATATTGAACCTCCAAAGATGTGTACTGTGGGAAAGGCGTGAGCTTAAGGCAATAAAGGGGAGAATATCTACATGTGCTTTTCCTTTCCGCAAGTAATAGCAGCGTGTATGGCACATCGTATACTGCCTTCCATGGTGGCACTAGTGCATTCTCTTCTATGCTTGACACACAAGTTACTCTCTCCAGCCTTTGCGGCTCTTCTCATTATGATTAGCAGTTATTGACGACCAACGTCTTTTAAGCCGTATGGTGATTCTCTGTAAGCTTAATGGAGCATCTAGGGGCTTGAGTCCTTGAGGAGAGACATGTGAGGGTAGTGCTGGAATGTCAATTCTCAGGGTTTTAGTGTTACCGGGTGTAATGTGTAAGGGGCTAGAAGGCCAGCACTAATATACCTACTCTATACCCTGGAAACGCTGGCTAGCGGACCATTAACCCCAATCCAGACACTGGCAGGTTCCGCGAGAAGTAATCAATTTTTTTGGATTACAAAGTCCTGTCTACTTTGCTTGCCATTCCAAGGCACCTAAACATTATGTCTAGAAGTATGGAGCACGCTTTGAGTACTGAACATTCCCGTGCCGCATATCAAGTGTATTCTCTCCTATAGTCAAACTTACATATCTCTCCTCAGGAGGGGGAGGAATGTGATATGTTCTGGGCCACGAGAGTCCCTGGTAACAACGTATCATACCTAAAGTACTTTGCAATGGCTCTAGGTAACATTATATGATAAATTCAGCGGGAATCCCTCTGAATATGATCAGACTTACGCTTGCTACCTGTGATTTGCACTCCTTCATTGCTTTCTAACGTAGCGCACACTTCCAGACGTCAGCAAGATTACTCCCTGATTACATCTGAGCCAAAGCACTGACCACCATGCGCTTCTCTGTCCTGGCTATCGCAACTTTGTTTGCATCAGGGTCGATGGCCCAGAACGACTGCAAGCCCTATGCTCTATACTGCGGGTGGGCCTTGGGCGACAAAATGAGTACGCACCTTGCTAATTCTGATGCTGATACCACGTGCTAATTGGACCATAGACTGGTCAGGGATCCCAGACGCCCAAGCTCTCTGGGTTTGTGATAGCAGTGGGCAGTCCGCTTCATATTACACACATTGCAAGAATGGCTGTATTCCCGACGAATCGGGCAATGCCAAGTGTGATATTAGGACCGCAGCAACTGCTACACCGAGCACAACCTGCGCGACCAAACCAGGAGAAAAGACCGGAACCGCCACACCGCCTCACACGGGTTATATGGGTGCTTTCTAAATAGCGAGTGGAAATACAGGCCACGAACCTCCGCCTATATCGATGGACACTAGCCTATGGGATTGAATGTTGACTGTTGTTCTTTTTCCCCTACTTTCTAATTAATTCTAATTTTTGATTTTCTTGCTTCTTTTCTATTGTTCTCCCTTGGCTATGTAGGTAATACTCCCAGTTGACAAGAAGTGAGAGCCCTCATTACTGCATAATGTGTCTTGCTGGACAGGTATAATCATGCTCATTACTCAAGCACGTTACTGTGAGTCAACGGACAGTACCTAGGTAGAAAGTACAACTTGCAAATAATCCCCGGATGGCTTGCAGCCACGACTAGGTCCCCCGCATCCTCCTCCGCATCATCCTTGACCACCTGCATGTATTACCGCCTGAAAAACAGGATTAATCTGGGAGAACTTCGGAGAGAAGGGAGCCACTCTTGAATTGGCAGCCAGACGCGACATCCTCGGAGATTTTGCAATGATTCTGCTGTTCTGACTGGCTCTTCTCTCCGGCGCTACTCTTTTTACAAGCTAGGGCCAGACCTATGGCTAATGCGGATAAAGCCGAGAAGATTGTCTCATGCTTATGCGTATGTTTTGCACCTCGTGATACATCTTAATTCTAACTCAATCTCCTGACGATGATCTCTACCTTCTGCTAGAAGATGGAAGGCCTATAGTTTACTAGTATGAGCTTGCTTCGAAGATCGACTCTGTAGTCCATAGTAGTGCCCGCTTAATCTAAAATATCTATAGCGTCTCTTTAAATGCCTCTTGCTCCACAGTATACAAGCTCCTCACTAACCTCCACATCCTAGTGCACTTGTCCCTCTTCAGGCAGTAACATTAGCCAAACCCCGCAAATCACACCAGTAACTCGATATTAAATACGTAAATGTTCTTCAGTGGCCTGATGTCCGTTGCATCCGCACAAATGCCGAGGGCTAGTAGATTAGGTGGCTGAAGAGGCGTTCTACACATGGCGTGTCCTTCTAGAACCGGAGATACGAACCTATCGGTATGATTCCATGCTTTTAGACGCGGGTTTCCCAAAGACAATTCTTAAAAGGTTACAAATCACTGGTTGAATGGCGTCTATAGTTCGCGTGGCTGTCGTCGGGAGTTGATTGAAGAAGTACATTATGTAGTCCATGTGACTTGTCATGGCGGATGGATACACGGCTGAAGGTCCGCAGTGTATTGCCATTGTACAAGCTAGGCTATATAAACCACAGCCAGAATCCATTGCCTGAATAACACTCCCACAGCTACAAGCACAAAAGTTTTCAGGATGAAGTGGACCTCCTCGCTCCTCCTCTTACTGTCCGTGATCGGTCAGGCTACTCATGCCCTGACCCCAGCAGAATGGCGCAGCCAGTCAATCTACTTCCTGTTGACCGATCGCTTTGGTCGAACGGACAATTCCACAACTGCCGCTTGCGATACCTCTGACAGAGTGTGTACCATTCGATATTGGACTTGGTTGCATGTACTGATGTGTGCAGGTATACTGCGGTGGTAGCTGGCAGGGAATCATCAACCAAGTATGAGGGAGGTGTCGCGGACAGACCCAGCCGATACTAACGCTGCCAGCTCGATTACATCCAAGGGATGGGATTCACTGCCATCTGGATCACCCCGGTCACTGGACAGTTCTACGAAAACACGGGCGACGGCACCTCTTACCATGGATACTGGCAGCAGGACATGTATATCCTCCCTCTCCTTCGAGTTCCATGCTAATCATGCAGCTACGATCTCAACTACAACTACGGAACGGCCCAAGACCTCAAAAACCTAGCCAATGCTTTGCACGAGCGCGGCATGTATTTGATGGTTGATGTGGTTGCCAACCACATGGTCAGTCTTGTTCTTTTGGATATATGATAGAGACGTATTGAACCTTTTTAGGGCTATGACGGAGCGGGAAACACCGTGGACTACAGTGTTTTCAACCCCTTCTCCTCCTCCTCCTACTTTCACCCATACTGCCTCATCTCCAATTACGACAACCAGACCAATGTTGAAGACTGCTGGCTGGGCGATACCACCGTTTCGCTGCCAGATCTCGACACGACAAGCACAGCCGTGCGGAACATCTGGTACGACTGGGTGGCAGATTTGGTCGCCAACTATTCTAGTCGGTAGCCCACGTCAAATATAGGAAAATCCTCATACTGACGGACATAGTCGACGGTCTGCGTGTCGACACTGTAAAACACGTCGAAAAAGACTTTTGGCCCGGCTATAACAGCGCAGCAGGCGTCTACTGTGTCGGCGAGGTCTACTCAGGCGATCCTGCATACACATGCCCGTACCAGAACTACATGGACGGTGTGCTCAACTATCCAATGTAAGCTCCTTGCCTACCCGGCACCTATTCTTATGCTGACAGAGTTTAGTTACTACCAGCTTCTCTATGCGTTTGAGTCGTCCAGCGGCAGCATCAGCGATCTCTACAACATGATCAGCTCCGTTGCCTCCAGCTGCAAGGATCCCACACTCCTGGGGAACTTCATCGAGAACCACGATAACCCCCGCTTCGCTTCGTGAGTCTTACCTCTTTGCTCCTGCAATGCCTCACTAATATCTGCAGCTACACGAGCGACTACTCGCAGGCTAAGAACGTGATCACCTTCATCTTCCTGAGCGACGGTATCCCCATCGTCTACGCCGGACAGGAACAGCACTACAGCGGAGGCAGCGACCCAGCTAACCGCGAGGCCACCTGGCTGTCCGGATACTCCACCAGCGCTACGCTGTACACCTGGATCGCCACCACAAACCAGATCCGCAGCCTGGCGATCTCCAAGGACGCGGGATACGTGCAGGCCAAGGTATACGCACGCCATCCCAATCTCCCACCACGCTAACACAAACAGAACAACCCCTTCTACTCCGACTCCAACACCATCGCCATGCGCAAGGGCACGACAGCCGGCGCGCAAGTCATCACCGTCCTCAGCAACAAGGGCGCCTCCGGCAGCTCCTACACTCTCTCTTTGAGTGGTACCGGCTACTCCGCCGGCGCGACCCTGGTCGAGACGTACACCTGCACCACGGTGACTGTAGACTCGAGCGGCAACCTGCCCGTCCCAATGACATCCGGCTTGCCGCGAGTGTTTGTCCCGTCGTCCTGGGTGAATGGGAGCGCGCTTTGCAACACAGAATGCACGGCCGCCACGTCCATCTCTGTTCTCTTCGAGGAACTGGTTACGACGACCTACGGGGAGAACATTTATCTGAGCGGCTCGATCAGCCAGCTGGGTAGTTGGAATACGGCCTCGGCTGTTGCCCTGTCGGCGAGTCAATATACCTCGTCCAACCCGGAGTGGTATGTGAGTGTGACCTTGCCTGTGGGCACGTCGTTCCAGTACAAGTTCATCAAGAAGGGGTCGGACGGAAGTGTTGTGTGGGAGAGTGATCCGAACCGGTCGTATACCGTTCCGGCTGGGTGCGAGGGCGCGACGGTGACAGTTGCTGATACTTGGAGGTGATGCTCGCCAGCTGAAGCTGTATACTCTTGAACAATGTGTTCACAGGCTTCATGCTTGTCCTCTCTGCTTCGGGATAATCTAGGCAGTAGGAATAGATTGTCGTTGAAGGTCTTCAGAATATATCGTACCCTGGCAGTGGCTCCGCGCAGGGCAAAAGGATAACACGACGCATATGAGACTGCTAGAGTAGGTCTACCCTCTGTCATCTAGTAGTGCAAGGTCTTATGCTCGATTGTCTCGATAGCAGGAGGCCGAGCTGAAGTCATCGATACGCGGGAGCGAGTCAGAGCTGAAACAACAAGTCCACTTGGCTCGAGTGGATTCGCGGTCGGGGCACTGCGCACTAGCCGTTACGCACTGCTACAGTCTACTACAGTACATGTCATGTAATTTATTCCTAGCCTATATAGAAACCGGGCTGTGGTACTACATAGTTTAACGCTATTGCAAGCCGGGTCAACGGGAGGACGATCTAAGAAGTAGAAGTAAAGTAAATGTAACTGAACTAACGCTACCTTATATTCCACTTATAGGAGTCTCCATTAGGAGTATCTAATTCGGGAGTAATAGTATCTATAATCTATTTAACGAGAGTAAGCATATTTGTAAAGCAATTAGTAAGGGTTAATAGCAAGTCAGCAACCTTATCTCACATCTTCTCCCTTCTAAGTACATAGTAATACTGCTTAATAGAATTGTTAATAATATAGATAATAAAACACGTATATTTACAGAATAAAAGTATCCTATTAAATTCTACTAGTTTAGCTATTTATTTATTACATTTTTTATAATTATTATAGTCTTTATTTTTAATTTAATTCTATTAGTTTGTTATTATTATTTTTATAAATTATTTCTTAATTAGAAAGATATAAATTATAAAATATTTCTTTTAATAAAGAAATAGCCTAGAAATACTATAAAATTAAGAAAGTCTAAGTAAATAATTTTTTTTAATTAATTAAATTTTATTTTGAAAAATATTATTTTTATAAAATTAAATTTTAATAATAATTCTAGTAGTAAATATGATTTTATAAATATAATTTATTTATAAAATAGTTTTTATAATTAACAAAATTCTACTAGTTATCTTTCTATTAATTTTATTTTTAATTAAAAAGAAAGAAAATAGTTTTTTTTTAATAAAAAATAGTTTTATTCTGTAAATAAGATATATACTCTATATTATTAACAACTATATTTATAATTAGTAAAAATCAGCTGAGATTTCTAATGATTGGTAAGGATTGGTCATAATTATCAATACTAACATCCATAGATGATTTAACTATAAAATACTCTAAACCTCGTTGAGTAGATAAAACTCAATACTACTCTGAACAGATCCTAGTTGATCGAGCTACACCGCGACAATGTCCTCAAATGATATTCGCGTGGCCATTGTTGGCGCAACCGGCCAAACAGGTTCTGTAATTGTCAAGGCTCTTCTTGAGTCAACGTCACCAAGTTTTGTTCGACTTTCAGTACATAAGTTTCCCATCAGCATGCTAATGACATGTTTTCTAGAAAATCACTGCGATCACTAGGCCCTCTTCCATCCATAAGCCAGCATTTAAGGAACTGGCACAACGAGGAGTAGAAGTCGTTGCGGCCGAACTGAAAGGGCCTGAAGATGATCTCAAGGCAATCTTGGTGGGGGTAGATATTGTGATCTCAGCTATCTATGGAGGTAGCGTGATGAACGAAATTCCTCTCATAAACGCCTCGAAGTCTGCAGGAGTTAAGCGATATTTGCCCTGCTTCTTTGCGACTGTCGAACCTCCTAAAGGCGCCGTCAAGCTGAGAGACATGGTATGAAGTCACACGAGAGAAACATGCCCAAATATGAGGCTATTAACGCTGTTGCGCAGAAAGAAGACGTGTTGAATCATATCAAGTATATTCACCTGCCCTATACGGTTATAGATGTGGGATGGTGGTATCAGGTCATTGTTCCTCGCCTCCCTTCTGGCCGGATCGATTATGCCGTGGTCGATGTTACAGACGGCATCGCTGGTGAAGGGAATGTTCCATTTGCTCTGACCGACCTGAGAGATATCGGAAAATACGTTTCCCTGATTATCAGCGATCCTCGAACTCTTAACCGAATGGTTCTCGCCTACACCGAAGCCTTGACGCATGTCGAGATATATGACTTGCTGGAAAGTCTAAGTGGGGAGAAACTTGAACGAAAATACGTTAGTATTCCTAGACTTTTCATGAATGGTTTCCAAGAGCTAAAGACGGGATAGGTTCCCCCCGAGTTTATTAGAACCAAGATCTCTAAGATCCTGGCAGAAACCCCAGACCCAGCTCCAGACTCACCTGAATTTGTGAAGTTGTCGATGTATCAGTACTGGTACTCCTGTGGCGTCCGTGGAGACAATACTCCGGACAACGCCAAGTATTTGGGTTACCTCACGGTCAAGGAACTATACCCTAATACTAAATGGAACCGCCTGGACTCGTACATCCAGGAAGTACTCGATGGGAAGGCAAAGAGAGTGTACGAGCATCTGGACCTCTGAACCACCTGGCTACCTTGCCTGCGAGGCAGGAATAGGCGCTATTGGCGGGGTGGAAGGGGGGGATTATTCATGATTATTCATTTGTGCGTGGAGGTTGCGACATTCAGGACGAGGTCTCTTGAAGTTAATCAGAACGAGCTGATTCCGTCTTTGGCTGTTTACTGACGTCTGTACGGCCGGAGGCAACATCCTTGGGGAATGATGAAGATGGGAGATTCAAGCGTGTAGGGAAGTGGGGGGTACAGTATATGCTTCCTTTTGAGTTAGTCTGTTTGTTTGTTGGGTTCTAAATTGTCTATATCTCTATTAGATTTTTGCCCAGTAGTTAGTGAATTGACTCTCTTCTGTTTACTTATAGTGCTCCCTAAGGGTATAGTAGTAGAGTAGAGGACCTGCTCAATAGTACCGGCCCAGACTTTTGTTTTGCTAGCCTGTTTAGGTAACGGGGAAAACTTATGGTAAACAAGAAAAACATGATTTTTTTTTTCTTTCTTCTCCTTTTCCTCGCCATACAAAGTCGCTATAAGAATCGATAGAAGCGGTGCTAGGTTACTGGTAGCTGCTTTAATACGTCTACCAACTTGATGTAAAGAATTTGCTACCCATGTAAAGCCTACTCTAAGAAATAAGGATAATCTTATTTTTGGAAGGTTTAGGTAACGGGATGTAACTTGTACATAGAGAGATAGGTAACTATAAGAATATAGGAAATCCTAGGGGCGATATATTTAGTAGAGAGATTGGCAGTAATAATCTCTTGGTAAATAGTAGTCCTTAATTAGTTGCTCCACGGAATCCAGCTACTGCTATATCATTTATAGTTGCTAGAGAGTCTATTTATATATATAAGATCCGCTGTAAGAGCATTAGCAAAGCTTAAATAATATAGAAAAGTGCCTCTGTCGATCAAGGCGTAAACAGTAAGAACAGTGGATCAGACTCTCCCACAGTCATCGCCAGCGTGTCAACAGTGTGCTGGGCCACTATTTCTTCCCTCCAGGAGGAGTGTACACCGAGTCTCCTTTGCCGTTATTGTAGTAGGTGCTGCCATTGGAGTTGGAGTAGTAGTAGGACCTGTTGCTAGAGCGTCTTAGCTCCACACGACGACCATCAGTGGATAGAAACTTACGAGTTCGAGTAGTGGTAGGCGTCACCGGCGCCGTAGCCGTTGGAGTTGGAGCCGGTGCCGTAGTCGCGGGAGCACCAGTGGTTGCCCTGGAGGTTGAGTATGGGCCCGTAGTAAAGGCATTGTCTACGTACCGGGCTGTTGGTGCCGGAGCCGGTGTGGGTGTATCCTCTGCCGGAGCTGGACATGGCGGTAGTGAGCTGGTGTGACTGAGGTTGGGTGTAGATGCTGTGAAGGTGAGGAAGAGGGGTTGTGGGAGGTAAATAATCAGATCAGCGGCGGAAGATTACGGTGTAGGTTGGGGGGCTTCACGTTATCTGTATACGCCGAATAGCTTCATGACAGATTCCTTTGTGGTCTATCACTATGCACCAGACCCTATGCACGTCGTAATTCATGAGAATATAGATACATCGCTTTTATACACCCCGAATCAAATCACCCTGGCCTCGCTCTTGGGCGGCCTCTCCCCAAACAGCGTCGTCCCCACGCGAACCTCATCACTGCCCAGCGCAATCGCGCCCTCAAAATCCTCACTCATGCCCATACTCAACTCGAGCCCCTCCAGCCCCAACTCCTTCACAACCCGATCGCGCGTGTCCCGCAGACACAAAAAGTCCTCATTCTCATTCTCCGGCGTCGTCGCTTTGGACCTCGCAATCGCCCCGATAGTCATAACGCCCTGCAGCCGCAGCCGCGGACACTTATCGCGGATGAACCTGCACAGCGCGACGGCCCCGTCGCCTGGATCCACGCCAGACTTATTCTCTTCGCCGGAGGTATTGACCTGCACAAACACGCGCAGCCGGTCCTCGGCATCCGACGCGCGCAGCTCCGCCGACCGCTCCCCCCACCCCTTGTCCAGCAGCGAGGCCTTCTTCTCCGAGTCGACGCTCTCGACAGCCCACAGGCCGCGCACGTCGCGCGCCAGCGTCACGCACTTGTTCGACTGCAGCCCGCCGATGAAGTGCCACCGGATGCTCGCCGGGAGCAGCTTCGCCTTCTCCTGTAGCTCCTGCAGGTAGTTTTCGCCAAAGTGCAGGTGACCCCCCGGCGGCTGGTGCAGCGCCAGGATGTCCGATGCGGGCTTCAGCTTTGACACCGCGATCAGCCGGATCGGCCGGTCGGATTTGGCCGCCGCCGTGATGCGCGAGGTCACGGAGGTCAGGTTGGCGAGGAGCGTGGCGGCTCGCGCGGGAGAGGCCGGGGGGATGGACATTGTTTCTGGGGGTGGAGCGGATTGCGACGTCATTAGAGCGAGGTCGATTGGGGTGGATTAGTGAAGGAGAATTGTCCCAGTCCGAAGCGGAGTTCGCAGTTGGAGATGCGATGCATGGTCAGGTGAGTTGACTTCCGCTTATTCAGCATTATTCACGTGACACGGGAGATCGGCTCCGAGGGTCCGGCGGACGATAGCGCTAAACCACATCGGGACGGGTCTGGGGAAGCGCCGATGCCGTTTTCGGCCATCAATCGATTCAACCATCTAGACTACCTTGCTAAAGTAATAATGGAGTAACTAGATACTACGTACTAGTTACATTCTCCGTACAGCCTCACCAGCTGAGATCGATGGCTGATCGCCAGCACAGCCACAGTGGTACGTGGTAGCCTGATGATCTCCCTCCCGGCGTCTATCGGTGACGAATCCACCCACTCCATCCAATTTGCGCCGGCTCCATCAGACCCTTCTTCTGTCTCGAATCTCGGTGGACTGTCTGACCCGTCCTTATTAATCGAATCCTTTGACGAAGTCTTTGTCTCAAAAGACAGTGTATCAGTGGGCGCTATGGCTATTCTTAGTCCAGGCATCCATCTTCCGGGTTCTGCGGTATGACGGCCAAGAAAATCTAGGTCGTATCGCCCACACGGGCGAGGTTGGCCGAACCACTCAATCCGCCCGGCCATGTCGGCGACGAGAACCGCTGCGATGGGGCCAAGGCTGAGGCGCCAACAGGTACATCCGCAATGGGTGTAGGCACTCTCAGCAGCGGTGCAGGGATTGGATCACCTGGCGGCAACCCAGCGGCAACCAGGGAACCTATCCTGGGCGCCGGACACGATGGCGACGAGTGATCTTGGGGGCACCGGGCGACGGGCTCGTCGGACATAAATGGAGCGAGGGACGCAGGAGAACAATCATCATGAATCACATCATTCCGGCAGAGACTCCACCGTCGTGGTCCTTTGACGCCGAGACTCCACCACGTTGACGGTTGGCGCTGAGATTTGCGTGCTGACGTCAAACACTGTCCGCTCCTCCTACAAAGTGTGGCCATCATCGTCTCGCTCATAGTTATTTCGTATTCGCATCGGCCAACGTCGATTTTATTTAACTCCGGTGTGGCTTCTTCCGTGCCCCTCTCCCCGGCTTATTATACTCCCTAGCCCGAGTCTTCCTTTCTCTCCCTCATAATCCTGTCGGACCCATTCAGCTTCCCTCGCTCCTTTATTCCATTTCTGGTGGAGACCAGGGTGTGCTTTGATCCGGGGAAACCAAAAGACCATGGATCGGGGCCCCGACTAAGAACCAGGCACAGTTCGACAGGCTCCCACGCATTCGCTCATCATTACTCTCTCGCACTTGATCTGAGTGCAATTCGAATCAAAGCCCTCAGCACATTAGGCCGACACCTGATTTCATCTGACTGACGCATCGCCTTCAATTGGAGGACCCCTCGGAAGCCCGCGGAATCGACAAAGAACCAGAAAAATCAACACCTCGTCTCGTTGCATCGAAGGCAACATCTTCAGAAGACACACACATTCGACGAACGACCGCATACCGACACCACTCATCAAACACCATGTGTCGACAACTCTTCACCCTCTACGAGTGGTGTCAATGCGAAGAAGACGGCGGCCAGGAAGTGTGCGTGAGCCACAGACATGAAGGCTGTCCCGGCATATCGATCGAGACGGTACACATGCATTGCTTCTGCAACCTGCATGCCACCAAGGGCTTCAAGTCGGAGAAGAAGTCTAAGAAGCGCTTTTCTCTCGAAGGACCCAGCGAGAAAGGCTCCTTCACGCCGCGCAGGAAGTGGTACCAAGTGTTGGGAATGCGGTCGCGAACGTTCTGAGACCCAACAGATGACCTTATGATATGAAGATAAAGGAAGAGGCGCATGGTTTACTTTGCGGTTGTTCCTTGCGATTTGGCTGTTTGACGTGCACTGGATTCTTCATCAGGGACGGTGTTCAGACAGGTCTGGGCGTTCACAGCACGGTTGGAGTTTTATTTTTATTTTCTTTTGGGCTTACTGTTTCATGAAGGAGGGGTTTGATAAAGCATTGTGTAGACCTTTGTGCGATGGTCTCGGGTTGACTCTTGTCTGTTGCCTGTTGCTCTTGCGGGGAGACCAGGAGAACACTCCAAGACGATGAAATAAAAGATTTATAACTGGTCAACAAATGAACTGATTGTCAACCAAATAATGCCTCCAGCACATTGCTGGCCAGGGAGCTCGCGGGAAACAAGTATGGATGGAGCGAAAGAATGGGGGAGATCGACTCGGTCTTTACCCCCTTCGAGGGGCTGCCGCGTTTGTCTCTCCCTTTCTCATACTTCTTCCTCTTCACCCCAACTTTGTTGACGTGGCGTTCGTTCACCATCGCCAGCTGTCCCATCGCGTTATTGTCTGTCTGCTAGATTCTGCTCTCATAAAGACTCCGCTGAGGAACCCCCAATGCCCCTGTCTTCTTTTGCGTCATGGACCCCTCCAAGCGCGACGATCCTCCAGCTGCACCATTCCCTCCCACCTCCTCAAAAGCACCCCATCCTATCGTTCCTGCGCCATGGTCAGGACGTGTAAGTGATCCGTTGGCCGTCGCGACTCCTCCGCCAGTATCTTCGTCGGGCGTGTCGTCTCTCTCGCTGTTGTCGCCGTTGGATGCCTCAGCGCGTCCTGTCGCATCGCCGGCGCATTCGTCACCGCGACGCACCACCAGTGCCAACTCCCTCAGAGATGAGAGTCGCAAGTCTACACCCCGGCTAAAGAAACACTCATCCACTACATCCTTGCGATCCAGCCGCAACTCTTCTGGGGGCCCGACGTCCCCGCATCGCGACTTATCGCGTTACCCCTCGTCCAGCCTGACGACGCCACCTCCCGCCATCACAACAAACGAAGGCAACTACGCCATATCGCCACTCCGAGCGGGAATGGAGGGCTCGATGCCTACCGCCGCTGCGATCGCCAGTGAACACTTTCAAAAAGAAGTGGGATTACACCAGTCCGCCGATCTGCAGTCGCAGGCTCTTGTCATCGTCCACGACGATTGCTACGGTCATCGCTTCTCGCGCCCCCGCGCCTCACGAGCTGCCCTAAACTCCATTGTAGAGAGACCAGAGCGGATTCTCGCCACTGTCCTTGGCATATCCGCTGCATACGTTCGTCTTTCGCACCGGTACACCGGCGGTCGCTTCGCTCCGCACCCTGACTTGGATCCTCGCCAGCTTCCCGTGCCACCGTTCCAGATTCGCAAGACCTCACGGACGTTGGCGCTGAGTGCCCCAGCAGTAGCACATGTGCATGGCTCGAAATGGATGGAGGACTTGAAAGTGATGTGTGATGCGGCAGAATCACGTCTCGCGCTGAACGGAAAGGAGCTGGTTCGACCTCCCAGCGCCGGCAAGGATAACGCCTCTGCCCCTCCCTTCCATGAAGGAGACCTCTATCTGTGTTCCGAGTCGTTGAATGCGTTCCAGGGGGCTCTCGGAGGCGTCTGCGATGGCGTGGACGCGGTCCTAGGCCCCGGCTCGACGAAGCGCGCTTTTGTTTGCATTCGCCCACCGGGACATCACTGCTCATCGGACCATCCCTCCGGGTTCTGCTGGATCAACAACGTTCATGTAGGTATCTCGTATGCAGCGATGAACCACGGTTTGACGCACGCTGCCATCTTCGATTTCGACCTTCACCACGGCGACGGGTCGCAGGAAATCGCCTGGGCGCAGAACCAGAAGGCTGTCACTGCACCTCGCAACGCGGCAAACTACAAAAAAACCATGATCGGGTATTTCAGCCTACACGACATCAATTCCTATCCCTGCGAAACGGGTGATCCGGAGAAAGTGCGCAATGCGAGTGTGTGTATCGACAAGGCTCACGGACAGTCCATCTGGAACGTGCATCTGGAGCCGTGGAAGACCGACCTCGAGTTCTGGGAGCTGTATGCCAGTCGGTACACGATTTTGCTCGAAAAGGCACGCGCGTTCCTGCGCCTACACACGGAGCGTCTTGCCAGCACCCCTAACGGACCGCCGCCCAAGGCAGCCATCTTCATCTCAGCTGGTTTTGATGCGAGCGAATGGGAGGGTGCCGGGATGCAGCGACACAAGGTCAACGTTCCCACCGACTTCTACGCGCGGTTCACGGCTGATGTAGTCCGCATGTCCGAAGAAGACGGACTGGGAGTCGATGGCCGGGTGATTAGCGTTTTGGAAGGGGGATACAGCAATCGCGCTTTGACAAGCGGTGTCTTGAGCCATCTGTCGGGGCTGGGGGATTCGAGTTTTGCCGCTGTGAATGCCGATGACCAGCAAGTGAACCGGCTTGCTGCTGAAATGACCGATCGACTGGGTCTGTACGATCCTCCTACCGCTGCAGCTCGCCCCTTCAGCGAACCCGCATACGATCCTGAATGGTGGTCTCCCAATGCGCTAGATGAGCTGGAAGCCTTGGTGTACCCACCCCCTGCACCGGCGAAGCCTCCCAAGTCTACGTACTTTGCTCCGACGCAGTCATTCGCCGCCAAAGTTGTGACGCCTTCGCGCGATCGAAAGTCCACCGGTTCTCAAGTCGGCTTAGAACCGGAGATACCACCGATTAGCTGGGCGACTGCGACGCACGAGTTGTCCAAAGTCCTCATCCCCAACAATCGTCAGACAACCAGCTGTCGACCGGAAGACCTCAATGCGGAAGCTTCTCGTCTGCGGCGGGAGCGTCAGACGGCGGCCGAGAATTCCAGGAACGCAAGCGCATCGACCGCTCCGGAAGAGAATCGCATGAAGCTGCGTGTACGCAAACCGAAGTCCTCGTTGCCTGGCACACCCACTGCCGAGACGCCCAAGCGACAGGTGCTCAAGAGTAATCGGAGGACCACCATCGACTCGACTACGGATTTGGCTGAGCCGTCGCCATCGGTCCGCTCTACGCGGCGGAAGAGCGCTAATTCCACGGCTACCTCAACGCCCGAGCCTGACGCTTCGCCCCTCGCGGACGTGCGTCCCAGAGCGTCGTCCCAGCTAACGAGCACTTCAAATACACGCACAGCAACGCCAGGTCGCAAAACCAGCTCTTCCCGATCGTCCACGCCTAAACGATCAGCGAGTCCTAGAAAAGTACCCCCGGTGCCGCGGGTCCCGTCTGCCTTCCTCTCGACATTGTCAGCGGGTGAGGGTTCCGAAAATCCGCGTCCAGCTGCCAGCGCAGGAGAGAAGCCCACCGATGTCGATAGCCTGACTGCAGGCGTACGCAAGCTGAACATCAAATTGAAGGTCCCATCTCCGGAGGAATACGCAGCACGAGAACGGGCGGCGGACGAGCGCAAGCAGCGATCTTCAAAAGGGCCGAGGACGCCGCGGTCACCAGTAAAGTCTCCTAAAAAGCGCGCTGTTTCGGCCAAGGGGGAACCTCGCGCTCTGTCGACTCCGGATAGCCTGCATGCAACAAGCGCGTATCCCGCCCCACAGATTGGAAGCGAGGTGAAGGTGGAGGACCAAGGACTGCCGTCTACTGTGGCTATGGAGCCTGCTGCTCAAGTCCCTATCAGTGAAGGTCCTCCTGTGGAGGCGGGATCTTCCACACAGATGGCCATCTCTCCGCCTATGACGCCGGATACTGCGCAGGCCATGGCGCAGGCCCAGTCTCAGTCTAATATCTTTTCGCCGCCGGTGACTGCATCACATGCTCGGAGCGGTCTTCCCGTTTTTACGTCTAGCAGTGCGATTCCGTTTGCGAGTGCCGCATATGGGCATGAAGCGTCGGACGGACGCCCTTCTACCGGCGGCATGGCGTTGCAATTCGACAAGGATTCCAGCAAGGATGGACATGAGTAATTGGAGGCGTTGACTTTATTTGGCTTCGTTTGAGTTGTTTTTTCACAGTTAATACTGTTTGTAGAGTAGTGTTGATATACCCCCGTTGTTGGACTGGCTAGTTTATGAATGATGATTATCAAGATCTTCCTCATTACGCATGGATTTGGGACTGTCAGGTAAATATGCTCGGCTGTGCCGAGATCAGTCGTACAGTAACTCTAGGGTCATCGAACTATTCATTCTCATCGGCAGTCAGTGGTCGTCCTCGACCAGATTCGTCTGATAGTTTCTCTGGCAGACTTTGCATCTCTTCAACTTTCTTCCTACCCAGGTCTTCCCCGTTGGCAGTCCCAATGAGTGCATCGTCAAGATCGATACACTTTACTCTCCAATATCCAACGCATGGGGTTTCTGCAAAGCTAGTTCACACGCGCGTAGACCCTGGATATCAGGACCGCGCTTTACGAGTGCTGAGCGAGGCCTGAGGCCCAACATCGTCAAGTACGACAACGGCGAGGTCGCGTGGGACAACGACGTCTCCAGGTCCTGGCCGCCGAATCTCCAGATTTCGCCAATCTCCAAGCCCCTGGCGCCAGTCCAGACTTGGCTACCTAGATAGGCGATATTTTATTACGGACGGTATCTATCAGATACACGGGCGAGAAGACAGTTATCAACGGCATTAAGACAATATTTCAAATAGCGCTAGATACCGAGGCCAGTGCCGAGATGCTTATCTACTTCCTATACTTAAAGATATTATACGTTGCACAGGATGCCACGTATATATTCTACAACATTCTTCCAGGTACGGACTGTAAGTACCTACTCTGTATGCTGCGGTGACGGCGAATAACTCCACAATCGAGGAAAGCGCTTGGCTGCCGCTTGGCATCGTGGATGGGTGGTTATTATCGATGGCCTCCTCGTCCGCCCGCCTCTCCTCGTTGCATGCTTTCCCCATCCTTTGGCGCCGTATCCCCTCTAACCAATTTGAGGAACTTTTGCCATTGGGCCGGCCTCTCCGTGTTTGCTATTCCCCTCGTCCATTGCTATCGAAGCCGCCGACCCCATCGTCATGCAGTCAGCTGACCGGTTAGCAAGGTTATGGTAGAGTAGGTGCCTTGTTATAGACGATTTACACTGCCGACTGGCTAGATACTCGCAAGCCGATCTCTGGTCTCCGCGGGGTTTGTCGTAGATTGCATCCTCTAATAACATGTGTATGGCATAATTAGAGTCGACGAAGAGCACCTATACCAAATAATAATGCCCCCGGGAAGAATGAAGGTCTGCTGGAGTAAACCAAACAAACTCAGAGCATCTTTAATCCGACACCCTATACCATGTAATTATCGATAAAGTAATGCAATCTTCCTGGTTCCGAGCAATATAATGGGGAAAAGAAGTCTCTGAGATGATCACGATCCTCGAGCTCTATATACTGCCCAGGAAGCACCTACATGTAGTAAGGATAGGATAGCTTGTATCGGCGGCTTGCCAAACGCTTCTGCACCAATGTTTGGCTTCCTTTAGCTTCCGTGAGAACAGAGTCGAGGAAGAGTTATTAAAGCAATTGGAGCAGTAAGTAGAGGACGCCATCATTTAGTTGAGAATCAACGTAGCCGCAGTTGTAAACCCTCAGGTTTTGGCGAGGACCTTCCATGAGACAAGAACACCTCCGCACCCCCTGTTGCTCTCCTTCGTTATCCTGGAAGCATACAGATTTTGGGTGTCATAAAAAGACCTGTTAGGACGGAGGCAGTAATGACCAAAATACGGATCAGAGCTAAGGCACTTTACCTACCAGAATGACTGCCTTGCCCGTGTAGGCGAACCACGACGACACCGATCACAAAGATAGCATAACAACGAGAACGGCAATTGGGCCTGGATAGGCCTCCAGAGGGCTTTAAGTAATTTTCCAAGTGGTTTACCCGCGTGCGTAAAGGGACTTGCGAGGGGTCAGGCTACGATGAAATCAACCAACCAACACAACAGTTAGTTAGTTGATTGAACGCGTTACACAAACGAACACGAGTTGGGCTTAGTTAGTTAGTTACAGCACAGCACAGGCTTGGTATAAGCTGAGCCTAGTCACCGACTTATCTCTTCAGCTGACACTTCAAATTTCTTGTCATTAAGTCTTGGGCTTGCAGACTTGCGAGACTATCCGATTATCAACATGGGGTTGGACTTCCCCAAGTCTCGCGGCGACTGGAAATTTGATCTCGTTGGGCTTCTTGCTATTATTGGGGAGTCGATTATTGATGAGATCGTTCAACCTCTGACTGCTTCACGTACGATTTTACTCCCACGGCTGCTACCAGCGCCCCATGCGTTAATTCGACCTTCTCGCCGAGCAGTCCTTCCGTCTACCGATGTTACTGTGGTTGGAATCTACTCGGGGATCCACTTACAGAGTGTTCCCTATTTTCCTAGCATGCTCCACCAGTTTGACCTGATTCGACCTTACGAATTCCAGGAAATAACGATCGAGTTCATTGCCGACGAAGAAGAAGGCCCCCTTAGAAAACACAATCAATTGGCAACAGTACGAACCTTCGCGCCTTTGAAGTTGATCACGATAGGCAGTTCTCTTTGGACGGCTGGCATTCTGATCTGGGCGATTATCCTTCATGATGGGCCCGCAGTCGTTGCAATTGTTTTGGTGTCTCTTGCCAGCAGTTTCCACAGTGCGGCATCATTTTGGCGGTCCTATGTGGCAAGAAGGCACACCCCCTTCAGGGAAGGGGTTCCCGGAGATCTCGCTCTTCGAACTCGTGAAGGGGCTCTTATCTTGGTCCATTGCGACGAAGAAGTGGCGAGGTTACTATATTCAGGCGAAGCAAGATGCACCTATGTGGCAGGGGCGACAACATATCGGATTCTAATCTATGCGGGCACGCTATTTTTAATGATGGGCATTGTCTTGATGTCCAACTGCTCCTGGTCCATGCAGGTCACTTTGGGTGCTTCGTACTTGGCATTGAACGTGGCATATATGTTCTGCGCTTTAACTCCTGAAGTCAGTCGCGGGTGGCATTGGGATCTGCGGTGGGTCAAGGTAGTAAGGAGTTCTACCGTTGAGGCTGCTAACTACACCGATGCCATTTGGCATGCCATTCGGACCACCAAATCAGTCGATTGGATTAAAAAAGCCAACTTTGTTCCCGCGACGCCAAATTGGGATGGGTGGCTTAATCAAGCAAAGGAGAATTGTAATAATCCGAACTGGGATGCCGTTAGTGCAAAGGACAGATGGATGACGATACAGCTAAAAGAAAAAGGGGAAGAAGCTCCATCAGTTCCTAGGCAAATGAAGAAAGATGATTGAACTGCCTCTTAATCAAATTATGAAGTGTCGAAAGGTTTGGGAGGAGACGGTTGTGAAAGCCTAAGATGACGGAGGGTCTTGTAGGCGTTGACCTAGACGAGCTTATTTCTGACCTATAAACATTTCCAAGAGCTATATACCTTATTAGGTTCCTACTGAATGCAATTGCCTCCGGATTCAGAATAATTTTCATAAAGATCATCGAAACCGATTATAAGGGTGTCCTGCAGTCAGACACTGACTGTGTGTTCAGCATAAATATTTCTTGAATTTCGCAGTATATAGACACGCAGCGCAGCTTTGTTAAGACAATTTAATCTAGATTGATCTATCCTTTTCTCCAAAAGCTTTATCGTAAAAGTCAGAAAGCGCTAATACAGTCAGCAACTAATAGCTGCCTGGTGCTGGCATTGATTGCCCAGCCGGCGCGACCACTGGCATTTATACTGGTCTACCGTCCGTATGGTTGACTGCAAATAACCCAGTATTCTAGTAAATAAAGCTACTTATTGTCGTTGGAGGAAAAATTAAATATAACTGTGCCGTTGAGCTTGAAGTACTGTTGAACTTAATATGTATAAGAACTCATCCTATCCTAGGGGCCTTTCAGCGGTACTTTGCAAAGTACCGATAATAGCTTGCCATAGGTATGTTTCCTAACTGCTCACTAAACTTAATAGGAACCTCTCGATGAATCGTATCCGAATCACGTAGAAAGAATAAAGACGACACCGCTTCATCCGATTAATCCGTGACATGGACTATAACTTTCTTTCCGCTCTTCAAGCCATTCTGGCCCACAGTTCCATGGAGGTAATCCACGTATCCAAGAACACAATAATTGCAGCTGAAGGTCATATGGTGTAGATCATGTTCCGCCACAGAAGGCAGAGAATATCCAGAGCTATGTACTATAGTATATACTTCATTCAGCCCACTGATAAGGATTGATAAGCAGCGCCACGCTGACTCAGCCTCCGCATCTGCCAGCGTCTTCTAGCGTGATCGAATCGCAGCCTAATCCTCTCCTCATAACCATCACGGAGGCCCGTCCTCCCTTTCTGTCATTACCTTTTCCTCACATAGACCCCCTTCATACTCCCGAGACGACGTCAAAATGCCCTCCAACGAATCCTTCACGCAAATGCCCATGGCCGACAAAGACCTCGAGTCGATCGGCCGCCACTGCCAATTCGAATACTGCCACCAGCTCGACTTCCTCCCCTTCCGCTGCGAATCCTGCCGCGGCACCTTCTGCCTCGACCACCGCACCGAGACCGCGCACCGCTGCCCGCGCGCCGGCGAATGGGCCCGCCGCCGCTCGCCCAACGCCTCCTCCACCTCCTCCTCCTCCGCCACACAAAAACCCACCATCTACAACTCCGACCAGTGCGCACACCTGCACTGCAAAACGCTCATCAACACCCTCACCGATCCGGGCGTGCGCTGCCCGGACTGTCGCGCGCAGTACTGTCTCAAACACCGTCTGCCGGAGGAGCACGACTGCGCCAAGGTTGCCGCGGCGCGGCGCGCGGGGACAGGCGCAGGCGCCACCCCCAACGAGACGATCCGGTCGATGTTTGCGCGCGTGCGCACCTGGGGCAAGGACAAGAGCCAGGGGATATCTGCCGCCGCTACCGCGGCCGCTGCGGCAAAGCCCAAGGCGAAGACGAAAAGCGGGAGCGTGGTGCAGCTGAACGCGATGAAGAAGGCGGCCAAGGGCGACGCGGGCGTGCCGGCGGACCAGCGGCTGTATGTGCATGTCGTCGGGACGGCGGAGACGACTGGCAGCGCGAAGGAGCCGCCGGCGGGGGATTTCTGGTTCGATGCGCGATGGAAGGTTGGGCGGGTGCTGGATGATGCGGCGCGGCGGCTGCGGGTGGAGAATGTGAATAATCGGGCGGGCGAGGAGGAGCGCTTGCGCGTGTTCCATGTGGAGAGTGGGGAGTTTCTGGAGTTTTCGGAGACGGTGGGCGGGGGGAAGGTAAAGCAGGGGCATACGTTGGTTTTGTTGCGGGGGGCCGGGGTTGTTCTGGGGAAGTAATTCATAGATACCTAAGGTGCCTACTGAAGCTGTGGGTGCAGGCATAGCGGGTGTTACGGGTTCATTTTATGGTTCATTCTTCATTATCCAGTCGTATGGGAATGCGTATATAAATGTAGGATGTCTACACGCTCATGTTCATTTTGATCGTCTTGTGCGGCTGGTAGTTGAGCACCTCGAATTCCTCCGCCTTCCACCCGTCGATCACGCCGCTGCCGCGGTCGTCGCGCTTGATGCGCAGCTCTGGGAATTCTGTTGGCACGCGATCAAGCTGCTCCTGCAGGGGCTCGATGTGGTCGCAGTAGATATGGGTGTCGCCCATGGTGTGGATGAAAGAGCCAGGGTTGAGGTCGGCGGCGTGGGCGAGCATGTGCGTGAGGAGGGCGTAGGAGGCGATGTTGAAGGGGAGGCCGAGGGCGGTATCGACAGACCGTTGGTACATCAGACACGAAAGCGACCCCTTCTTGTCGGGGCCGTCGGGGAACGAGACGTAGAACTGGGCGAACATGTGGCAAGGGGGCAGGGCCATCTTGGACAGGTCGGCAGGGTTCCAAGCGGAGAGGACGATGCGGCGGTCGAAGGGGGCCTCCTTCAGCTTGCGCACGACGTCGGCCAGCTGGTCGACGCCCTGACCCGTGTAGTCGGTGTTGGCGTCGACGTACTCAGCGCCAAAGTGGCGCCACTGGAACCCGTAGACGGGGCCCAGGTCGCCAACTTCGCGGTGCGACAGGCCCATCTTGTCGAGGAACTCGCGGCTGCCGTTGCCGTCCCAGATCTTGACGCCCTGGTCCGACAGCGGCTGCGAGGACGTGCAGCCCGAGATGAACCAGAGAAGCTCGGCGATGACGCCGCGGAGGAAGACGCGCTTGGTGGTGAGGAGGGGGAGGATGGGGACGACGGTGCCGTCTTCACTGCGCTTGGAGAGGGAGAAGCGGAGTTGCGGGGGAGCAAAGATGGCTTTTGTTCCGGTGCCGGTGCGATCAGCGCGGTATTCGCCTTCGGCCATGATGGTGCGGATTAGGTTGATGTATTGGTATTCTTCATGGGGATTTGTGTCGTTGGTGGTGGTGCCATTGTTGGAAGTGGCGCCGTTGACGCCGTTGGCAGGAGGATCATGTGCGACCGCCATTGTTTAGGAATAGGAGGGGGGTAGGAAGTGAACGGGGTATCTGAGATGGTGCAAGAGAAAGTCGAAGTGTTTTCTGTTTCGGGACGCGCGACGCGGCACGTGGTCACGTGGTAATATTGCCCAATCGGTACTCGGACTATGAATGTGTCCTGCAGATCGTGAACACAACGGCTCTGTCTATTTATCTCATATCTACTACAAGTCCTCCATCAAGTCCACTCCCACTCCCCGCAACGCCCCAACCACCCATGGCGGGTACTCCGATTTGCTGCCATATAGTTTCCCAAAAAACCGGTGCAGGAACGCGGGGAACCGGTCCTCCAAGATTGCCTCACGCGCGGCGCCCATGAGAGCAAGTAAATAGTGCACATTGTGGATCGTGAGCCTGATAATTAGCATGGATACTATAGCTGTAAGGTAGACAGCGAACTCACAGATGAGCGCCCACGGTCTCCTTCGCCGCGAGATGATGCAAATACGCGCGGGTGATCCCGAGGCCACCCTGCTCTTTAGGGCGACAGATCGTGCATGTGCAGCCCTCTTCTACAGGACCAAAGTCCTGTGCGAATGAATGGTGACGCAGATTGAGCGTACCAGTCGAAACCACGGCATTTCCGAAACGCTGTACGAGTTAGAATGGCCTATGTACCCAATCAAGCTTCGGAGTAACCTACGGCTGTGCGTGTGGGCCACACGCAGTCGAACATGTCGGCGCCCAAGGCCACTCCGACAATGAGATCCTCGGGATAGCCCTGAAATGTCAGTGTCACAGAAAGTATGCACATGCGGGGACGACTTACCACTCCCATCACATATCTGGGCTTCTCTTCGGGAAGGAGCCCGGTGCAGGTATCGACCCTAAGCATGGTTAGAGGCGTCGGAGCAAGAATTCAATCAAACATACACCTCACAGAACGACTCCTTCGCTTCACCCCCCGAAAGCCCTCCAATGGCGATTCCCGGTGTGTCACGCGCTACCATCTCCTCGCAGCACCGCTTGCGCAGCTCCAGATCCAGACCACCCTGGATAATACAGAATAGGTTCTGGCGTTCGGGATATTTGTGAGCGTCGATGCACCGGTCCAGCCAGCGCACGGACCGCTCCATGGCTTCGCGGATACGTTCGTGATCGGGGGACGTGGTCGCGATCACATCGTCGAGCTGCATGATGATATCGGAGCCGATGGAGTTTTGTAGGGCGATCGAGTGTTCCGGAGTGAGCAGCCTGGTTGCGGTCAGCGCATGAAAAGATAGCCTAGCAGTGCTGCTCACATAGGCGATCCATCGTGCGGACTGAGGAAGCGGACTCCCTCCTCGGTGACATTGGCGAGCTTCAGCAACGAGACCATCTGGAACCTGGTGATGTGAGTGGAAGTCTGTCATAGTACTAGGCCTGGTACGAACCCCCCGCTATCTGTCAGGATATTTCGATCCCATCCCTGCAGCTTATGCGCACCGCCCACCTCGTCCAGCACGGCTTGACCAGGCTTCAATCCCAGATGGTATGTATTATTGAGACAGAGCATGCAGCCAGTCTGTTTGAGTTGGTCGTAGGTCAGACCCTTGAGCGAGGCCTGAGTCGCGACGGGCATGAAGATCGGGAGGGGGACGTCGCCATGGGGGAGGTGCAAGGTGCTCGCGCGAGCTTTTGTCGTCTAACCGAGTTAGCCAGTCATTGCTAGACTGGGAGTGTGCATACCGAGCACTTTGCGTGCAGATCCAGCTTCAACGCCGAGGGCATTGGTTTGCGCGGGGCAGTCGACATGGCGAATTGGGTGGATTTGGGAGGCCCTAAGCGGAGGAGGGGGGGAATAGAGGGTCTCCTAGAAGTGCTAGAGCTGGTGATTTCCTGGACGAGCGAAAGACATCTCCCAGGCATTGACTGATGAGGGACAACTGTTGATGCAGCAGCACAATTGAGTCCAGATCATTATCGATAAATCTGTTTTTGACTGGTTTGCCGCGTTTGCTGTGTTTGCAGTGTCCCCTTGCTTACATCATCTCTCCATTTCCCCAGAATGCGGAGATCAAAAGATCCTCGTGTTTACTTTACTTTACTTTACTCAGTACTCTTTCTCATGGCTTGTTCTGTTTCTCTATCTTTCTGCAGTAACTGACCGGCTGATCAATGTCTCTCATTGTTTGCAGAATCCCCCACGATGCGGACGATGTCCGGTAGTAAGCAACTAGCCCTAGTTAGCCCCTACTTCCTTACATCGGGGTAACGTGGGGGACGCCAGTCCGTATAAGAATAATGGGGGCGCACATCGCTTGACATTTCTGCGACCATCCTATCACCATGAACGTGCCGGAGAAAACCTCCCATGCTGACGTGGAACTGGCCGAGCCAGTGACAGATGTAAGTCTCCGCCTGATGTCAACGACCACTACTAACGGATTGTAGGACGTCTACAGCACGCAAGAGAGGGCTCTCGTGCTGAAGCAGGATCTGCGCATCATCCCTCTCTGCGCCAGCATCTATCTCCTGTGCTACCTGGACCGCTCCAACATTGGTACTCGAGCCTGCGACTATATAGCATACCGTATACTAATCCCACAGGAAATGCCAAAATCCTCAATGAAAACACAGGCGATGATCTCCTCACGGAGACCAGCATGTCCTCCTACCAGTACACGTACGTCCACTGCCCCACACGTCCTATACAGAGTACACCTCCTTCACTTAGCTAACCCCGATAGAATCGCCCTGATGGTCTTCCTTATCGCCTACGCCCTTTTCGAAGTCCCGTCCAACTACTTTCTCAAGAAACTCAGACCCAGCGTACCCTCCCTTCCCCCATCCTCCCTGCAACACTCACTCATGTATGCAGCGCTGGATCGCCTTCCTTATGCTCTCCTGGGGCGCCGCAACCATGGGCCTCGGCGGCGCCCACTCCTACGCCCAAGTCACTGGCATCCGCTTCCTCCTCGGCGCCATGGAAGCCGGCCTCTTCCCAGGCCTGGTCTACTACCTCACCTTCTGGTACCGCCACTCGGAGCGGTCCATGCGCGTCGCGCTGATCCTCGCCTCCGCCACGCTCGCCGGCGCCTTCGGCGGCGCCATCGCCTACGGCGTCGGGCACATGAACGGCGCCCACGGCCTGTCCGCCTGGCGCTGGCTGTTCATCATCGAGGGCGCGCCGTCGTGCGCCGCCGCCTTCCTCGTGTGGTTCTTCCTCCCGGATTACCCGGAGACGGCAAAGTGGCTGACCCCCGACGAGAAGGCGCTGGCGGCGCGCCGGCTGGCAGCCGAGGGGTCCAAGGGCGCGGCCAGCGCCATGACCTGGGCGGACGCGCGCGCTGTGCTGACCGATTGGCGCTTGTATGCGCATTACGCTGTAGCTCCCCTCTCCCGGCCCTTGGGAGCGCTGTTGCTGATATGTGGGTTTTGTAGGTATATTTTGGGATCTCGACCCCGTTCTCGAGCCTCTCGCTCTTCACCCCGGCTATCACCAGCGGCCTGGGGTACGCGAACCTGCGCGCGCAGCTGATGACCGTGCCGCCGTGGGCGGCCGCGTACGTGGTAACCACGGCCGCGGCGTGGTCCGCCGACCACTTCAACAGTCGCGGACTGCACTCGGCAGCGTTCGCGCTGATCGGCGCGATGGGTTTTCTCGCGTCGGCGGTGCTTCCGCCGGACGCATACCTCGTAAGCCCCTTCCCCAGCCCCCCACAGCTTCCGCAGTATACTAAAGATATGATAGCACCGCTACGGCTGCCTCATCGTGGCAACCAGCGGCGCCTTCGCCTGCATCCCGCCGCTGCTCGGCTGGCTGTCGGCGAACCTGACGTCGACGGCGGGCACGGGGCTGGCGATCGCGCTGAACGTGTCGTTTGGGGCGCCGGGGCAGATTGTCGGGGTGTGGATTTACAAGAGCGAGGAGAAGGCGCGCGGGTATCCGACGGGGCATTGGACGAATGCGGCGTTGTTGCTGTTTGTTTGTGTCGGGTGTGTGGTGCTGCGGTTGTATTATGGGTGGAGGAATCGGGGGGTGACTGGGAAGAGGTTTGCCTATTAACGCTGTCTGGAGCATAAGCTTGGTTAGTCTAGATGTTGGATAAATAGGAGTGTCTAGGTAATGAGGGGGCCGGTGCCAGGTGGGAGCAATGCGTTAGACATGAAGGTGGAGAAGCGCTCGCTGGGTCAGCAATCTGCAGAGATCGTAACAGCTGGGTATTAGATTGACATCACGATAATAATCCCAAAGGGGTATAGGTATAGGTATAGGTATAGGTATGACAAGAACTTACCCTGGAAGTAAGGTATGGACTACCACCTCTGTATACTCCGTACTCTCTGCAGAAGTCTGGTACGCACGTGAGACGGCCCGGAATAAGGTTAAGCTCACACCCGACCCAAACTTCTTCCGTCCCCGTGCTTACACACAGACACCGTACCGTACACCGTAAGCCCAGCAGGCAAGTAGACAAGTAGACCGAAGAGATGTCATTCTCACTCATGAATATTATCTGTCGTCAAGATAGTCGCAGCCGTCAAACCCGAACCAGCGAAGAACAGCACAAGAAGTAAAAAACAAAGTAAAAAGAAAAGACGGACCACGAAGAAGAAGAAGAAGAAGAAGAAGCAGAAGCAACGAAATAAGATACACCAGAAGCCAGAACCCAAGTGCACACGCATACCCGGCACAATCAGACGCAGCCGCAGCCCCGGCCAGCACAGTCACATCGCATCACAAACAATGAAGAATCGAGAATCGACAGTCGAATGTTGTACACGTCTGCGGTCCGGCAGAAATCGGCAAGAGCGTCGTGTCGTTCGCAAGGGTTGGGAGGGAGGGGGAGCAGAACAAAAGGAAAGACACACAGCAGCACAGTACGGCTAGCGGCGCAGATTTCGCGCGTACATGTTGTTCGTCGGGGGCGCGCCGGGCCCTGTGTAAAAGGTCGGCGTCATGCTCGGGTTCTGGAGCCACTTGAGGGCGGCCTCGGCGGCGGCCTCTTTGGCGTTGTTGGTGTATTCGCCGTCGAACCAGTACGGGGAGCTGACGTTGGCGACCTTGAGCTCGACAAAGCTGGACCACGCCGTTCGGCCGCCTGGGACGTTAGCAGGTTATCCTTTGGAGAGAAAAGAGAAGAAGAAAATGAAGGTGAAGGGAGTAAAAGTCGGTGAGCTGACTCCACTTGTCGGACCGTGGGCAGGTTCAACCAGCGTGGAGGACAGTCCGGACGAGGCCGCCGCCGGGGGGGCAGGATGAAGCGAAGACGAAAGAAAGAAACACGGACATACCTCGTCGGTCGGAGATGATGTGAAAAACAGGGGCAGGCAGCCCGATCTTCTGGCAATGGGCTGCGTCTCTTAGCATATGAAACCCTGATATTGCCTGGGAAGTGGGGCATACCTTGGAGTTCTCGTTGCCAGTAGTCGCTTAGCGAGGAGCTGGGCGCGGACATGACGGCGGAATGCGCGAGCGGCGTCTGACAGGAGTGAGGCGACGGATCGAAGGATTCGATTTGTCCAGGGTTCGGACACGGATAGCGTGGCGAGGTGAGAGTAGTAGTAGGCGTAGTAGTAGTAGTCCGAAGATCGGGTAAGGAGGGGTGTTCAGACAGTCGTGGGTACTAGAGACGGACGACACAAGGACGACAGCAATTGACAAGAAAGAAAATGAATTGAATTGTGCCTTGGGTCTTTGACGCTTTAATGTTCAAGTCTGTGTTCAGGTCGGTTTTATCGAATATTAATTTCGCGTCAAACGGTCTCGATATGGGAAGCGGGGAGGCCATCATATAAACGGTGGGCCATCCTTCGACAGCCCCAGAGCGTCACTGTGCAGAAGAGAGCTTTTTGGCGTGACAAACACGGCACCTCGCCCATCGAACCTAACAACGCGGACTTATGCATGTCGCGGTGGACATGGCACAGCGTCAGCCAATTTCCCCCTCCCTTATCCCTCCACTCAAGGCACGCCAGTGGCATGGAGCATCTGCGGATCATCTTGAGGCTGCAAGCTGGAACGGCCCGGCGCACGCCGACTGAGACTGTACCCTTGAAGAAACGCCAAACGTCCAGGGAAGAAGGCCGCTAGTCTCCACAGAACCAGATCTGACGGTTCCGCGAGGCGGCGACACAGTGCGCATTTACCCCCCAGCGCAACACGACACAAGCAAGCATTGACCAATTGCTGATGCGGTTTGTAGTACAGGCGTTGGCGACAACGCACCACCGTCTTCTCGTCGTCGACCGCGAGGCCAGCCGCGAGGCCAGTCCTGACGGTTCACGATCCCCCATCGGGTACAAACCACGCCAGCCAGGTTTGCCTCATGAACGCTCTTCACATCAGTGGGTTCTGGAAAATCACCCGGGACCAGGATCAGACTTGGTTGGTGGAGGGCAAGCAGTCGTGGTGGTCTCGTTGCCCAAAAGCGGAGAGGGGGGTTCCATCCGCGCAGAAGCAACGAATTGAAGTCAGAAGCAATGGCCTGGGGCCACTCATGGAGCCAGCAACGGCGGGCCCTCTCGGTCACAGTGCGGTATGCCAGCTCATCAATGATAAAATCCTCACTGCGACGGTGGTGGAGGGGGGGACAAGCAGTTCTCCCTCATAGTTCTGCCGCCTGCGAGCATCTCAGCCCTAGAACCGAAAGGGCGATAAGACCGGGCCGCTGTGCAGGTCGATTCGGTGGCCTATCGTTTTTCCCTTTCTTTTCCCGCACCGCAAAAGGAATAATAATAACAATAACAACCGGAATCAAACTGCCAGCGAAGAGAGACACAGATTGGGTCGAATCCATCCAGAACAACACCCGATCCCCAAATTCCGGGGGAGGGGCCGTCATGATTCGCTGCTTTCCTCTGGCACCGTGTTGGGCATACATACGTGCATCGCGTTGTCGTCGGCTCGTCAACGCAGAGATCCGTCCCCTCTTCGACCGATGACAAGACCGAAGAGAACGGGCCCAAGGACGCATGCTCCAGATGATGCGAAACCCAATCGTCCGACTGACCCCAGCCGGAACCGCCTCATCGTCGCAGCACCTGCATAAGAGGCGCCAGGCGCGACGACCACGCGACAGGCCGAGAGCTATCGAGAGCTATCGCCAGCTAGCTCAGGAGTTTGCCAGCTTGTCTGATGCGTGGAGATGGGGCAAACAACCCCATCCGACGCGTCGCCGACAGTCCCCAGGCCTTGTAAGCGCCGTCGGGATGGCCTCGATCGCCCCGCTGGACAAGCTTAATTGCAGTCTGACCAGTCCGGGCGCCAGACGCGCAGGAACGGCGGGAGGCGGTAGTTAGGCGTCTATGAGAGCGATTCAGATCTCCATGCCTCTCTACCTTGGATGCGGTGTGTCCTCCAGCTGAAGGAAAAAGAAACAACAGCAGGCCGTCAGCTCGCCTGCGATGCGATGCGACGAAAGGAGATGGGAGCGGGGAAGAAAACGAGTCAGGCAGCACCAGGGGGAGTGAACCATGGTTCAGCGCGACTAGGGTGACGGCGGTTGTTATAGAACAACAGCCTCGACACGCAACTAAGCCCTTAGGGTCGTGATATCTGCAGCGCCCACAGTGACACGCATGAACCATCGGTAATAAAAATATAAAATATGACGATCATGGTTAAAAATAATAATTCCGCTATCCAGAGCTAGGTAGGCCAACATGCGCCTCCACCGCCGTCCCATCACGCGAACCCCTGCCGCAAAATAACACACAGGGATGTGAATCCAGAAAAGAATGCCCAAAAGCCCGTCCCTCGTCGTCAGTCGTAAATCTCGTCAACGTCACAACCCCAATGCGATGCACGCAAGACGGATCAGATCCGCCTGCACGCCCATCACACGCATCTCACGCGAGGCCCGCTCAGGCCGACCCGCGCCGAAGGAACACCTCATCGATGAGGCGTCGCGGACCCATCAGCTCGATACTCCTCGCCAGCGAGAACGAGGCCGGCTTGTGCGCGTGCCATTTCTGACGGATGCAGTCGTCGACCAACACCACCAAGCCCGTGGCGACGATCACACTACATCATCGCGTTAGCACACACACATCCAGCGCATGACAACACATCGGCCGTCGCAAGCCGCACAACAGACAACGGAACAGAAAAAGGACTTACTCGGCGACATCAGGCATCTTCTGATACACGGACGGATCGTTGATCCACAGCGATGACGGCGGCACCCACCCGCCCTTCTTCTCCTCGTCGGCGGCCTCGAGCGGCGTGAGGATTTCGGGCATCATGTGCGCGACCTGTTTGTTGGTGCGAGTGTTGATGAGATGATACGAGACGGTGCGCAGATCGCCCTCCTTCCGACACTGCCGTCGCCACTGGTACTTGGTCGCCCAGTACTCATATTCATAGCGCTGCCCGCGGCGCTTGAGCTCGACGTGCGCATAGTTTGAGAACTCCATGCGGATGCTATCGCCCAGGGTGACAGACGGCGGGCCGCCATCGCGGGGCACCCTGCCGCCGTCGCCGCCGCCGCCGCCGCCGTCCTCGTCGACGCCCGCGTCGTCCGTCCCCGATCGATACCCGGAGTCGTGGCGCTTGTGCTCGAGAGCAGTGCCCGGGGCCGGCCCGTTGCCGGGCCGCAGGCTGGCGAGGACGCTGGACCACGACCGGCGCAGGACAGGGTGCTTCTCGGCAGCGGTGGGCAGGGAGCGGCGTTCGGAGTGGCACACCTCACGGCCGGAGTCGCGGCAGTACCGGCGGAAGGAGAACTTCCGGGAGAACAGGTCGTGCATGCGCAGGTGGAAGAGGGTGACGTCCTGCTGGTGGCCGGCGCGCTGGGTGACGGAGGTGTCGACGCGCAGGTTCATGTTGCCGTCGAGGGTGGCATCGTCGTGGCGGATGAGGAGGCGACGGGAGGAGGGGAAGAGCTTGCCAAAGGTGGATGGGGTGGAGGGGAGGACATCGGTGGGGTAGACATCGATGCGACGGTCGTCGACTTCATAGAGGGGTGGTGGCTCGTCGGCGAGGTCGTCGGTGGAGGGGATGGTGGAGGCGTAGGTCGAGACCGAATCTGTCGGCGTGATATCGCGGAGATCGGGGGTGTAGTCGTCTCGTCGCTTGGATGTCGGGCGATCGCTGTAGACGGTGGGGATGGTGCTTTTGGAGCGGTCGGAGGCGTCGCTGTGGGTGGAAGAGGAACTCCCGACGGAGCGGGTGTTTTGACTGTAGGACATGATGGTGGAGATATGGTACAAGGGATATGGTAGTTGGCGAAGAGGGAGGGAGAAGAGAGGGTAAGGATAAGAGGAATGGCGGTTGATATGCGAGAGAGGAGGTGAAAAAGCAAGCAAGGAGGGGAAAACCACCACGTTAACGCAAGGCGGGGGCTGGCGAGCTCAGAATAGAACAATAGAAATAGACCGGGGATCGTCTGAGTGTACCTAGTAGTCTGTGGAGTGGAAGAAAGGGATAGAGTCAGCAGATGTCAGATAGATACAGATACTACAGTTACCTACCAGGTAGGTATCAGGTAGGTATGTATATACGTAGGAAGAGGGCAAACCGGTAAACAAATCCAGCGGAATGGGCAGCTGACGACGAACAGACAATGAGTGACAATGAATGAGCCGATCTTCCCAGTATACCACCGTGGCGCAGACTTCTGGAATGCCATAAGCCCACGGCCACGTTGGTCGGCATTCCTTCGAGTCAATGAACAGCCTGGCGGGCGATATTCTCCGATCCTGGCTGATCACACCACTTGCAACACAATACCCGTTTATACGGAGGAAGTATACAGTGTACAGGTAGGTAGGTGTATACAGTAGAAGAGTTTCGATCAGTTCCATGGGACCGACGGGATCGATCGGAGCGGACCGAGACCCATCGTCGTCATCTCGAGGCACTCGAGAGTAGTTCTTCAACATCACCACGAACAACAAGGCATGAGTTTTCAGCGTCTCCACTGCTATGGAGCCGGTGGGGTGGTCGAGCCCTTCCTTGCGTTTTGACCGCCAAGTGGCTTCACCGGTAGTCGGTCGATACTTGTACAAATTTACGTAGAGGTCTGTCCCGGCAATAAGGTAGATACTCCCTTGCCTGGTCTCAATGATCGACCACATACAGAATAGTTCGTGAGTACAAGTGGTAAGATCTGATATGTCTCACCGTTGGACCGCCCATCTTCCGATACACTACAGCAATAGCGTGTAATAGTATCGGCCGCTCGGGACATATCTCAGACAGTACAACTCAATATCACAGAGACCAGCAGCTGCAGAACCAAATACGTCTCCAGGCCTACGCCTACTACACGCTGCGTGTCTCGCTCAATCCCAACCTCTTCGTCTAAATCTAGCTCTATATACGCACCGGACCGGACGGCGTCTCTTCCGGCATATGCATCTTATACTTTACACCTGCGCCCACAGCGGCCGCGGAAGCTCCTCCCCGGGCTGGATCATCGCCTCTGCCCGGCACGTCGCCGTCGACCCAGCGACCGCCTTGGGCGCATAAAACCCAACGTATGCCTCGCGACGCGCCGGCTCGCCCACCGTCACCGACCACGTATGCAGTCCGTAGTATGTCGCGAGCGAATGAACCAGCCAGCGCCTAAACCGTCAGCATGCGCCACCACCGTAAGAGCAGATCACACATAAGCATCACAAGAAAGTCACTTACCCAAACCCAGCCCCACGGTCCGCCTCCAAACTCTCAAACACCTTCTTCTCGCCCCCGTGCTCCCCGTGCGCCGCCATCTCCTCCCGCATCGTCCGCATCTGCCGCTGATGCCGCGGCGAGTCATGCGTCTGCCCGTTTCGCCCGACAAACACCACCTCGTCCTCTGAGGACTCGTCGCTATCCGCCGGCGCATCCGCCAGCCCCTCCCGTCGCAGGAGACCCTGCCGCTCATTCCACCGTCGGATGAACCCCCGAATATCCTCCTCGATATCCTGGAGCATGCCGCGCGCAGCCCGCGCGTGCTTGAGCTTCATGCGGAGGTCTTTCGGAACACGGTGTTTCACAGCCGGCGTGGCAGGGCCGTTCGTCGCACGGTCGAGATGCGCAAAGTGCACGTCCCAGAGCGGAGCGAGGTAGTAGGGCATGGGGTCGTGGCGGGTGTGGGTAGGCTGGATGGACCAGTCTTTCGGAGAGGGTGGTTCGGCCCAGGGGTTGTTCAGGAGACGGTCTGCCGGATTAGCATTCATCTAACGCCGTTTCACCCCGTAGGATGTTAGGGAGAGAGGTTACCATTCTCCCAGCGCTGTCGTCGCCGACTCCCGTCCTTGCCTTTGAGGAGGGCCTCGCGGCGCTTGAGGCTATCGCGACGGAGCGGTTCGCGTCGGCGGAACGCGACCGAGGGCGCTTTTGGTGTTTGCGCGGGGGTTGCAGATGAGGTGCCGAGGAACTTGACGCGTGGGTGCGCAGTGGTTTCCGGGCTGGGGACGGGGTCGTCCAGGGGGATGGACAGGGACACCGTGGCGCCGCGGAGACCGCCCCGCGAGGGACTGGGCGTGTCCTCGCCGGTTGTTGCCGGCTCGGAGATGGTCAGGTTCTCCAACGAGGCGGCGGCTTGCTCGCTCCAGGCGGAGATGGCGCGAGTTTGCTGGGGAGATAGGTGGCCCTGTGGGCTATTGTGAGGGCGCAACCCGGGATGGATAGCCATGGTAGATGATTAGAGAGAACTGGAGGGCAATAAGGGATGGATAGTCTATATATATTTGGAGGGCGAATTGAGTGAAGGCGTGAGATGTCTCTATAGAGTGAGCGAGTCGAGCGAGCGGGGAGAAAGCGAGAGATAAGGATTGCCTCTTCGCGTCTAGTCCAGGGCAGGAACCCATCCTGACTGGCCGTTGACTCACAACGGGGCACGGGAGACAAACAGGGCATGTGATTGGTCCGACTATCACGTTAGCCCTAACCCTCGATTCCCGATCCAGAGGATGATTCATCGAATGATGTCATCTCGTATTCTCCCAGAAACAGCAACAGACACGACTTTGTAGATGCAAACACGTCAGGTTCTACTATGCTCACACCCTGTCGATCCATCTTGTACATGGCTGTTCAAGACAATCAAACATGGTCTCTTCCTAGACAACCCCCGCTTCCACCTGGCTCAGCAACTGGTGACGTCTTAGCCGATGATCTTCTTGGGTCGAGAGAGCAGAATCTTTGCGTATGCTGCAGCAACCGCAGCGGCATATTTCTACGGATCTTGTTCCTATGAGAGTCAGCATAGTTACATGGCCCCCAGATAAGAGCTGTTCACAATCGCGCCCTTCCATCTCAAAGTACAGCACGTTGTGTTCCTGGCCCATGTTGTCGCGTTTCTCGGCCGACCTCATGAATCCGTTGCTGTGTGGAGAGAGTCAAGATGCTCGTCGGATCTCTCGCAACAGCTCATACTGATCAAGGTCTTCGAACAGTCTACCATGGACCACTCCCAGGTGTTTATATTTGGGCTGATGCGCCTCCATCTGTGGAATATATTCCTGTATTGTAGATGAGCTGCTGACTACAACATCACCCAGTCAGATATTGTTCTTCTCAGATGGCACCCGGCTCCGATACCCACCGAAAAGCGAAACCTCAAGGCTAGGAAGCTGCGTTTCATAAGGGTTGCGACAATTGAAGAAGGATTCGAACCCTAGGTCCCCAGTAGCAAGCATGCAGCAACAGTGTTATGCTTTGCCATACATCCCAGGGCGTAATCATTTTGCAAAACCTATCACAGGCCCATACTGACAAGACCCTCGAAAATAGGCGCCAAAACGACCCTGTCGGCCTGTACACGCGAATCATTGGCGCTGATAGAGTAGCGATATTTGAATCAAGACTAGCACAGTGTCCCTTAATTTACATCAACATCGAGACCTAGATCTCGGCGGTCTGTAGCTGTTCGATCCCCAGCAACAAGGCTGGGGCAGTATGCCTTGGATCAGCAGTGCCACTACTAGTTAGTACCTACTCCGAATAGGCAGTCCGTAGATACTATCCAGTAATGGACTAGGGTACAGCCCCGGGCACGTGCGCGTGGAGGATGATCGTAATTAAACGGACCGGTTAGTTAATTAAATCTCCTGGCGACAATCCGGTTGCAGTGGGGAGTATGGGGGATCGACCGAGAGTGCGGGTGAGGAGCAGTATGGAGTACAATGGAAATGTGCAGATAAGTAGTAGATGCTTAGTATCTCTTCTGTTTTTTCAGGAAGACGTTCGGCGGTGAGGATCGAATCTATCCCTAGGTTTAGTACAAAGGAGCTGTCAGGCAGAGTCCAGAGAAATGGCCCTAAGATGATCGATCCACTTGGGCGCTAACAGTGTCCTGCCTCAATCCACCAGCTCAAAGACCAAAAATAGGTTGAGTCATGATCGATAAAGAATAGTTAACTAACTAACCTGAACGCGGCAAGAAACAATACGGTGAGACAGGCGATAGTGATTATCCTGGTTGTTAGTTAAGGTACTTAAGGGCGAGTGTAGCCTGAAGGGACGCTGATTAACTCTGACGTCGGTCGCATTTCCCCTTCTTCCCCTCTTCTGCTTACCTACCATCCTTCTCCTCTCCCTTGCAACTCTCTCTCTTTCATCCATCCTCGCACATATTCATACCATCATATTTATTCATTCCATCTCCAATGATTGTTACTCCCGTTTCCGTCTAATTCCCAACTATGAAGCTGGAAACTCTGACGCTCGGCGCGACCGTGTCGTCCGCCTTTGCGGCCGTCATCCCCCAACAGCCGTTGCTGAACAACCCCTACATCCACCACGACGCCGATAAATATCTCATTGAACTCGCTCCCTATCAGACACGCTGGGTGACCGAAGAAGAAAAATGGGCATTGAAGCTGGTATGTCCCCCAAACTATTTCCATTGGCATGCACTCACCCATCCATAGGATGGCGTCAACTTCATCGATGTTACCGCAGAACGTAACACTGGTTTCTATCCCACCTTAGACACCATCAGCCATGTCTCCTATCCAACACAGATGGCACATGCGAAGGAGGTCTCCACGTTGAACGACGGTCTCTCCAAGTCCAACATGGAAGCCAACCTGGAAAAGTTCACCTCCTTCCACACCCGATACTACAAGTCCCAGTCCGGCATCGAGTCCGCCACTTGGTTGTATAACCAAGTTTTCGATGTGGTCAAGCAGTCTGGCGCCAAAAAGTACGGTGCGACGGTGGAAAGGTTTGATCACCCGTGGGGTCAATTCAGCATTATCGCCCGCATCCCCGGCAAGTCCAGCAAGACGGTCGTCCTGGGTGCGCACCAGGACAGCATCAATCTCTTCCTGCCGTCTATTCTGGCGGCCCCCGGTGCCGATGACGACGGCAGCGGCACCGTTACCATCCTCGAAGCCCTGCGGGGTCTGCTGCAGTCAGACTCCGTTGTGCGCGGCGAGGCGCCCAACACTATCGAGTTCCACTGGTATTCCGCTGAGGAAGGTGGCATGCTAGGCTCCCAAGCCATCTTCTCGCAGTACAAGAAGGACTATCGCGATATCAAGGCCATGTTGCAGCAGGACATGACGGGTTATACTCAGGGCGCGCTCGATGCGGGTCGCGACGAGGCAATCGGCATCATGGTGGACTACGTCGACCAGTCCTTGACCGATTTCCTCAAGGAGGTGGTAACTTCTGTAAGTCCTGTCATCCTATAAGTCCTATTTGGGGTGTATCTAACGAAACAGTACTGCGACATCGGCTTTATCGAAACGAAATGTGGCTACGCGTGTTCGGATCACACATCCGCCAGCAAGTACGGATATCCGGCGGCCATGGCGACTGAATCCGAGATGGAAAACTCCAACAAGCGCATCCACACGACCGACGACAAGGCCAAGTATTTGAACTTTGACCACATGCTACAGCATGCGAAACTGACCCTGGGCTTTGCGTATGAGTTGGCGTTTGCTCCGTTTTAATTCGCGATGGCGTTGATGGGATCTCGGTGGTACATAAATATACCCATAATTATCGTTAGTAAATTGTTATGACTCTGCTATTATTTGGTTATGAGTGATCGCGGTCCTTCGTCGTAGATGTCCTTGTATACAAGACGTAGGGCAGATCATCCAGCGACGCTAACCCGAAAAGGAACCCACCCGTCTGCAAAATCGTCATCCTCCAACGTCCCCTCCATCTTCCTCAATTCCACCCCATCACGCTCAATTGCACTCAGATCGACTGCTGGACAGTTGGTCCCGTCACTATGGAGTTGCCCTACGCTCAAGAACTCCAGCTGGCCTGTCTCACCGTCCAGCGCGCCTCCCTCCTCACCAAGAAAGTCCTGGACGCCGTGGACAAAGGCGCCCTCGACAAGAGCGACTCCAGCCCGGTCACCATCGCCGACTTCGCCGCGCAGGCGCTCATCATCGCCGCCATTCACCACGTCTACCCGGATGATGACATCGTCGGCGAGGAAGACTCCAATGCCCTGCGCAAGGATCCGCAATTGCTCGACCGCACCTGGGCGCTCGTCGCGTCCATGCACACCTCCCCCGACGACAGCCCGCTCTACACCCCCGCCTCGAAAGAAGAGATGCTCGACCTGATCGACCTCGGCGCCAAAGGCACCTGCAGCCCGCACAACCGCGCCTGGGTCCTCGACCCCGTGGACGGCACGGCGACCTTCATTCGCGGCCAGCAATACGCCGTGTGTCTGGCCCTCGTGGAACAGGGCCAGCAACGCCTCGGCGTCCTGGGCTGCCCGAATCTCAGCCTCGACATCCTCGCCGCCACGCCCGGCGGCTACATCCAGGAAGACGCGGTCGATCGCACCGGCTACGGGACGCAGGTGTTTGCCGTGGCCGGCCACGGCGCCTACACGCGCACCATGACCGCCTCCCCGACGGATCTAGAGCCGGCGCAGCGCATCCCGCCCCGGACTCCGGTCACACACCCGCGCGATATCTCGTTTGTCGACTGTACGTCCACGACGTCCTCGGACGTTGACTTGCATGCGCGGCTGGCGGCCCGGCTCGGCGCGCCGTGGCCGCCGGCGACGGATCTGTGGTCGGCCCAGCTGCGCTATGTGGCGCTTGCGGTGGGCGGGTGCAACGTGCTGCTGAAGATCCCGCGCAAGCGCGAGTATCGGTCGAATATCTGGGATCATGCGGGGGGTATGCTGATTGCGCAGGAGACGGGATGTCGCGTGACGGACTTGGCGGGCAATGAGGTCGATTGTGGGAGTGGGAGACGGTTAACGGGGTGTTATGGGATGGTTGTGGCGCCGGAAGGGATCCATGGGTGTTTGGTTGAGGGGGTGAAGGAGTTCGTGTAGTATATGGCTTGCGGGGGTTGTTTGATGTTATATATAGAGAGACTGGTGTCTGGAGTTTATGTCCATGGTTGGTGATACGAAAAGTGTGTCTGATGCGAGGGGGAGATAGAACTAAAGGTTATAGGAGTAAATAGCCATTTAATGTTCACTACTTTTACTATGCACATATGATTTGAACCTGGCTGAGGCTCACTGGTTTCGTACAGTTTGACCATAGGGGCTATTCATTTTCCTATTGTGCTTTCCCTGGTTGTTCTCTAGTACACATGTGCCGAGTACCGCAGTTCAGGCCATTCGCATTCGATATGCTTGAGGTAAAATGTATCTGTGCGGCTCTTACTGGCAACTGGTAAACTGGTAACAGGGCAAACACAAGGAGCCCGACTACCTTGTTAGGGCGTGGGAATCCTAGAAGGGATCACCTCAATAAGTCAGTATTCGTTCTCGGAATGAGAGAGTAGGACAAACAGGAATATGCTTGTCCTTGCAAGATATTCATTCCGGGTCACTGACTTTAGCGCGGGTATAAAACAAAGAGACCATTTTGAGAAGTACAGAACAATCGGACCCATCCAGAGGAATGCTTTAGGTCAGCAACATTACACAGTTGTTCTTCTGATGCAAGTCGTCGAGACAAGCCTGACCTGCCGACGTGTACATGCTGACATCACATGACAAGCCTCTCTCTCAGAACATATGCTCATGGCAACGTCCTGTCTCGACCAGATCCTCTTCGACAGCACCCATATCACAATATGACCAGTACGTCGTCTGAAATCGAGATAGCCGCCCAACACCTTGCCAAGGCGAAACGAATCGTCATCCTAACAGGCGCGGGCATCTCCACCGCCGCCGGAATCCCCGACTTCCGCTCCCCCACCAGTGGTCTCTACGCGAAACTGGCACCCCTCAAGCTGCCCTTTCCCGAGGCGATTTTCCATATCAGCTATTTCACCCATACTCCGGAGCCATTCTACGCCATCGCAAAGGCTCGCCATCCCCGCTGCCTCAAACCGACCAAATCCCACGCGTTCCTCGGTCTGCTCGCGCGGAAAGGCCTGCTCCATTTCCTGTTTACCCAGAACACCGACGGTCTCGAAGAAAATGCCTTCGTACCCGCAGACAAGGTGCTTGCGGTGCATGGGAACTGGAAGACGCAGCGTTGTCACAAATGCAACACGCCGTACCCGGACGAGCTGATGAAGAAGGCCATCGCCAAGAGAGAAGTACCGTACTGTCTTGAGGCGAGGTGCAAGGGAGCGGTGAAGCCGGATGTGGTCTTCTTCGGCCAGTCGCTTCCCGCTGCATTTGATGAAAAAGAGAAATTAATAGCCGAGGCGGATCTGGTGATTGTTATGGGCACAAGCTTGAAGGTTGCCCCGTGCTCGCGGCTACCGCGGTTGGCGAGGGAGGGAGTTCCACGGATCCTCATCAACATGGAGAGTGCGGGGGACTTTGGTACACGACCGGAGGATGTTCAAATTCTTGGATCGTGTGATGATGGGGTGAAAAAGTTGGCCGATATGCTAGGCTGGTCGGATGAACTGGACAGCCTCTGCGCTGCGGCTGCGGCTGCGAAAGAAGAGCCGACCGATGACGAGGAAGAGATCAGCCTAGACGAGTGTATTAGTCGATTGGTCCAGAAGAACCAAGGAAAGCAGGTGTCTGACGGACATAAGCGCATGCTAGAGTCACACTTGCAGTCAAAATTTGCCCATCTGCTTCGGTCGAGTCTGCCCAGAACGCCTATTGACAGCCCAGGGAACATAAACTCGCTGGTGTGAATCTCTGAGACCCTGTCCGATAGAAACAACGTACACCCTATCATGGGATTATCCAGTCTATCTTTTCATAAAATCCTTGCTGCACGATTGTATATAATTCTTTCAGTTTCCAGCCGGAGATTTATACTGGTCAGTGATTCCCTCATTGGGCAATTCGTCACGAGTGGCACGTCTTCGACTTGTAGGAGTACTGGAAGCACTCATCCATATCACAATGCACTTGACAGTCTGCAGCATTGTTCATATCGGTGATGACGTCTAGGGAAGCATCATCCTAGTCCGCTCCGACCTGGTCGAGATGTGAACGGACGAAGCGTTAAAGACATCTTTGAGTAGAAGTATGGAATCGACATTCTGAGACGCTCGTCAGCGATACATCCAAGGCAGCTAGCTCCATGAATCAATACGTAGCTCACCTCTCGTCTCCAATTGTGTTCAGACTGGGAAGCCTCTCCAACATCATCTGAAGCCATACGGTGATATAGGCAATAAGGGACAGCACCACGGTCGTTTGTCGATATACATGGTGGAAAAGTGATCAAATGTCCAAGGAGTCGAGCCCTGCAGCATCGGCCATGACCAGAGAAGCGGAACACCTGCCTTACCCATAACGCAGTCACCTCCCGAGAGATTTCCAGGTGTAGGCGAGGTTGGCCATGCTCGTCAGAGTAAACGGATCCCCAGGACCTTTTCGCTAGCCTTCATCACGAATACTCCGTATTGACATGTACTTGTACCTCTTCTGCCTTCAATTTCAGGCAGTCTAGGCGGGGAGCTGCTATCTTCGGCGCCATACTCTATCTGGTAAGGGAGGCCCCGCTTGCCGCGGCGTCTTATTTATAGTTGGCCGGTTGACTAGAGACAGCTTATATTAGATAAGGTCGAGTGGTGGTCCGTGGTCCATGGACCGAACGGCGATGCGGCCAACGTGATGTCATGACCTCAGCCGGCAGACAAAGTACTCTGCCTGCCCGGATCCAGGTCTCGTCTCGCATCACTGCAAGCCAGGAAAATCGCAGAAACCTAAACGCCGGACGGAAAAGGCGGACGACCAGTCACAATTGCCAGCCCGAGTCATCCGATCAGACAATGCGGGGAACGCCCGCCATCCTTATATATCACCGGCCTCCGTCTGACGTGACTCCCCTGTTTGTACTTCCTTCCACCCATCCACCTCCAGCATGTCGTCTTGTAGGTCATCCTCCCCTCCTAGAAGAAGACCTCCCTTCTGACCGACAGACAACCCCTTTTCCCGGCGTGAGTCTCACGGCCGCCTGTCCCTCAGCTCCTACCGCGTGCTCGTCCCGCTGTCGTGGTTGCTTGTCGTCATCGTCGGCATCTACTACACCGTCCACGCTCCGCATGATGTCAAGCACGGCCACGCCATCTTCAAACAGGCGAATCGGCACACCACGCCGTTCTCGCAGAGCACGGTCGTCGCGGAAATTTTCTGGATTCTCCTGCTCCTCTCCCAGCTGAGCTATGTCTACCATCTCTTCCACAGAGACGCGGCCGTCGTCACCGCCACCGCCAACATCGGCGCCCACTTCGTCCTGAACAACCTGCTCATCTTCGCCTGGATCCTCCTCTGGACCAGGAACCACTACTGGGGCGCGGAGGTCATCCTCATCGCCAACTACTTGAACTTGAACACCGCGTACTGGCGTCATCGCACCCTCCCAGCTCTGGTCCATCTGCCCGCCATCGCCGGGCCGTTCGCCTGGACGTTGATGGCCTTGTTCTGGAATGGTGCAGTGGCCGTCGATAGTAACTCGTTCGCTGCCCGGATTGCCGCGAACGTCTTTATCTGGGTGATCTTTACCGTGGGGTTGGGTCATATGATGTCTACCCAGGATGACCTGTTGGGATATAGTTTGAGCTTGTTGACGCTAGGTATGTTCCCTCTGCACAGATATATATAGACTTCTAACGAAAATAGGCCTGGCGCTCAAGCAGTTTGCCATCAAGACCATTGCCCTGCAGTGGATCTTTGCTTTCGTCATCTTCGCCGTCTTCTTCGTGGAGTCGCTCTACATCTCCACTACCAAGTATGCGGGTCGCGACATCTTCTTCCGCAAGCACGCGGTGGTCTCGGAGGACCGCGAGCGCGAGCCTCTGCTGAATGAGCCGGCGACGGTGTAGAGTATTACCAGTCTGTTCGGGAGTGCGGAGATAATGGTGAGAATATACGGAGTAGGGCACGAGGGGAGGAAGATCGTGGGGATGCAGCTTCGGAGGATATGATGTGGGTGTCGTTCATTGATTGACTGTTGTTGCCTGCGATTGTTTGACAACCGTGAATACCACTGCATGTTGGCTGCGATCATTACAAATAGTGCCTATACCAACTGCTCAACTACGGAGTACTAAACGGATTAATTAAATTAATATGCATGTTTGAGCTCCGCAAGGTCAGAATAAAATGGATGTTTTGGTGGTTGCCCCGGTGACGATCGGGCTTCTCCACGTTGACGATCCGCCATCACGAACTAGAGTATCCCGCTCCATTCTTGTTTACCATCTCTCTTCCACGGACCCAAGACTCTTCTTCAGTTAACTCGCATTCCGTCATTGATCCACTGGCGCATTCCACACTGTCTTCAACGGTTGTTCATATCGAAATCCAGCATCCAACAACTGAGACCTCACGGGAGCTCGCAGAGACAACACTTGTCTCAGCCGGTCTCACCGTCGTGCACTAGGAGATGTATCCGCCAGCTCCAAACTACGAGGAGGAACCACCGGCCTACCTCTCGTACGGCGAGTCCTATCTCGATCATGACTCCCCTCCGCGTGCCGGTCCAACGATGCGTTTGCTGCCTACGAGCTCCGATGTCGAGCGGAATGATGCGGCCGATGTGACCTCCATGTACCGGGAGGGCATTGAGAATCCATTTGACGATGATGCCTTGTAAGTCTCTATCTCTTTCCCTGTCATGCTGTCGCAGCATTCCGATGTGGTCATTGGAATGTGGGCGTCCATGGGCGTCCATCCCTTGTTCTCGAGGCCAATCAAGGGTTCGGCCGGGGACTTGGTTAAAAACAAAAGCTTTTGTTGCACGTAAACATTCCACTTTGCTTTCTTCTCGTCCCTGGTTCTTCTCACGGTCAACTTCCAACTTCGTCATTCGCCATCTACAAACATTGGTGGCCATGGACGACCTTCCACCGCCGTTGAGGCTGGTCTCCCCGAGAAGACCTCGCGCTAACATGAGCCCGCCTCCCTATAGGAGCGACCACAGAGACCTTTCAGACCGGTTCTATCAGCCCCCAGATGAATCGCCTTCGCGGCCTGTATCGCGGCTGCAAAACATCCCCAGCATCCCGCCCCCAGCCGCAGCGACGAATGCCCCAGCTTATAGCTCGCGTCCGAGCTCGCCGACTCGGCCGTGGTCGCCCTCGCGCACGGCAGATTGGACCAGACCCCCAGCGCCGCCGTCGGTGGTCAGCTCGCACTACGAGCGTGCCGATCTCAACGGCAGTCCGCGTCCGGGCACCCCCAGCTCGCGCTATGGAGGCAGTCCGCGCAGACCGCTACCACCCGCACCGCTATTTGCAGGCACGACGGGCCAGGACACCAGCATCGATATCGGCGATGGCAACAATGACGATGACGATGTGTTTGGTGGCGGCGGACGCACGATCCGCAGCAAACATGGCCCGCAGGCCAGCGTGCGGTCTTTTATGAGCGACTCTACCATTATCACCGACGAGAAGGACGCCATGGCAAAGATCGACCTGGACGAAGAAGAAGACGAGAGCAGCAACATGGTCGATCCGAACTTGCACTACGGTCCTGCACCGGAAAAGCAGAGTCGTCGTGGTGTGCGCGAGGCGCAGATGTCTAAAAAAGAGGTGCAGCTGATCAACGGCGAGCTGATTCTGGAGTGTAAGATCCCTACTATCCTGCACAGTTTCCTTCCGCGCCGCGACGACCGCGAGTTTACGCATATGCGCTACACGGCGGTGACGTGCGACCCGGACGACTTCACCTCGCGCGGGTACAAGCTGCGGCAGCAGATCGGCAGCACTATGCGCGAGACGGAGCTCTTCATCTGTGTGACCATGTACAACGAAGACGAGATCGGCTTCACACGGACCATGCACGGTATTATGCGGAACATCAGCCATTTCTGCTCGCGGTCCAAGTCCCGCACCTGGGGCAAGGACGGGTGGAAGAAGATTGTCGTGTGTATTATTGCCGACGGTCGTAAGAAGGTGCATCCGCGCACACTCAACGCGCTGGCCGCCCTGGGCGTCTACCAGGAGGGCATCGCCAAGAACATCGTCAACCAGAAGCAGGTCAATGCGCATGTGTACGAATACACAACGCAAGTGTCGCTTGATTCGGATCTGAAGTTCAAGGGTGCCGAGAAGGGTATCATGCCGTGCCAGGTTATTTTCTGTCTGAAGGAGCATAACCAGAAGAAGCTCAACTCGCACCGTTGGTTCTTCAACGCGTTTGGTCGTGCCCTGCAGCCTAATATCTGCATCTTGCTGGATGTCGGTACCAAGCCGGAGCCTACCGCTCTGTACCATCTCTGGAAGGCGTTCGACCAGGACTCGAACGTGGCTGGTGCTGCCGGTGAGATCAAGGCCGGCAAAGGCAAGGGCATGCTGGGCTTGCTGAACCCGCTGGTGGCTAGCCAGAACTTTGAGTACAAGATGTCCAATATCCTGGACAAGCCGCTGGAATCAGTGTTTGGCTACATCACCGTGTTGCCGGGTGCGCTGAGTGCGTATCGCTTTTTTGCGCTGCAGAACGACGCCGACGGAAACGGGCCGCTGAATCAGTACTTCAAGGGAGAGACCCTCCACGGTCAGGATGCGGACGTGTTCACGGCAAACATGTATCTGGCCGAGGACCGCATTCTGTGCTGGGAGCTGGTTGCGAAGCGGGATGAAAGATGGGTGCTGCGGTTCGTCAAGAGCGCCGTCGGCGAGACGGACGTGCCGGATTCGGTGCCCGAGTTCATCTCGCAGCGTCGTCGTTGGCTGAACGGTGCCTTCTTTGCGGCCGTGTACTCGCTCGTCAATGGAAAGCAGCTGTGGAAGACGGACCACTCGATTGCTCGGAAGATCCTCCTGCAGATCGAGTCCGTGTATCAGTTTATGCAGTTGCTGTTTACGTATTTTGGATTGGTACGTGCTTTGCAAGGATTTGCAGGATGACGCTGACTTGATAGGCAAACTTCTACCTGGCGTTCTACTTCATCGCGGGTTCTCTGACGGATCCGAAGATCGATCCGTTCGGGGGCAACGCAGGAAAATACATTTTCATCATTTTGCGGTACTCGTGTATTTTGGTCATGTGCTTGCAGTTCATTCTGTCGATGGGCAATCGCCCACAGGGGTATGTGCTGTTCCTTCATCTGTCTTGCTCCAGCTAACAGTGGCAGTGCCAAAAAACTGTACCTCTCTGGTATCATCGTGTACAGCATTATCATGACCTACACGGCTTTCTGCGCGATCTACCTCGTGGTTCTCGAGCTGATGTCAAAGGCGGGAATGGACGTGGGAGACGTCGCGGTCAGCGACGGACTGTTCGTCAACATCGTGGTGTCTCTGCTCTCGACCGTCGGCCTGTACTTCTTCGTCAGCTTCTTGTACCTCGACCCCTGGCACATGTTCACGTCGTCTGCGCAGTACTTCGCGCTGATGCCCAGCTACATCTGCACGCTGCAGATCTACGCGTTCTGTAACACGCACGACGTGACGTGGGGAACCAAGGGCGACAACGTGATCAACACCGACCTGGGCGCCGCGCGCATCATCAACGGATCCATCGTCGAAGTCGAGATGCCCTCGGAGCAGCTGGACATCGACAGCGGCTACGACGCGGCCCTGCGCAACCTGCGGGACCGGCTGGAGGTGCCCGAGCCGCCTGTCCCCGAGAGCCAACTGCAGGAGGACTACTACCGCGCCGTGCGCACGTACATGGTCTCCATCTGGATGGTGGCCAACGTGGTGCTGGCGATGGCGGTGTCGGAGGTGTACGGGGTGGATTCCGGGGGTACTAACATCTACCTGGCCATCATCCTGTGGTCAGTGGCGGTCCTGGCGCTGGTCCGGGTGATCGGGTCGACGACGTATGCGGTGCTGCTGGTGGTGCAGAAGCTGGTGGAGGGCAAGACCAAGTTTGAAGCCGGGAACATTGCGCACGCTCAAGCCGCCAGCTCTGTGGGCAGCTCCAGCGGGTATGCCAGTGGATTCGGGGGTGGAGGGAACATGCGCGACAAGTTCACCGAGGCGAAGTGGGCGATGCAGCGACAGATGGGGAAGGCGATGTTCTGGCGGCGTTGATCTGATGTATATGTACGATGTGATGTTCATAATGCTTCCTGTTAGATACTCAATGATCCTCTCACGATAATCACAACTTTGCCCGTCCATGCAACACCGCCTCAATAACCTCCGCCGCCGCCAGCGTCTCCTCATCACAGAAATGCTTCCCGGCCAGCTGCAACCCGATGGGCGCCCCCTCATACCGCTCCGGCCGATACTTCCTCCACTCCCGCGCATCCACCTCGCTCCGCGGCACATACCCCGTGTCAACCACATCCACCGCCGCATCCACCACCAGCCCGCTCGGAAACGCCACCGCCGGCTGGTCCAGGATATTCCAGATCGCCGTATAATTCCAGTAGTGGCTCTCGCCCAGCACCGCCGCCGCCCCCACATACGCCGGCCCCAGAATGAAGTCCACCCCGCGCGCCCGCATCAGCGCCTGGTACTCGTCGCGGTACGCGTCGCGCGCCGCATTCAGCTCCCAGTTCTCGGCCACCGTCAGCGGCGCTGGCCGCGCGTAGCTGAACGCCCACTCCGTCAGCGGGAGCGCAGGCTCGCCCGACGCCGCGAGCAGAGCCCGCTGCGACGCTGCCGCGTCGGGGAAGTACAGCGCCGATACAATGTCCCACCCGTGCGGGTGGTTGTGCGGCGTCCAGTCCACCACGCGGATGCCGGCTGCGCGGAGGCGGGATGCGGCGTGGTGCAGCGCGCGCGTGACGGGGGGGTGTGGCTTCATTACCCTACATGCATTATTATTAGCTGCACTCTCAGATACTATCCGAGGGGGGAGCCTACCCATCATCCCACAGAATCCCCACCGTAATCTCCCCCGGCGCAACGGTAACCCTCCTCCACGGCACAGTGCACCACCCCCGTCTCGACCTCCCACGGCCGCTGATTCGAGCACCCCCTCCTGGAACAGCGCGAGATCGCGCACACTCCCCGCGGCGAGCGGCCCCACGACGCCGAGGATGCTCTCGTGGCCGGGCTCGGGCACTTTTCTGCCCGCGACAGGGTGTTGCGGCGCGCCTTCGGGCGGAA